TGATTTCAATATAATGCGAGCTAAATTAGCCCCTTACTGTCCTTAATACTACTGCAGAATGTGAACAAAATCGACTGAAAGTTGATTAAGATATTAAGGAAAAACCGATTTTTAAAAAAAGTATCTTGGAAACGAAGCATTTCTGGACCTATATTTATACGAACTTTTCATCTTGAAATTACACAAAGAATCACCTTCTTTTGTCTACATACTTTATTAACACCCTGTATAGAGATGGAAGAGTAAGGATTCTGAGGTTGATGAACGCGTCCGCCTCCCTACATGTCTGCATATAACTCGCTGTAGACCTGCGATGACTCTGATGCAGCGCCTATGTAATGCAAATACTTCAGGCTTGTGCACAGAATGACCCCAGTTCAAGAGTGCATATGGTAATCTTGAGTGGAAATATCCATAATATGTGGTTAGCTTCTGAGTTACCCATTCTGTGAACTAAGGCTAGAGAATCTGGAAAAATTATCAAGCAGATTTTCCGTCAATCATAGCGCTCAAAACAAGCGGCTTGGCTCTCCATTGAAGAAATACAATGTCCTCTAGTTTTTCATTGCGATGTCTTTGGGTGGTCGTGTTACTGTAGCTGCTGCCCTCTTTTAATTATCAAACCTTCCGCCGCCGTCGCTTTGCAGCCAAAGCTAATGCCAACGACATGCATTGCCGCCCTCGCGACAACGCGCAGCTGCCGACGCGTCGCGCGACGGCGGACGCTTGCTGCTAATAGAATTAGTTCTTGATTACAGCCGTCTAATTGCAAGCAAAGCACCCAGCCGCTGCAAGGGATGATAATGTAGTCTGCCTAGAAGTGATGTAAGATCAGGAGCTGAGCCGATGTTTTTAACAACGGAAAAGTTCGCAGTGCACGGTTAATAAATACAAAATTAAATTTTTATACTAATCAAAATAGTCTAATAGTTTGATTCGAACTTTACTTTACGTAGAATGAATCCACTAGAGATTGCGCGGTCTGTAGTAAATTAATGGCAGATTGAGGACGCTAGGGCGTGAACATACTTCATTTAGGCATAAAATGATAATTACCTATGTAATAATATATGTAATATAGCTTTAAGAGTTCATCTTACATTTCTCGATAACAGGCCGAGATCTTGAGATGAGCGTTAGTACACGCAAATCTAGAATCACGCTGGCATAAGCAAGCTGACTATCTCATTCTATTTAGATAGCAGACTATATATTACGCACTAGCAGAATGTCGCCTAACTTACAGAATAACAGATTGGGTCTCTGCAAATAAGACGCTAATAAAATTCGTAGAAGAAGCACAAAAATCCATTCTGAAAGTAATATACGAGTACAACAACCCCATATTATACCCATATGAACTTTTGTACGCTGAAACAGAAATTCTTAACATACAAAAATTATATTTTAAAAGCATTATTATAGATCAACATAAAAACAAAAATTATATATTTTACAAGGAACTGAAGTGCTGGTTAAAGGAAAATCTGAAATATAATAACATAAGTACAGTGCTGCCGCATCATAAATTGAACCGCGATATTTTCTTTTTGGCGGCTCTCAATATCTATTTTAGACTCAATTAAAACATACCCATCTTCAGGCATTCCACCTCAAGATAATCCAATTGAATTAGACTTGACTCTCTTCAAAATGGACTTCTAAATTCATTTTTGTGTTCCGCTACTGTCTCACAAATGACCTGCAGATCCCTTTTTGGACGTTAGTTGGCTATCTTCAGGTAGAATACGTCAATAATTAATGCAAAAACACAATTGAAGACACACATGGATAAAGGTGTCATGTAACATTTCTTAAATATTTATTTGTTTTGCATTAAACTAACCTTAAGGAATGATTCTTTCATTCTGTGATTACTTTGTTGAAAAAACAAGACAATAACAAACTAATTAAACTAAGTATTTAAGATTTCAATAAAGTAAAAAGTTCAAATTAAAAACGTTTAAAGTCAATTTTCTCTATACAGTGATTATGTGACATGACAAATTTATCTACTTGTGTCTTCAATGGTTTTCTAAAGCAGCCTCAGTGATGTTTAGCGGAAAGCAGTACCCCACTAATTTTGCAAAAATAAGTAACATTATTTTAAGGCCATTACAATTCTACTCAAAAACTGCCTGTTGGGATTTTTTTCAGACGCAGAAAATAACAATTATTTTCTTCACTACTAACCTGATAAGTCGCCATTATTTACCGCATTCCTCTAACGAACAGTTACATTTCGCCCCTAAGTAAATAATGATGATGAAAAAATCGCTGGATAAGTAATGAATTTACAATCTGCTTAGCTAGTTTTCCAGAGAATTGTTCCTAATATTAAACTCTTTATCAATTTTTGAACATTCCCAACCACTATTGTTTACAAGCATATTTTGTAAGTGAACTTATATACAGGGTCGCGCATCGAAAACGGAACAGACGCATTTACTGGCAGCTGTTTTTTTTTAAAAACACTCAGACCCGTCGATTTTGTTTTCGAGGGGGACACAAGTTTGGCAAAAAATCACGTTAGCACGTGCAGCCCCCTAAGCGGGGTGACACCACCCCCAAAATCTTAAATGGAAAGGGGGGTCGAGTGATACCTCATTTTAAAGGTATTTCAATTCCCTTTATAATGACATAAAACTAATGTACTTCAGTTCAGTAGTTTTGAAGATTTATTAATTTAAAGCTTAAATAAAACTATTACATTATCATTAGTGGAGATCAATACATTTGGCAGCAAAGTAACTTAAAAATGAAGAATGAACTGACCCGTTAGGCAAGTAAATGTTGGGCGTCTTCCAGTAATTCCAAATACATTTCACCAGTCAAATTTCCAGGTAAGAAAAAAGGAACAACTAAATGATCGCCAAAAATACCAGCCCAAACATTTAATTTTTGTGGCTGCTGTATATGAACCTCATCATAAATTCTGGGATTAGAATCGGATCAATATCGGCAGTTATGACGATTTACTACACCATTTAAGAAAAAGGAACATTCGTCGGCAAAGCAAGTGTTGAATACAAAATGTTCATCGTTTATAATTCGTTCACTCATATCTTCACAAAATTGTAATCGCCGATCAAAATCGTCTTCATCAAGTTCTTGTACCAGGTGAATTTTATACGGATGAAAACTATGGGCCTTTGGAATCTGTTGGACAGTACGTCGACTAACACCACACACAGTCTCCAATTTGCGGGTATTTAACGGAGGATCTACATAAACCTGCCCTAAAACCCCCACTCCTATTGCTTCGTTCCTTATGGGATTTTCAATGTTGCATTTTTTATTAGCGACTGACCAGGTTTCCCGAAATTTAGCTACAAGTTCTAGACAATATTTTCGATGCACGTTACTGTTCTCATGTCGCTCATTAAATATTTCTGCTGTTCTATTAGCGCACTGATTATTTCTGAAAAATATTTCGATAATTTCAACTCTTTCTGCTGTGGAATATACCATGGTTAATTTATGTAATAAAGCGTTACAAGTTATTTAGCAACAAAGTTTGGTCAAATCAATCGCAAACTATGTTCTAAATTCCTATTTTAAATAAGTACGAGATATTTCCTTATCTTTCTTCAAGAAATAACTTTTTGCCACAAAAAAAACGCTCCAATAGCTATTTTAGTCAAATTTCTTCTGAAAGTAGTACAAACTAATCTGATGTATTTTTTAAAGTCTACTTTAAGCTTTAAATCAATAAATCTTAAAAACTACTGAACTGAAGTACATTAATTGTATATCATTATAAAGGGAATTTAAAATAAGGTATCACTCGACCCCCCTTTCCATTTAAGATTTTAGGGTTGGTGTCACCCCCGTCCAGGGGGCTGCACGTGTTAACGTGATTTTATCGACGGGTATGAGCGTTTTTCAAAAAAAAAAAAACTGAGCTGCCAGTAAATGCGTCTGCTTCGTTTTCGATGCGCCACCCTGTATGTCCCTCGTTGGAGAAGGTATAGCTTTGATGCCGGGGGCGCGGGGTATTCGAGGGAAGTATTTTGTTTACCTCAAGTTACCATTGCCTTTGAATACCGTGGTTGAACATTTCGCATCAAAATACAATTTTCCACTCGTTTTTAGTGGAAGTTTTTACTCCCGGAAGCGAATTCCAGTGGTGTAAAAATTTTGTCAACACCAAATTCTTATTCCGCGTCGAAAAATACATGGATATACCATTCTTCAGCATGTGATATCCAAAACTCTATTGTCACCCCTCTTAGGCGTAGTTTACCCCAGGGGTAAATTCTAGACGTCTAGGAACTATTCTGATCCCATATTCGAATCCAGAGAATATGCTAATCAGCCACTCAATCTCGATCTTCATTTTTTTGAACCTAGGGCTGTGTTATTAACCATTACACAATATGTTTATCATATGGTATTCAAGGTAGTACTTCTAACTAGCGTAACGAAAAACTGCAACAGCACTGTAGGTACAACTTTCTGAAAACGTTTACTCATTTCCTCAAAAAGCAGTGACGTACATGTTTATAGTTTATCATGAAAACGAAAAATTTCCGGAAACATGTTTATAGAGATCAGAGTAGCTTAAGATACACAAATCTACAAAAAAAAAGCGGAAATAGGATAACAGGAGAAAAACACTACAGTTAACTAAATTACTTTGAATTATTACCACTAAAACTCGTGACCGACAAAAGGAAAACTTTATCGCATGTTACTTATTGCCTCAAAGCAGCAATTCCAGAGGATAAACTAATATTTTTATAAAATCGGGATTTGCTGCTGAAGCAAAAGTTGTTCGAAAACCAGTGCATCTCCCTTTGCACTGCATAGGTTATCTACATATACAATGTAAAGATAATGGAGATATAATACACCGTTCTAAGTAAGCACCTCCTTCATCAGCTTGGGGTGACTACTAGCATGTGCTGTACTGCTACCTATATCCCTTCTTCCAATACAGGTTACAGAATTTGGAATAGTAGAAGTTTAAAATATTTCATTTGTATTTTATTTTCCAGTGAGTCTTTGGCAAAATGGCACCACCAGGAATCGGCAGCTCTTCACAGCCGTACTACCCAGAAACAGAACAAGTACCGAATAGAAAAATAACAGTGTTAGATGGCGGTTTTGCCACTCAATTGAGTTGTCATGTGAACGACCCTATAGACGGTGATGTTCTGTGGAGTTCCAGATTCATTGCAACTAATCCAGAAGCCGTTATAAAAGCACACTTGGACTTTCTAAGAGGTTAGTAACAGTAAAGGGCACTTACCGGAAATCGTAAAGTCTTCGAAAAATTTCATGAATAAATGTGACAAAAAAACTCTACTTTCACATTTTGCTCTCAAATTGCAACTGTATATTTCCTAATATGTTCCTTTCTTCCGAGTATCTAAACGTAAAATCTGGCACCGAAGCAGTGGCGTAACAAGTTCTAGCATACCGTGAATAAATGTATTTGTATTCGTTTATCAGATGAGACGAAAGTAACCTTTCCTCTTCATCCCACAACGTCAACGCGGGTGCTTCGCAGGGATCGGTCTTGGCTACGACACTGTTCCTCTTACATATCAACTACCTTCTTTCCTGCACTATCAACTCAATCCACAGCTTCGCTGATGACAGCGCTTTACATTCAGTAGTGACAAGCCGATCTCTGCCGCTGAGCTAGAAAGAAGAAGACCAGCGACGACTTCCTCTTCGACGAGAGTCCTGGAGATTAGCACTGGTTAGGTACGCAATAATCTTGTACAGTTTAATGCTTCCAGAATACAGTACTGCACCTTGACGAACAAAAAGCGTCCTAGCACTCATCCGGTTTCGATCGATGGCCGAGCTATTCATTTCGGCTGGTCGGAGACCAGATCACCGAGAACCTGATCTGGCACGAACACATCTCGTCAATAGCGGCAACTGCTGGGAAAAAGCTAGGCTATTTGCTTAGGGCTAAGAAATACTTTTCTCCGCATGACCTTGTCACTTTATACAAGGCCCAGATAAGGCCTAACCTCGAGTATTGCTCACACGTTTCTGGTACTGTCACCCCAACTACATTAGCCATGCTCGATGCTGTGCAGAGAAGGGCTGATCGATGACTCTCTCGGGACCCTTACGCACCGGCTGGCCGTCTCTTCTACCGCTACACCAACGGGCTTTGCTCCTCAGAGCTCTCCTACATGATGCCGCCGCACGATGTGCCTGCCAGACGGACCCGCCTGACTTTGGCCTCGCATCCTAACCGTGTCGAACTTTGTACATCCATAACTGGCCGATACGACCGCTCGTTTGTCCCGAGGATGTCGAGATTATGGAACAATCTACAAGAGGAAGCTTCTCCCAGTTCTACTAACCTTGGGCAGTGCAAAAATCGGATTAACAAAATTTCTTTGGGAGCATCAGCGGCTGCTGCGGTATAAAAAATCCTTTGGTTTCTGATGCGTACATTCTGACATCATAAAGTCAATAGTCTGGTTCTATCGGCATCTGGAATAAGAATCATATCATATCGGCTGGAAATACTTACAGTGGCTTCAAATGAGTTCTGTTTCAGTATACCAACTCCAAGTTCCTTTTTAACCAATCAACAAACGAGGATGAACTAGTTAATCCTTGAAAAATGTATCTTCAATTTATTTCGGTTCTTGAGTGCATTGAATTTACTTCGTTTATTGGGATAGTATAAAAAAACTAACAATGGATTTCCACATTTTTCAGTTGTAACAATAGTACATTACATACCTTAACAGATATGCAATTATTCGCCAAGTACTTTTAAATCCTTAGGCGCATGGGATGTGACTCAACGCAAATATTAGAAAAATAAATGAGTGTATTAACAAAACGCCGCCTAATTAAAAGGTGCAATAAATGAAATGAGTACTTATTATTTGGTTCGGGAGGGTCTAGTCGTGTTCGAGGAGATAAATTCACCCAGGGTGACTCCAGGGCAGGAATGCCTCCAACTACTTTTTATAAACCATACTATCCCCGGCTGAGAAGAACAGACCATTGCTGATTAAGATGACTCATCAGCGGATGCACTTTAGAATATCTATCCGTAAGCTTGCAAGCATTCATTGTGGGTTTTCAGACGTGTTCTCGGAGTAGGGTGGGGGCTTAAACCCAAAGTGGCTCTATGCGACGCTAGTACATCCATCCCTCTTGTACGGCGCATTGATTTGGTGACCTTGCATTGGAGAACCAAAGCCAAACTCAACAAAATATGAATCAAATACGAAGCCCGTAGAATTTGCGTAACTACTTTGCACGATAATCACAATAAAATTTGCTGCGCTCTATATCATAGTGTAGAAGTTTATCATATACCTGTGTATGAAATTCACAATGGCCGATATGTACGTAAACAAGATGACTGTATTGTGTTAGTTATACAGGGTGACTTTAAAGTTGAGTCATTAATTTTCAGATAATGATTGTAGAAGGAAGATAAACAAAAATATGTGTGTAAAAATAAAAAAAAAATTAAAAAAAAATGTTACCTTGTTTTATAAAGTATCCTCCCGACAAGTATTTCAGTGCGGACCTGTATTTGATCGTGCGGTCCACAAGTTCAGCATTTTCGTAAACATGTGCCATCTTTGATTTCGTTTGAGCCACGCAACAGACACCACTATTCACTCACGCGTTACCGACTGACACTGACTGTATACAACTGAATAAAATAATTGTAAAAATATCGTTCCAAATTCTTTCGCTTTTTTGTTTCCGATGCGATGAACCGATAAGGCGGATTATATCCGTTGTTGCCAAACACGAGCACATAATATTATTATTGAGACAGGGCGGTACTCAAACTTTCAAAGGGCTATAACTTTGTTACTTTAATTTTACCAGAAAAATGGTAAAGGAAAAAACATTTCTTTTGATCAGATCTACTCACTGTTAAAATAAATGACTCAACTTCGAAGTCACCCTGTATATTCTTCACTTCGTCTATTCAATACATAAGAAATAGTTTGGTTGCAACAAAGTATAATCACGTAACAGATTAGTTGTATAGTTGACCATAACTGAATCTTGCACTGACGCAAATGTCCTATAGCGGCTGCAAGAGGCTTACACTTTTGTTGTATAACTGTTACCTGCAGCCCTTATACAACCTCTCAAATGACTGAAGTGTCCTATTAGGTGTACCCATTCCGCTTGTATAGCTGTTCTAAGAGGGTTTTGCCAATGTTCTTACAGTATACAATGCTGTGTAAGGAATACTGTATAATCATTCTTGCAACTCTAATAGGAGTGATAATTGTTAGTTGGGCTATCTTCCAGGCGGAAATCTTTGCGATTCTGGTTTGGGCCTGGGAGAAGAATAACAATCTGCTCCGACAGCCAGACTGCAATGAAGGCACTAAGTGCCTGGAAGGCTACTTCGAACCTTGTATTGCAATGCCTTGTGTGAGCGCTGCGCAGTAGAGGAAGCGACCTCGGCCCATGTTCTGTGTCGCTGTGAGACTCTGAACTACTACTAGGGAGCCCATCACTGTGGATTCCCAGAACGTTGAAGAGCTGGGATTCAAGGCGATACTCAAGTCTGCTAAAAGGGCAGGGCTTGAGGTTTAGGGAATGTAGGGTTGCATATGGGCCAGTTTGAGTGACCTGTACGCCGTCTCTTCATGGTGGCGGGTATGCTTCCAATTAAAGATACAAGCGGATAAGGTATCATGTAAGAAAATCGCTTAATGGAGAAAATTGACTAAACATTTTTTATTGGGACTTTTTACTTAACTGACATTTTGAATATATAGTTTAGTTAGTTGGTCATTATCTAGTTTTTACAACAAAGTAATCACAGAATGAAAAAAATCGCACCTTAAGGTTAGTTTGATGCAAAAAAGCAATTTTTGAAAAAATGTTACATGACACCTTTATTCAATTGTGTCTTCAATTCATTCATTCAAGCTTGCAAGGTGACGGCTGTTGAGCCTTACAGGGTGGACACTTATCACGTATGAGCTAACAAGAACGATTGTGACTGCAGGGTTAGTTGCTCGCGGTTGAGCAGATTCGCTTTTGTCCTCCAAGAGACTGATAATAATAATGCACAGAGATACACACAAACTCTTTTGAACATAAAATCTAAAAGCTAGTGCTTTCTTTCAGCTATAAAGCAAGGAAATAATGGCAAGAGATCACCCCGAGAGGGACTGCCTCCAGAACAGAAATGCATGAGTGTCAATTCTTATAATCGGCAGGCTTTACATACTGCCCTGTAGGGTAATCACTGGTGAGATAATCTCAATTATCACCCTACTACCTGTCTACATAGAAGTACAACTAGCTTCTTGTACGTTTTTGTTCCACAGTCTCTTTTATTTGGTGGCTACCACCTGCTGCGAAAATGGCCTCATAACGCGTCGGGCTATTCGAGTATTCGAGAAGGGGTAGAAAAATAATTAAAAATACAATGTATCTCATCTGGTGTTCGCCTACATGCTGGAAATAAATTCTTTAAGTATGCAAATGCTTGCGTTGTTGCAAAAAAAGCAGTTATGGTGTTATGAACCAAGCTCCCATTTCCAGAACGATACCTACGTCCTAAATGTATGAGAGCATGTTTCACTCCGCTGAAATTTGAATTAAGCCGTAATTAATGGAAATGTGTTTTTTGAAACTGTTGTGATACGGGATAGCATCTGGAAGTATGAAGAATTTAAACGTAAAGGCGGTATTTTACACCTCAGCTGACACTAGAAAATACTTCTTAATTTATACATATAAAGAGGTATTAGTAAATCGGTGACAGATGGAACTACGAGTATAAAAAAAGTATCCAAGTTCCATTTACGCCTACTCCGAATAAACGCTAGCTCGCGACATTCAAATTTGTGCGTTTCTATTGACCAGCGGGAAATAAATGCTTGAGCGTGGCAGTGACAAGTGAATGGAAGGGACGATCAGGTGCTCATGTGGGCGTAAATGGGATTTATTACATTATGGGCAATAACTACTTATAAGGTGTCGTCGAAGCTAGTTCTGGAATCCAGGAAGATTTTAGACGGTGTTGCAGCGAATACTGCACCCATATTAATCCTATTATCCCTACTAATCTTATAAAAGTATTTATGTATGTTTGGTGTATGTATGTTTGTATGTGCGAGTATTATAGGTATGTTTGTATGTTTGTATGTACCGTTTTCACGCCAAAACGGCTGAACCGATTTTGACGAATTTTGGCACATATATCCAGTGGGGAGTTGACATTTCTAATTTGAATTACGCAGAAACCGTATACGAGCGGAAATGGGGAGAGAGGTCTTGATCGACGCTATCCGCGTGCGGGTGAAATAGTCATAATGGAACGTTGGACCGGAGCGCAACGTGCTTTTGCTATCGGGGCTCACTTTAAGAGTGGTGATTCATACGCAGTCAACACTGCATGCCTTAATGAAGAAAAAGTAGGTTTTCGTCCCTATAAATTCCAATCAGTCCATGCTTTGAAGGAAAGCGATTACGTATTACGGAAATCTTGTGCTAAACGAATGTTGAACCTTTTTCCTATGCAGCTCATTTGGGCGCAATGATATTTAATAAATAAAACCCGCCGAATTTACTAATATGTGGATAGTAATAAATATGTTCTAGTCATTAAGTTTGTTTTTTTTTCTTATAACAAAAAGTGAGCTTTCCTACTGGACACCCTGTAGATTAGACCTTGTAGTCGGAGATAGGCTAACCTGTGTTGTGGAAATTAGGCTTGAAGAGTCGAAATGAGGGGTGAAAGCTACTATGCCATTTATTCATATGTATTCTGGCCCTATATCAGATTGCATGTACTGAATCAGAAAAAAGGGACTTCCCTGAAAATATGCATGGTGTTCCATTTAAAACAATACAACTGCATTCGACAGCACCTTTCTGATAGTATACAAAAAAGTAGTAGAGAGCAAACTTCATATTAGGCCCTATAACTTCTATATACAACTTTTTATTCTGGAAGTTCATATCAAACATTTAGAGGAGGATCAATTTATAGCTAGGATGGTATAAATGGTTAGAGTATCACAAGCAAGAATAGATTTCCTAGAAAAGAAAGTTGTTGTCATAATTTAGTAGGAACGTATTTGGGCGATAATTTTAATTTTACACAATCTTCCCATTTCCGGGAGCTTTTGATCGTTTTTTTTTTCTCTTGGAATATTGAATGTTTATCTAGACACGACAAGTTAGGTATCACCACAGAATATTGTATGCAATTCTTTTAGCTGGAGCAGATGTGATCATAACCAACACATATCAGAGTGACGTCGATTTGTACGCCAAATATTTGAACATTACAAGAGACGAAGCATACAATTTGATAAAAAAAGCTGTAGAACTGGCACAGATTGCCGTTAAGAGGTATCAAGAGGAGTTTCCTAGAAACCGTAAGTCATTTCTCAAACAACAAGTTCCACATGCTACAATTTGATAGATAATATCAGCATTTGTGCCTCAAGGCTGCACATCTCTTTTTTTCAACAGTCTGTTCGAAGGAGTTTACTTAATACTCTTGATATGATTCTTTCAGTGTGTATATAGAGATGACTGACAGGCAGTATTATCAATTTCACTTCCCACGCCTACTGGCGAGGAAGTACTGTAATCGCGAAATATTTCCAAAATGAGATATTACATTCTTTGGATGTTATTATGACATGTACGTCACGAGAAGACGTGTCGCTCATGTCCGTTGATCTGTCTGTCCGTTAATCCTTGGCCAGTCTATAACTGAAGAACCGGACCAAAGTGAAAAAAAAACACGAAAAATATAAAAATCATTCAAACTTTGTTTTTTGACGCTTCAGAAACTGCTGATCAATTTCAGAAAAAAAAATTGTAGAGGCTAAAAATTGAGGTTGGGGTTTTAAAGGATATGGAATGGTATATCTGAATTCCGGCATGTTCACGCACCTATTCGACATATTTCTCACATGATACATTTGCCCTTAAAACTTAGACTTACAGACTAATGTTTTCGATACGAGTCCCTGCTTATGCTCCTTGGCTTCACCGGTAAGCGTGCCGGCCATTATGCCGCGGTTTGCGGTCCACCATGCGGAAGAGGCGACGTTGCCACATGGACGGTACTACTTGTAGGGCAGGTAAAGGATGTGTATGAATTTATTGCATTCGCCTGTTTGACTGACTTGAACTGTTTATTGTCTCGGTTATACGTGTTCGAAACTGTTTTCTCGAACTTGTGCTGAACGTCCTTTAAGCACTGCATTTAACACCGTAAAACAATCGGATGAAACATATTAATAAATATCAATTAAGACAGACTGTTCAAAAAATGGATATGCGACGTTAAAGCGGCTTTTCATGCTAGATAGGTGGGAATTGGTTACTTATCTTCATAAGGGACCATGCTAACGCGTTTCTTAATTATTTCCGCATCCAATAGATTCGGGAAAAGACTTGAAGAAAGAAAAAAGTATTTGAATAGAGCGAAATTGAGCCGTATTCATAAAACAAAGATTATCCTTGTACTTGCAAATTTTGAAGGCAATCCTCCAGATGGCATTTATAATAATTTGAAGAAAGGTGGTCAAACGATGATGGCGGAAATTGTGGATGTTAGGTATGACAAAACGTACACACCTCGTTTACCTTCACTTGGTCGTGACTTCAAAAAATTACATCGGTTCGACGAAGCAAATGTACAATGGCTTGCGGACAGATTTTTAGTTGAGAATGAGGAAACTCAAGGAGGAGCACCTTCGTGTATTCATAAAATGAAGATATTTCTACGCTATCTCGGTGACCCTGGATATCAACAAGGTATTGGTCAGGAACTTGGTGTAATTCGAGCAACGGTATCTCGGACTGAGGATAAAGCGTGAACAGCATAGTTGCACAGTCGAACGAATGGATCAAGTTTCCAACTACCAACCATGATGAATGCCAAGCGGAAATGGCAAAGCATTTCCGACATCAATTGGTGTAATTGATTTTACGCATATAGGAATCCTGAAACCAAATCGAGATGAGTATATCAACCGAAAAGCGGAACCTACTTTAAGTGTGCAAGCTACTTGTGATGCCAGAGAGATGTGCACAGGTGTTGTTGTCAGTTGGCCTGGATCAGTGCATGATTCCAGAATATGGAAAAATTCACAGACTAGATCACAACTAATAAATAAAGCAAATGTTGTACTACTTGGTGATGACGGTTATGGTATTGAGCCATGTCTTATGACTCTCGTCAGAAATCCTACTCCAGGTGCAGAAATAAATTATAATAACCTTTTAAAACAAGAAAGAGTTATAATTGAACGCTGTTTCGGCCAACTGAAACGTCGGTTTCATATCGTACAGTATGTTTGCCACGTAAAGTTGGAAAATGTCCCGAAAATAATTATTACTTGTATTGTACTCCATAATGTTGCGAAGAGCTTGGGCGATCCTGACTTTGAGTTAGTTGAACAAGACCCAGATGAAGATGAAGGAAATCATGAGAATGACGAACTTCCTCTCCGCCAACTAGGTCAACAAATAAGAAGAAACTTGAGAATTATAATAAATAGTTTCACTGATTAAGGTGTATTTATAAGTTATAATAAGTTTTATTTTCGTGAACATCATAAGTTACAGGTGGCTTCTGACGCTGCATCATTTCTAATTTCGTTTTATAATACTCTTGTCGTAAAATACTTATTACTGCCGTAATAGCACTAGACGTTGCAGTTCTTTTGTAGTTAACGCTTTGGTTTCCTCAGTTTGGTATTTCTCTGTTGCTAATTTTCTTTTTGGTGGCAATGTCTTCCGAATTGCTGGAGCTGTAATATTAACTGTTTGCTCACTGCTCGGTATATAGTTCACTTCCTTCTTCTTGAACACTACCAACCTGAATGGCACCTCTAATTTTCCCAATTGTAGGATTACAGTCACCTTCCATAACTTTCTGCAACTTTATTTCCCAATCTAACAATTTGATTGCTTTATTATCACTTTTTTTCTTGATTTCATGTTGTTGATTTTTTTTAATAAGCCTTTACAGTATATTCAGATAAGAGATAGACCGGACATAAACAAGACCACGTGATCATCGAACGCTGTAACATTCGGCAGGGACGTATTAAGAGTCACGCAGTACATATTTTAGATAGTAGATGCTGCTTTGCGTAACTTTGTAGTAAATTAGCACAATTCGATGTGTATACGATTGGTGATGGATATAGGATCATGTGGGGGTGGGGTAAGAAATATATAATGATGTAAATATACTATACATAAGGGTTTCAAAATGTTCGCTTCGATTTCCAGCTTCGGATGCCGCCTGATGTTTGGTGAAATACAGTCGAATATAATCTCAAAATGGCGTTTAAATTAGCCTAAATTAAAAATAATCGTATATCTCTTAAAATTGCTTTTAGAATATTGATTAGTATATTTTTTGATTTCTAGGTAAATATGTAACCAAATTAAAACGTTCAAAACGTAAAAAAATGTGCATGGTTGAACATTGTCAGAAAGTAGATTCTTGAATAGGTTTTGCCAAAATGGGTTCAAAATTGTCAATAATTAGTTAAAAAATACAGTAGCTTTATAATTACTTATAACTTACCGAATTTGATGAACAACATCTTTATTGGAAAGATGAGCTTGATGAGCTTTCATCATCGCTACTGCCTGAAGCACCAACGTGAATAATGAATGGCTCGACTTGTTCCTCTAAAATATTGTCCAGTTCCCACATTCTCTTTTCAACTTTGTCTTTCACGTGCTTAATACAGTTTTCCCATTTTTGCGCTGTTATTAATTCTAGTGCTTCTTTGAAAAGTCCTTTGAGGTCACAAAATTTAAAAGTTGTATTGTGCTTAGCTATATAATTTTTAACCTCTGCCCATATGAGCTCAATGGGATTGAGCTCGCAATGGTATGGAGGTAAACGGAGCACAGTTTTATTTTGACTTGCTGCCATTTCGTCAATGGCGTATTTTTGATATTCCGCCTTGTGATCCTTGACAATTCTTAATAATTGTACTTTCAGCATTGCTTCTTCAAAGTTGATATTTTTCGAGCGGAGCCAATTTTGAACATCAACTTTCCTTGAAGCCGTTGTTGGGACCTTCTCCATTCTTCGAGAATGATAAGGCGCATTATCCAACACAATTACTGCGTTTTCCTCTAAGTTCGGTAAAATTTTTGAAAACCACTGTTCAAACGATTCGCCATTCATTTCCTCGTGGTAACCTCCAGTTTTCTTAGACTCAAAGCACCACAGACCGTCAACAACAAATCCATCCTCAGTGCCAATATGGCAGATAATGAGCCTTTTCCCTTTACCTGGAAATCGAAGTACTAACTGGTGTAGATTTATTTCAATAAGCGAACCTTTTTCAAATGTTTTCATCACATTCAGCGAAAAAACATTGCGACATGAGTATCAGATTGCTATAATTGGGATTATTTAGTCATATTGAAAGAAAGAATATTGAACGTCGTATGATTACTCAGCGCTTCACAATTTAATTTAAAGTTATAAACCTTTAAAAAATGAATGATCAGGAACCTGAAATACGCGCAAATATTAATATTAATAAATTATAACTTTATAAAGCTTGAAGTATGAATTAAAATGATTAGAAATATTAGGAACGGTACACAATATAAAACTTAGCAACTTTTTTTAAGTTTATAGTATTCTACATATTTTAAGATTATATTAAAAAATTATTGAAATATCGAAAACACATAAAAACATGGCTTAAAAAAGTTCTAACAAATGAAAATGACAATAAAACATCCACGCATTTTATCGAAAGTTATAAAAGTTTTGTTACTTGTAATATGTTTTATCTGCCCCCTGGAATTAATGTTTAGAACCTTGTTCCCAAGGGTTGAAAAACATCCGATTGTTGTCTATTACTCGTATTTACCTGCTGGATTTTTTAATCCGGTGGACAGTCCATCTATAAAGGCCCTCCTGGATGAAGTTACAGAATCATCAACCCATACTTTACTTGTAGTGTGTCCTGCGTTTACCCACGTTTCATCAAGGTAATAAATCTTCCTGTTTTGATTTCTATATTTCCCAATTTTTGTTAAATAATCCCTCCTCCATAGCACAATTTCTTCTCTATCTGGTAGTAAACTATTACGACCCCGTTTTTTCCATTTGAAATTTAAATGCTTCAGTAACGCATGGAAAGTTGATCGTTTGAAATTTGGCAACGTTGTATCTCCATTTACCTCCTGCAGTACTTTATCTATAGTAGGTATTTCATTCCTAAAGAAGAATTCATGCACTTTCCTCCTAATCGCATGCTTATCAGCTTCATCCAATGATTTAACAATACTTTTGCGATGTTTACCGGTCATTGGCTCAGAAAAGGTGTGATTTTTTTTGTATTGTCTTAACACATTAAACACTGATGCGCGACACACCCCAACTTTGTGAGAAACCTTCACAACAATTTCTTTGATGGTTGATGCCTCGTTCTCCTCGCGCTCGATCTTATATATATTCAAAATGACCTCTTTCATTTCTGCACTCAGGTGTCTTTTTTTAGAGCGTTTCCTAGGTGGACTACAGGAGTTTACAACTTCATCGGCAGTATCTGTACTACTGGGCATTTTGCGTAAGCAGTTGATAACAATAACAATCAATAACAGGGTATAACAATAACAACGACAAACTCAACAACTTAATAAGATAACAAACGAAAACGTCCAAAGAAATATCAAATTGCAATGATGCACCCGACATACGTAACACGTCTGAACCTGAATGTGACTCTGCCTTGATACGACTGCTCTACCGCTTGGCATAGGCATTTAATTCCGAATTGACCAATGAGGGCTCCTGTTTTACGTCGAGACGGCGGCGTTAGCGTGAAAATCACCCGAACCTTTTGTTTACATCCGGTCTATCTGTTATCTGAATATACTGTAGTATCTAATGGTTTACCGATTGTTGATTCGTCTTTTTTCAACATCTTCTTCAAGGCATGGTCCTTTCTCATTTTTATTTTGGGAACTTGTGAGTTTTGCAAAATAATGGGAGCAAAGGTAATTTCATCTGCGATGAACTGCAGGTCGTTGCCATTATTTTATATAGTTTCCTCATCACTTGAGGATGGCATGCTTGTTAATTTGATAAGAAATTATATCCAGTAAAAATACGGAACGGTCTGTGTAAGCTCTGGAGTACAACTGTCAGTGATGCTGAGTGAACGAGCTCCCACCTCAACTACAAGCTGGAACAAATCAGGACATGTTGCTGAAGATACAAATACCAGTCAACCTTTTACTTCTTCTTGGAGGATATCCTCGCGAGTATAAGGTAATCATTATGAATATGAAAACAAGGATATGCTTATACTTCTACCTTTTTCTCCGGAGCAAGACCTTATACTTTCACATTATGCTTCCGAGGATATGCTTCGCCTTTATGAATACGGCTCATTATTGTTGATTTTTATCGCAGTTCAAGTCTTTTTTGAGAGTGTGATGTGTCAACTAATTCATCTATGATCCCAACATGGTCACTTAGCGGTCATTAAGCATCAACGTCCGCCATACTCGACCATAGTAGGGAGGAGATAAGTTTGAACCAACTATAATTATACTTCTCGCCTCTTCCTCTAGATTCTAGATCACTATGTAGTTCACTCTTCGCCGCCAGGTGGAGCCACGCATTCCAAAGCTAAACAAGATCCATCCGGTGCAGCCCTCTTGCACCGCTGCGGACTGTCAACGACTCGTTACTCTTTTGCGTGCGAGAGGAGTGACGTTGTTCTAGGATATTACCGGCATAATGAGTAAAAACGTGCGGAAACGGGATAGGTCCCGCTCGGATACGTACTCGGTTGCCAGTTCATCTGATGAGTGGCAGATATCATGTTAAAATTGGCTCACAAAGTGTCTCGTCTCCAGAGGGAACGTAAACGACGCCGGCCTTCACCGGAACGTGACAACAGTGCGGATGAAGGTATTTCTCAACAGATAATGCGGCCTGCTTTGGGCCTTGTAAACTATCATACTTCCGCTTCAGAATTTAAGTTTTCCACTGATTGTTTCTGTATTGCACAACGTGCACAATGACAACAAATAAGATGGCTACCAACGAGTTTTGGTACACGCAACTGACGTGGCCTGTAGACGTACCCCTTTCATTCACTATTCTGGGTACTGCCGACGAATTTCGGCAAATGTGTTGTCAACGAGTTTTGACAAACACGACTATTTTACCACACCGCCAACGAGTTTTTGGCAAAATTGTGATGCATCGCAGTTGTGTTTATACACTGCCAACGAGTTTTTGCAAAATTGCGAGGCATTGCAGTTGTGATTCTACACTGCCGACGAGCTTCGGCAAATGTGTTGTCAACGAGTTTTGACAAACACGACTATTTTACCACACCGCCAACGAGTTCTGGCAAAGTATAAGGCAGAACGATTACTTTATTCTATTGTCAACGAGTTTTGACAGACCGTAATGGCAGATACAGTGTGTTGTAGTGTATACTAAGTGACATATAAATCCGAACACCCAGTTTAAATGGTTTTATTTTAATAAAGTTTTGTATAAGTACTTAATGAAGCATAATAAGTAAATGATAAAAATTTCAAAATGATTGCACTGCTTTAAAGCCCTTTGACCTTTAATAATGTGTGGATGCACCCTGATGTGCTACGCATTCTCCAACGCGCCTAGGCATGCTTCTGATCAGGTGGTCAATGTCCTCCTGTGGTATCTCATTCCAGGCAACCACCAACTCCTCTCGAAGTGCTTCTAGGGTCTGAGGAGGACGTTGCAAATTGAGCAATCTCCTACCCATCATATCCCACACGTGCTCAATTGGGGATAAGTCGGGAGATCTTGGTGGCCATGGTAACAATGTGACATCATTATGTTGAAAGAAGTCTATTGTGACTCTTGCAACACGTGGTCGGGCATTATCTTGCTGGAAAGTTGGATCTGCCAGGGTGTCAAGATAGGGTAAAAGATGGGGTTCTAGAACTTCGTGGATATAACGCTGCGCGTTCATGTTAACTTTGATGAAGATTAAAGGTGACCTGGAACCATAAGCTATAGCACCCCAAACCATAACTCCAACAGTCTGATGTACATGTCTTTCAACAAAAAACTGTGGATTCCTCCTTTCACCACGTCGCCTCCTAACCCTGGCACCACCATCGTGCGTGCCTAAACAAAATCGAGACTCGTCACTAAAGACAATACTGTTCCATTCCTGATCCCCGTTGTCTGCACCACTCAAGGCGATTACGTCGGTGTTTTCGAGTTAAAGGGAGGACCCAGTGTGGCCGGTATGAAAACAAGCCAAAACTTCTCATCCGTCGGTAAACACTTCGCATGCCAATAGGTTTTCCGTGTTCTGCAAACCATTCTTTTGCAATGGACCTGGTAGTGGAGAAACGGTCCCTTAAGACCAATAATCTTAGGCGGCGATCTTCACGGTCTGTTGTTCTACGGCGGCGTCCAGTGCCCCTTGCTCTTTGCGTGCGGCCTTCTCGAAGCCATGCCTGACAACACATAACCACAGTGTCTACACTTCTTTGCACTCTAACTGCAATTGCCCGAAAAGAAAGTCCAGCTTCCTCAATTCCTCCTATACGGCCCCTATCAAACTCACTAAGTTGACGAAATCGTACAGGTCTCCGTACTCTAGGCATCGTAACCGATCGTAAAGGATGTCAAGAACCAAAATCCGCCAACGTTGATTTTTTACTGCGGCTGAAATATTTATTTTTAGAGCGTTAGTGAATTAAAAAAAAGCAGTATAAAAACCGGAATGTCCAACTGATAAGGCTGAACATTTTTTCACTTGTTATTTACAGTAAGATAAATATTCGGATTTATATGTCACTTAGTATATTTCATTCATTGCAGCAGAGGACGGAGTTGCCGAACGCAATGTTGCCGTCTCTACCGAAATTCCTGCGCTCTTGGAGAGAAACATTGTTGCCACTTCCGACGAGTTTCGGGCACCTTTGGGAAAAGGCAATGTTGCCGAGCGCGATGTCGCCATCTCTGATGAAATTCTGGCGCTCTTGGGGAAAAACAATCTTGCCGATCAGACTTCTACAAATGATCTGAAAAATGAGCTTGTGCAAAGTTGGTCTAAAATATTACAGGAAGGTGTGTCTCCCCAGGTGCTAACCACTACATAGAGCAAGTATTATCCGCAATCTAAGCATCTCTACTGCTCCCAAACTCAATTTGGAGATCTTATCGGTTCTTACGAAACAGCACAAAGAGCGAAATCTACGACTCGCTAAGCGTCAAGACCAGATGGGAGCCGCTCTGGTGGCAATTGGCAAAGCACTCACAATCCTCTTGGAAAAAGGGGAGGGGGCACATAGAAGAGTGTTGGTTGAATGGCTCAGTGATGCAGGGCGTTTAATTTCGGATATCCACCATGAAGAATCTACCTGTAGAAGAAATCTAGTCTCGGTGCATGTAGACAAGCAGCTTCTAGGTACACTAACTAACGTAACTGTTGACGGTTGGTTGTTTGGACAAAATTTGGGTGATCGGTTGAAAGCAGATCGTGAAATGGAGAAGTTATCGTCAAACCTCGAGGCTAAAGCAGTTACTGCCAGATCTACCGCTTCGGTAAATTTCAAGAGTCTGTCTCGAGCAAATGTCAAGGGGTATTGAGGCAGACCCAAATATTTCCGGAAAACTCAGAGCCTAGAGGTCAAAAACACTCGGAAGATCTGTAGCTCAACCAAAGAAAATCGTCCAATTTATCGAACCAACTAAGCCCAGGCCTATCCAACACGGACCAGTTAGAGGTAATCTATGAATGTGAAGGGTTAAAATACTTTTCACGGTCCTGGGAATCACTAACTTCAGATAAACTGCTGTTATCATGGGTCAAGATTATCTAGTCCCGTTTTACCAAACACCGTTTCAGAAATCTGCCCCTAAGGAACTGAAATGGTATTTAACAGAACAAAGATTTTTAGATGTTAAAATTAAGAGTCTTTTGTCGCTGGACGCCATAACGAAATGCTCTTTTTTTTCACAGTAAGCCCAAAATATGTGCTGCAGGTACGCTTAAATGCTACTTGGATAAAACCAGTGTTTTAAGACAGTTGGGCAAACTTGCTAAACTTTTTCTGACTTATAAGAAACCTCACAAAGAAGCAACGGCTCAGTCTATTAGTCGCTGGATCCGCATGCTGCTAGACAAAGGTCGGATCGACATTCGATCTTTACAGCACATCGTACCAGACACGCGGCCACATCAACAGCTGTCAACAGGGGTATTAACGTCGAGACGATACGTAATACAGCAGGGTGGACTGCTTCATCTGATGTGCTCGCAAAAGGTTTATAACAGACGTTTAACCAAGTCCGAGGATTTTGCAGATGCAATTCTCAGACAATAATGGGGGCGAAGATAGAGTTAGATTATACTTGTTATATAGAACAAGTTTTCGCAAATGGAAATTAGTTACTCATAGAAATATTGGAGATTAAAGAATCTAGGAACTATGTTCCTGTTGCTTTTGTTCTCCCTGTAACTGTTGCAGTGTCAACTTTGAACATCTACATAGTGATCTAGAGGAAGACGCAGGAAGTATAATTATAAGATTAAACGAACTTACCTAAGTGATGTTTGATCTTAATTATACGACCGCCACTTCCGAATAGATCACTCATCCCTCCCTCCCTGACCCGTGATCTATTCCGAGGCAACAGTTACTGCTTTAAAGATAATGAGTCGTTGACAGTCCGCAGCGGTGCAAGAGGGTTGCACCGGGCGGATCTTGTTTAGCGTGGCTCCACCTGGCGGCGAAGAGTGAACTACATAGTGATCTATTTGGAAGTGGCGGTCGAATAATCGAGATCAAACATCACTTAGGTAAGTTCGTTTAATCTTATAATTATTTTTAGTTAGACCATTAATAGCTGGATCTGTTGGTCCTTACGGGGCATCACTACACGATGGGTCCGAGTACACGGGTTCCTACGCCAGGACTACATCAGCAGAAACGATGCGTCAGTGGCACTTACCCAGAATACGAGCTCTAATTGAAGCTGGTGTTGACATGTTAGCTATAGAAACCATACCATGTAGCTTGGAAGCGGAAATGTTAGTGAAACTGCTTAAAACAGAGTGTCCCGGAATGAAGGCGTGGTTGACATTCAGTTGTAGTGTAAGTAAAGACATTTTTTAACGAACAATATCTTTACTGTATTGCATAATTTATATACAGGGTATCGCATCGAAAACGAAACAAACGCATTTACTGGCAGCTCATTTTTTTTTTTGGAAAAACGCTCAGACCCGTCGATTTTGTTTTCGAGGGGGACACAAGTTTGGCAAAAAATCACGTTAACACGTGCAGCCCCCTGGGCGGGGATGACACCAACCCTAAAATCTTAAATGGAAGGAGAGGTCGATTGATAACTTATTTTAAAGGTCTTTCAATTCCCTTTATGTAAAATACATGAGCTTCAGTTCAGTAGTTTAAAAGATTTATTGACTTAAAGCTCAACGTAGACTTTAATAAGTACATCAGATTAGTTTGTACCACTTTCAGAAGAAATTTGACTAAAAGAATTTACTTAATAAGTAAATGCTTTTCTTCACTACGCCTATGGTTTGTTTATCAATTTGTTGTTGAAAATAGCTATTTGGGCGTTTTTTGTGGCAAAAAAAGTTATTTCTTGAAGAAAGATAAGGAAATATCTTGTACTTATTTTAAATAGGAACTTAGTCCATAGTTTGTGATTGATTTGACCAAACTTTGTTGATAAAATAACTTGTAAGGCTTTATTACATAAATTAACCTTGGTATATTCCACAGCAGAAAGAGTTGAAATTATCGAAATATCTTTCGGAAATAATCAGTGCGCTAATAGAACATCAGAAATATTTAATGAACGACATGAGAACAGTAACGTACATCGAAAATTTGTTCTAGAACTTGTAGCTAAATTTCGGGAAACTGGGTCAGTCCCCAATAAAAAACGCAACATTGAAAATCCCATAAGGAACGAAGCAATAGAAGTGGGGTTTTAGGGCAAGTTTATGTAGATGCTACGGTAAGTACCCGCAAATTGGAGGCTGTGTGTGGTGTTAGTCGACGTACTGTCCAACGGATTCTAAAGGCCCATAGTTTCATCCGTATAAAATTCACCTGGTACAAGAACTTAATGAAGACGATTTTGATCGGCGATTACAATTTTGTGAAGATATGAGTGAACGAATTATAAACGATGAACATTTTCTATTCAACACTTGCTTTTCCGACGAATGTTCCTTTTTCTTAAATGGCGTAGTAAATCGTCATAACTGCCGATATTGGTCCGATTCTAATCCCAGAATTTATCATGTGGTTCATACACCGCAGCCACAAAAATTAATTGTTTGGGCTGGTATTTTTGGCGATCATTTAGTTGGTCCTTTTGTATATGTATAGAGTAGCCAGAGACGATGCCAGTAACAAAAGCTGGCCTACGGAATATTTTTTGTCTGGCCTGGCTCCATAGCTCCTCATGTCTGACTGTTTCGATATATTCTCAAATATCGCCTATGTAAGTGAGCCTTTATGTTTCCAAAACATGAGTCTGCATCCAAACTCTTTCTTCTCATAAAAATCCAAAAACGTTACAAATGCATCTAAGACGGGTAGACTGTTTTTCTTAAACACAACGTATTCCACTCTCGTCATTTGCATGTTCTTCATAAGCATGGATTGGATTAAATTAATTAATCCTCAATCAATTATTTATCAATCAATTGTGAATTAATTATAAATGTCTCTAGTTAATTCTAGACGGTTGCATGCACTGAGGATTAATTAAAAACTTGTTTTGATCCAAACTCAAATCCTAAAGGTTACACTGAAAATTTAATCACAGCTCCGCCCTCTCCTCAGGCTAAGATAGCAAGCATCGCACTCGAATCCTTGCGATGAATAAACTTCCATTGCAATAGTTATCTCAATGTCGCATAAGCGTCTAGGTATTTTCCGCAAAAATATGTCTGATGACTTGCTTGCTTGTATTCCTGGAGATAAGACATTATAATCAACATTTACTAGCAATTTGTCAGATATCCAAAAACCACGAGAAAGACTGGCGGACTGATATTTGAAAGTTAGGTAACATTTTCAACGTATACCCTAACTGCTAGTACACACGGGCGTTAAATTTTCGGGCTACAAAAGATCGCGCGTTCAGCTTTATATTAATGTAGATGGAACAGCTTACACTATTTTAGTATACGTAGTCCCAGCATATGATCCAACTCACTACGGGTCAAAGTAGAAGATACCATAACCATATGGGTAACTCTATCAATATACTGAGGAAAATAGTTTGTTTTCCTGTGCCATTTTAGTTCCAGAATCTTGATGATACAATGTTTCTTGCTGTACAGAATTATATAGGTGAAAACGAATGTTATGAGGTTCGTGACATACAAAAATCTCTCATCAAAATTTTCAGTTCGCAAAAAAGGAGGTGGAGTTTTTTAAAAGTGAAAAGCACCTTAACAGACTTCTACATACGTAAGTACCACAACAAACTTAAGGAGAAGGTAGGCTTTGGTCTGACCTCCCAAATAACAAAAACTTACCTATATAAAAGTATCACCGTTTTTGAGATATTGAATTTTTTCTTATATTTTGAAAAACGAACATTTTCATCTGTGGTCTTTAGCTGCATGTAGGTTATACTTTCGATACTTCTAGATAGTTGCTTTATCATATACAAATGCAATGAAGTGATATTAAGGAACCATGATAAACTGAGGACTGTTTTGGTATTTATAAACTTCTGATATCGTTTCTTAAAAATTGTTTTTCATTTTTAAACTTCAACACCCCGTATTTTTTCAATGAAGCTCTCGAGGAAAAAAAGTTACATAGAAGAAAGATGCGGTCGTGTATAACATGTTTTATTTTTGGTCACGACTTGTGAATCACCCTAAGTATGGTATAATTAATCGAATTCTGTTCTAGTTCTATACTGGTTATTTATCTCATCGTTTTGGACGAATTTACGAGTATTTCGATGCTCAAATGCGCAAGTGGCACATTCGAAAATGTAAATGCATGATGTCACCAGATCATTCCGCTTAAAGATGTCTTCGCAAGAGTCTCGGATGTTAATATTGGAAATCGATCTGCTAAATAAATACTGTTTTCACCATTTGTCATTCTATGAACTAACTTACGAGAAACTTCAAAGCTATTGGCTGATCGATCAGAAACACTTCCTGCAACAACCTTTAGACGTCGTTTTTTAAGCTTATTTTGACTGTAGCATGATCCATTCCTTCCAGCAAGACGGCAAGTCGATCGCGGTAGGCGAGGACTTCAAAGAAGTTGCACGCCGATGTTATTCACTCAACCCGGAGCAGCTGGTGGCAGTGGGCATCAACTGTTGCGCGCCCAGGTTGGTCGAGCCCTTGATCAAGGGGATCAATACGATGCCAGAGGCGAAAACGACGGCGACGGAGAGAAAGGCGTCAGGACGACAGGATGAACACACAGCGAGGATACCGTTGGTAGTTTATCCGAATAGCGGAGAGAATTATGACGTTGAAGTGGGGTGAGTTATATTCCGAGTGAAAATACGTATTTTAATGTACAGGGTATGAAGTTGTGGTTGCACCAGGTGATAAAGGACCTATAGAATCAAGCCTGACGTGTTTTCCGAAATATAGTAATTTGGGAGATATATCCAATTTTGTGAAATCAGCAAGGGTATCACGTATCTCGAAAAGTGGATGTTACATTGATTTTTTTGACATTATAATGTTTTTTTTTTGACAATACGTACGGTTTTCTGCAAGATGTTAACTTAGCACTTAGTTGTAGCTACGTGTTGCCTAAACGTCATGAGGCTGCCGTTATTAATGTTTGACTCTGATGTGATGTAAAATCTGCTTCGGAGATGCCGTTACTGGAGGTCTAAGCTGTAAGTTGTATGTGTTGATGATAATTCCTTTGGATTCTTGTCTCAAATACACTTAATTGAGATTCAAAGCTAGAAATTAGTTGCACTCGGCAAATATCACTGATTTTATACACATGCAGATAATGCACACGATCATCCAGATGCGATCTTGCTATTCTACCAACTTTCTTCTAAGAGATAAAAACTACACACATAGACCACTCGGCCTCACAAAACATATGCAACCAATAATGCGTGTAGTTTAGTTGAGTGATTTCACCATAGATGGACGTTCACAATGATCCTAGCGAGCATTAATAATTTCATATGTTTTGTGAGGCCGGGGGGTTCGTGTCTGTAATTTTTATCTCTGGGGAGAAAGTTTGTTGAATAGTAAGATCGCATCTGAATGATTATGTGTATTGGTCTGCATGTGTATAAAATCAGTGATATTTACTGTGTGAGAAAATCATTACTGAATATGCTGCCAATGAAGTATATCTATTAGCTGTGCCCGACGGGTTATTTATATTTTGTGCTTTCTGAAGAGAGGCTATGTTCAAAGTTATAAATTACGAAAAACTGAGGAGAATTACGAGAAATCATCACCGCGCCCGCGTTGTGAATATAATTATTTCTTATCTCTCTCATTTCTTAAGTCCAGCAAATTTGTATATGTAATTTCCAGAATGGATAATAAAAATTTGCTGAGCAACTAATTTCTAGCTTTGAATCTCAATTAAGTATATTTGAGACAAGAACCCAATGGAATTGTCATGAACACATACCTACAACTTACAGCTTAGACCTCCAGTAATGCAATCTCTGAAGCAGATTTTGCATCACATCAGACATCAGAGCTTAACATTGATAATTGAAGCCTCATGACGTTAAGGCAACACGTACAACTGAGTGCTAAGTTAACATTTTGTACAAAAACCTACATAATGTCAAAAAAGGACGGTATAATGTAAAAAAATCGATATAACGTCACTTTTCAAGATACATGATACCCGTGCCGATCTTGAACTCAACTTTTGGCTACTGTGCTATTTTGAGGACATAATAATTTAAATAAAAAACTGTCATTTTCATTTGATCATCTTTCAAGGACTGTCAGTAAAAAATCCACTGTACCATTTCCTCAAAACTCTGTTAAGAAACTATATTAGATTACATGATGAATATTAGTAATACTAATAAACACCTTTATTAATTTTCACAGGCAATTTTTTCAAAAATACAATACCAGTCGCGAAGTCTAGCTCAAAGCTATTCTACTTAACTACTGGAAGGCAGCGCCCAAATAATAAAATAGGAAGTGAATAAAGAATCGATACAGTAGACAAAAAACACATGGCAAATGAAGATTTCCAAAAAGAGTAGAGCAACGCAGACATTCACAAAGAAACATACATGCAATGATTATACTTTTAACCTATTACTAGTATGCGGAATGTACAACCACAGGAGCAGTAAATTTTGATATTAAAGAGAGACCTAACCACTCTTGATAAAAAAATAATTTAAGAAGTACCTACCATTACTGATCCTACTACTTATCAGGCAGTTTGAATTTGAACTTGTTCGTGTTCAGAAGCTTGAATTTTTGTGGAAGCTGATTATACATCCTGATCGCATTATATATGGACGGTCTTTGGAACATAGTGGTGTTGTTCTGAGGAGCTTTTAAGTTCAATCCTGATCTAATACTGTCGTATTCTTCAATTATTGGTGAACGTATAAATCATAAATCGAACCAATTTAATCGTATTCCAGACTGTGCATTACTGTGAATAATATAATATTCGTAGTAGTATTGTACGTTACGAGTACTGTATAATATGCAAGGACCAACGGGATTTTTATTATTCTTCTTCTGAATGTCATCCCACCCACTTAGCAACACTACGCATTCAACATAGTGAATTCGATACTTGTTAGTATGCTTCAGCTTGTGCTTCGTGATATTGCATTTCAGTATCCCCCCTCCACCTCTTCAGCTATAGACGCGCGACACAAACCTTGTACTTCGGGCTCCAAAGACCACCTCGAAAAAAATTTTTCTTGATCCGCCCCTGAGTGGTAGACTACTTTGCTAAATATAATAAGAAGTTGGAAGACTCTCAGAAAGTAGGGTCTTAAATATACTAAGTGACATATAAATCCGAACACCCAGTTTAAATGGTTTTATTTTAATAAAATTTTGTATAAGTACTTAATGAAGCATAATAAGTAAATGATAAAAATTTCAAAATGATTTCACTGCTTTAAATCCTTTTGACCTTTAATAATGTGTGTATGCACCCTGATGTGCTATGCATCCTCCAACGCGCCTTGGCATGCTTCTGATCAGGTGATCAATGTCCTCCTGTGGTATCTCATTCCAGGCAACCACCAACTCCTCTCGAAGTGCTTCTAGAGTCTGAGGAGGACGTTGCAAATTGAGCAATCTCCTACCCATCATATCCCACACGTGCTCAATTGGGGATAAGTCGGGAGATCTTGGTGGCCATGGTAACAATGTGACATCATTATGTTGAAAGAAGTCTATTGTGAGTCTTGCAACATGTGGTCGGGCATTATCTTGTTGGAAAGTTGGATCTGCCGGGGTGTCAAGATAGGTTAAAAGATGGGGTTCTAGAACTTGGTGGATATAACGCTGCGCGTTCATGTTACCTCGGATGAAGATTAAAGGTGACCTGGAACCATAAGCTATAGCACCCCAAACCATAACTCCAACAGTGTGATGAACATGTCTTTCAACAAAAAACTGTGGATTCCTCCTTTCACCACGTCGCCTTCTAACCCTGGCACGACCATCGTGCATGCCTAAACAAAATCGAGACTCGTCACTAAAGACAATTCCTGATCCCAGAGTGACCGTTGTCTGCACCACTCAAGGCGATTACCTCGGTGTTCTCGAGTTAAAGGGAGGACCCAGTGTGGCCGTTATGACAACAAGCCAAAACTTTTCATTCGTCGGTAAACATTTCGCGTGCCAATAGGTCGTCCGTGTTCTGCAAACCATTCATTTGCAATGGACCTGGTAGTGGAGAAACGGTCCCTTAAGGCCAATAATCTTAGGCGGCGATCTTCACGGTCTATTGTTCTACGGCGGCGTCCAGTGCCCCTTGCTCTTTGCGTACGGCCTTCTCGAAGCCATGCCTGACAACACCTAACCACAGTATCTACACTTCTTTGCACTCTAACTGCAATTGCCCGAAAAGAAAGTCCAGCTTCCCGAAGTCCCACTATACGGCCCCTATCAAACTGACTAAGTTGACGAAATCATACAGGTCTCCGTACTCTAGGCATCGTAACCGATCGTAAAGGATGTCAAGAACCAAAATCCGCCAACGTGGATTCTTTACTGCGGCTGAAATATTCATTTTTAGAGCGTTAGTGAATTAAAAAAAAGCAGTATAAAAACCGGAATGTCCAACTGATAAGGCTGAAAATTTTTTCACTTGTTATTCACAGTAAGATAAATGCATTAACCAACTTTTATTAAAATAAAACCATTTAAACTAGGTGTTCGGATTTATATGTCACTTAGTATAGGTATGTGTTTTTTTACAGTCTCCGAGATATAAAAACATTTTTCAGGTGGATAAAGAGGGACAAATGCGAACCAGTGGAACAATACGTCTCCAAATGGTTAGACCTTGGAGTGTCATGGATTGGAGGATGTTGTCGTACGTATGCCACTGACGTTGCGAAAATACGGAACGAAGTAGAAAGTTGGTGCCGGAAGAATAAAGAAGTCAGATAATAATATTTCATCAATAATATATTATACCTATCTACATGTTATCTAATGTGAGGAGCAGGCAGGAATGTAACACGCCTAATATTTCACGACTTTGTGAAGATAGCAGTGCACCAGAAACAGTCGATAAGGATTCATTTTTTGTACAAAATCATTATGTTAGCTTAGATTTTATTATTTTATAATTGTTGTAAGCATTATGTGTACATGCTTTATAAAAAAGATGTGTTATTATATCTTAGATACTTAGGGCCGTATCGTCAGTCGCTCCTACAATTACTGGAGGATTCCTTTACGGCCTCCTTGATTTTCATAGTTTTTTCTCCCCTTCCGAAAGGCTATGGATTTCTATATTTCTACTGCTTCGTTGTTCCGTATCAGCGTCAGCGCTCTTTTATTGTCAATGAAGTATGTTTTCTTTTTAGATTGTAGGAAATTTCAGGCTAATAAAATAGACGATAGAAGTCAAAAGCATGAACATTTTGATGCAAATAGATATTTATGACATAACCGCAAAGTAGAGCGCTGGCACGGATCAGTAGACAACTATAAGAATCAAGGAGAGAATAAAGGCGTCCTAAAATAAAATTGTAGGAACGACTGACGGTACGACCGTTAGCTATTTATTTTAACTTTGCCTACATAGTTTCAAACCATTTCAAATATGCCGAACAGGCAGGTTTCACCATAAGACGTTGTCGCCGCTGCATAAAATTATTTATTTTTCATTATCCGGTTTTACTCTCACGCTAATAAAAAATGACGTCAAGTAGGGTGACTCTGCACTTCCATGCCACACTGTCATCAGTTCGAAAAGGATTATATATTCGGCATAAGTTTACCAAAAAAAAGTTAGCTACGAACACAACAAAATAATTGAATGGATCAAGGCAACCAAATAGGCCCACAAACTTGTTACACCCACATATTAGACAACATAGCGATCTAGCCTACCGTCCTACGGACAGTACCGTTACCACCGAGAGTGCAAGGCCTGACAACAGACGCGTGACGCCACCACGAGTAGGCCGGTCGGCCGGCCGACAGCACGGCCTGCCGTACATCAGCGCTAGTGAATAATTTACTATTATTATAGGTATAATGAAAATTATATAAAAAATGTAGTGCTTGTAGAACAGTTGTGTCCAGCAAAAACCAACCAGGAGGTCTGAGGTAAGCTCTTGCCAGGAAAGGAATAAGGAAGATGAGGAGGAAAAAGAGTAGGATAAATGATAAGAAAAACAGAAAAAATCAAAGTAAAATAAACAACAGAAAAAACATAACAAAGATTAACGAAAACTTAATAAAAACTCTTAGAACAAACAAATAACAGCACAAAATGATAACAAAAATTAGAAAACAGAAAACAAGTATCAAAAATAATAAAAATTAGAATAACGAAAATTAAAGTGCTAAATTCTTAATATGTACAAATAAACATTTATCTACAGCTATGTAAATGTTGCGGCTTCATGTGAATGTAGTCAGTTTACGTCTCTTTGCTTTATTCGCACTTGCAAAGCTGTCGTTCCTTTTGGCACAATAATTTTTCAAAAATGTATTGACTGTGCAAATAACAATTAGTTTTATAAAATAATCTGGTGAATGGACTGTGCAACGCGAAAATGAAGTGTCGTGATTATTATCACTCAGATTGTTAATTATCAACTGAGAAAGAGCGCGTCTCTTATCATTGATTTCTAAAAATGATTCCTCGTCACTTTCCAAAACTTTATTGAAAATTATATAACTTAGCATGACAATATTAATAACTGGATCCTTTGGGAATTTTAAGCCACCTCTACTCAAATTCTATATAATATTGTGCTTGTCTTCTATATTAATATCATCTTTGTGTGTCAAATTTTCCTTACAATGATCGCAGTGATTTTTCTTTAATAAGGCATAACAACAGTAACCAGCTAAGTAGGTGATGACAGTGATTTCATCCTTTATACTATCAATATCAGACTGTAAAATTTCAATTTCCCGGAAAAAGTGGTAATCATTAAAATTGTGTGGAATTTCATCTATTTCTAAATCATCATTTTCACAGAATTTATCTATTTGTATATCACCATAGCGAGACTTCAATGACATCAGGCTTTGAGTTCGTAACCTTTTTTCTCAGATTCATATAACTGACGAACTGATATATTATGTTGACCCCTGCCAGTTGACGATACTTACCAAATCTATTTTTCAATGAGTCAGTTTTAAATTTACCTAACAATATATAATTACTGTGCAGCTCAGATTTACAGTACCTTACTAATTCCAATAAGCCGCATACTGTAGTGCAGTGTAAGTCTGACTAGTTAGTCTTTTTGAAAATTTTGCTGGATCATTCCACTCTTCTAGCCAATCTAGCATTTTTTGCAAGAATGTCAGCTTACTGTCATCACCTTGTCCATCACTGTTGGAGCAAACAATAGGCTCTGAATAAAGGTCATTTAACCGCTTTCCTTTCAATGGACTTTTTACACTGACAATTCTCCACCACTTCCATATAATATCTATGAATTTTGCTGCCTCTTACGAGTGCTGTATGTTTTTACCAAACCTTGATACGGCATCTATTACAAATGGGTTGAATATCTTGAGAGCTAAATGAACATTTTGTCTTTCAAGGTTGGTAGGATATAAGGCTTTTATCTGGAGAAAAATGTGCCATCGCTTTTCTATTCAGTGCATCATTATCACTTACAACACAAAACATTTTATAACCAAGTTCTTCTAATCCAATAATAAGTTTTTTTGTCATATTGTATAATAGATTATGATCAATTTTAGAAGCAGGATAGATTTGAACATCTTCTTTCAAATTGGAGTAGAAGCTTGAAATCATAAACACATAGGCTGTTTTAGCTAATGAAGTATTATTAATTGACGTTACAACAATATTACCCCCTTTGAAATCTAAATATGGCTGAATGTGTATTTCATCCATCAATAAAATCATGTACTTACTCCTCACCAGGTTTTACAAATCTGAAAAGGTTTTTTGCATAGCCTAAAAAGTAATATCTCACATCGGAAACTGGATCGACCATCAATGTATTACATATTGACTTCAGAGTATTTTGGTGTGGTAAAATAAGTGCTCCATGGCTCCTAATAAATCTATATGAATGTGGACTGATTGTATACAACATAGAGCAAAACACTATTGTTTCTGATGAGTAACTGTGTCTGTTCTTCTGACTAATAGCGAGCTTTAGTTGCTCACAAATAAATTGAATGACAGTGTGGGTCTCTTCATAGGTGAATAGTTCTGTGCTATTTAAAGTATTGTAAGCATGGTTGATAGTGGCTCTGAACTGGTCTTTACCTGAATATTCCCTCGAAGCATCTGCATTCTCAGAAAGAACATGCAGAACATCATTCAAGTGGTGTATATTAGATAATAAAAATGGAGTTTTAATAGTACCTGAGTTGAGTAACAATTCTTGGGAGTACATATTATACGTTTTTACATTGAGATCTTTATCAACACTTACAGAGTGAGTTATGTTGGGTGCTGGTTTATATTCTAACTTAAACAAAGTAACTTTATCCTGAACAATTTTATGCCACCCATATGGACATTGCCATGAACTGAAAACTGTGAGAAAGTCTGAATAATTTTGAAAATAAGTTGATTTTTGATAGGAGGAATAATCATCAATGCTAGTTTGCAGTGCTTTAAGTTGTTCTTATTCCTTGTCCCTCAATTTCTCATCTCGGCTTCTTCTTCTTGACATGTCCTTTGAAAAGTATTTTGGACAATTTGCAAAGATACTTGGAATTACATCTGCCTTTAATTTTGTATACTTAAGGGGTACAGTAATGGTCCTACCTGTCTTTTCGTCATGGAAGGTGGATTCCCAAATTATGTTGTCCTCAGCAAAGTGCAAATTACAAACTCGGGTGTATTTTGTAACCACTAAATCAATACGAGGGATTGCATTGAGTCATCTTTTACGACAGTTTTCGTTCAATGGAAACGAAAATACGTGTACCTTCGGACCCTTCCCGTAATTACCGACACAATTAGGAACGCAGCACCTGTAAGGCATTTTGAAAACTTAGGCCCGTATCGTCAGTCGTCCCTACAATTATTGTAGGGCGCGTTTATGGCCTCCTTGATTGTCATATTCCTTTCTCTCCTTCAAAAATTTCTAGATTACACTTGTCCCGTCAGCACTCTCCTTGTGAAGATATGTTTTCTTTTTAAATTGTAGGAAAGTTCAGGCTGATAAAACATGATATAACTCAAAAGCAAGCACAATTTGATGCGAATAGATGTTTGTGACATAACAAAACATAACAAAATAGAGTTCTGACACGGAGAAGTAGAAAACCATGACAATCAAGGAGGCCATAAAGGCGCCCTACAAATGTAGGGACGACTGACGATACGGGCCTTAGCGAGACACAAATATAAGTTTAAAACATCAATAAATTTCAGTTTACATAGCATAGGAAGCTGCGGCTCAGAATGTGAGGTTAGTTGGCAAGGTTGCCACATGTTCCAATTTTGAATGGAATATTAGACTTCATAAGTGACAGATTGAACGTAATATCGAAAATGTATTCTTGACATACTGAGACAGATCAGAAAGAATAATCACATCATCACTGAAGCTGCGCAGGCCCCGCGTACATCTTGCAAATTCGCCCACAGAGGGGTACAACTTATTAGTAGAGAATTCGATACTGCTATATCAAACCTAGATATGACAATAACCCAGAGAAATGGTGGCGCGGTTCTCTTACCAGCCAGTCATCGCGAAACTCCATAAAAACATCCATAGGCCTACTCTGCGTGACATCACCGGCTTTTCAGAGCCCAGTTGTTTGGCCTTGTACTCTCGGTGGTAACGACAGTACCGACCACCGACCATCATGCAACATGCAACATGACGTTGTATCCACCCAGTGCCGGATGCTCCGCTGTTCGTTTTTCGTCCGCCGGCGCGCAAGAGGTCAGGTGTCAGGTGGAGAGTGATTATCATGCTGATACTTCAGCTGCATTCAGTTTATTCGTTAATGACGCGGTTAGTGGAATGTCCAGAGTATCCTCTTCCTCTACGCTGCAATACTCCGAGTATGCGCCTTCGTTGTTCGTTTCGCCCCAAAATATATGACCTTATTCTATAGTTAAACTCTAGGGGATAAGTTAAGCCCTTTGCCTTTTTTCCTAAGCACTTTTCCGTTTTTCCCCATCATCAGATCTAGATGGTCCAGGTGATGATAGAGACTTGGGTAAATTTTCCATAGGTATGGCATCATCTTTTAGAGCACGATATCTTTTAAGGGTTTAACCCAAAAGGGTATGTTTCAAATTGACCTTATAGGCATATTCACAAAAGTGCTTAGAGCAAACCCTAGCGCTTTTTTACATTGACTTTGATTTTTCTTTTTGTATGATGTAGCCATTTTTTGCTAAGGTTTGGGTCTTGAGGAAAACTGTAGAGCTTCATGTTTTTGCAAGGATTCCGTTTAGACTGGTTGTCGGAGTTAGATCCCACAACAGCACACCGCATTTTTAACAATTTATCAACCACACAGGCTATATAAAGTATGTATAACTAGTAGAGCAGGTCACAAAACTACCGAAAAATCGCACTATATAGTATTAACCACGATACACGTGAATTGCAGTAACGTTACGACAATCCTGCCGCTGGTAACCGGGTGACGTCACGAAGCTCCGCCCACATCGCAATATCATATCTTCAGTGTATGTGTATCGTGGTATCTACCTATCATCGCTCAGATATCGGTCAGCCCTCGAAGCAGGTAGGTGTAGGTACGTAGGTATATCTCTATCAAGTTTTAAGGGAAAATGTACCAGAAAATGTATGATATGTATGAAACATGTCTCGTAGGGTTACTGAGGTTGGGAGCGTATAAATATAAAAACGCCAAAAAAATAAGATATACTCGCCCGCAATCCCTACAACCCCAACGCTCAATGTGCAATCCCATCAAAAAAATTTAGCAAAACGATTCAATGCCTTTGAAAGGTAAAAAAAATGAGTTCATTTTTTTCGTTTTTCACCTCTAGTACCGCTGCCAAAGGACCGATTTTTTAAACTTACTAAGCTTCTTCGTCCTTTTTTTCTTATGTGAAAATTTCATCAAAATCTAAGTAGAACTTCCCAAGTTAAGAAGAGACCAGTAATATGCATTTACGTGTATACATTGTCTACGGCTTGGTGGAGACAGTGCGTATGCAACGTATACAATGTAAACGACGTATAGTCGAAATCAAACTCTATTGCTAATATGCATGTATCCCACAAAGATAGACGATGTTTTCGTGATTCATGAACGATCGTATTTGAAAGATGAGTTAGGAGTTAAGTTATGTTGAAGCAGGTTAGGTTGTTTTCGAATAATACTTTGGCCTTTTGTGTTTCTTGCTTAAGGTATTCTAATCATACCTGTTTTTTAAAAAACTCCGCACTAACATTATTATTACTCAAAACCATGAAATAAAATGAAAATAATAATAATCAGTGAAATAATCTAACTTCGCAAAACCATAATATACATTTCTTGTCATCATTCCTGACATCGTGATTTTATCATCGACGTACGTTCATTGATTACTTCAATAGGGGAATGTGAGGCGCATTGATACACTTTCTTGGGGTCCGCTTCACGGGTCATGTATACATCAAATGTATAAATTACTCTCAAATACCGAATATGCACAATTCTTACATTAACTCAGTAATAATGATGTATAGAAAGATTTTATAATGCGGCCCTCCAAACCGCATTTTTTTTTGAAGTGGCCCTTGGGCCACATTAAGTTGGACAGCCCTGTTTTACAAGTTAGTATACAAATTCAGTGGACATTTGAATTTCATAATTTGGCTTCATTTTTCCTTTGGGACAGTAAGATTCATTTATGCAGCTATATTTACAAAATTTGATTTATGAATCAATCTGCCCCGACTCAGGGACAGATTGATTCATGGGTTGGGGTACATTGATTCAAATATTGACTTTGATTTTTTTTTATTTGACAGAAAAAGATAAAAACACTATTTTTTTGTTAATCTTTAATATTTATTTTACATTGTAAGAATAAGTTTACATTAAACTTAAATAAACTAGTGCCTTTAATTATAACAGCCCTTGGCAGTTTTAGGGATATATCGGATATATCAACCCTTGCAGTATCCAGGATATTTGGAAAAGTGAAAGTCCAAGATGCTGGTTTTTTCTAATATAGGATACTTCAAATTCCGATATACCAATTTTCGTAACCACCTAAGCAACGTAATAAGTAATTGAAGTCTTCGTTGGAAAGTTTACGAGAATAAAGTCATCTTTATCAATGCTTGTAGGTGATATATCTTCTGTATGTTCAAACATTCCTTCATCTGATGACCAGAATTTGGATTCATCGGATGTATCCATGACCTCTATTGAACCGGATTCATTTGTATCAGAGTTTTTAGACTTTTGCACTTTTTGATTTTGTTTATTAGAATCAAGTTCTAGAAGTAGCCTTGCTGACCTCATATCGTTTATTTTTTGCCTCCTGTATTTTTCAGATCCTTCTCATTTTCAATATTTTCCAACTCTCCAAGTCGATTTTTTCCGGGAGTGGCTGTGTAAATGCGACTTTTTCCATGCTCTCTTCGTCTGTCGTTTTACTATCGCTGGATAAGGGCGATCACTTTTCGGAGTAATTAATATCTTTTCTTGTTCTTCATTCATTTGAAAGGTTCTATTTTCTTCGTTTTGTAGTAGACTAGATGTGGCTTGATTTTTATCGACAAACGAATTATTTGCAGAATAGGTTTCACATACCACAAAATCGTCATCTCCAAAAGCCAATTTATTATAGGGCCATATTCCAGGTTTACTGAAACCGCGACAAATATTTTTTACTGTAAATGCATCGAGATATGCTGTTTTGGCAAGCTTAGGTATATTATAGATAGACAAGGTTTTCCCTGGATTGCCTTGGGGCACATTGATATACATCAAACTGCCCCAAATTGTTGTGCATCAATCTGCCCCCAGTGGATAACCTTATAAAAAAATTGATAGCATCCAAATTTAAAACAGTATGGTCCTAAACCAACGTAAACCTAAGAGTAAACTAGTTTATCTTACCTTTTAAACTGTTTTGAAGGCAAAGGAACTAAAAGGCCGAGCACAATTTGTTCACAAACACGAACAACGAAAATACTTTAAGGTTGGAAAACTGTGAACCTCTCAACGCACTGCGCTGTTGAATACTGACGCGCCGAAAATTTTATATGTTACATGAGGACCGAAGGTGTCATCTTGCGATTACTAGATTAAGGCTGCAGAAAATTTCCAGACAGATATAATGCTGTATGTATCATTGTGCCTCCTGCATCAATGTACCCCATTTCCCCCTACAATTTATATGGTATGACGTAAATGTCATCTATCGTGATTCTGACTATGTACAAGTACAACGTATCCAATAATACAAGATAGCAATAAGTGAGGCTGGGTTTACTCGCAACCGTTTAAAACAATAAGCAGAGAAAACTTCATGGTTGAGCACGCTAAAAATAAGGACATTCATAAATTATGATATATTCTGTTCAGAGATGGAAGAAAATTATACATAAATAATAGATATCGCTATATTTATACCTTTTCTAATTACTATTACAATAATTAGCCGATCAAATACTTCCTCGAGAAGGTATTGGAGAAAAAATTGATCACCCTGTATATATGGTCTCATGAGGTGCCATCTACATTTTTTACCCCATCATACGAACAGTCATGTCAGGTAGGCATCTTATCTATCTTGATTGCACTTGCTGCCTAATTATGATAGTTACTGAAAGATGGAGCCAGCTATCCATTTGAGCTGTAGGTATAAGGATGGCGAATGGCTCTACGCGTTCTTTCTTTTTTTAAGTAGTTTTTCTAATTCACAAATTGACATTTCTCTTATTTTCTGTCGGTTCTCGGTTGTCGGTCGGTTCTGGTTCTATCATTCTGTGATAGTTTTATAGAATATGGAGGTTTTCGTTTAGTTTGATTGAGACGTTTTATTTTCTTTAAATCGTCACGATAAAAATAAGATTTTTCCATTCAAATTTTACAAAAACACCTCCATTACTAACAGCAGCGCAAGAAAAGTCACAAGTTCGGGTTTGAGCCTGCCAAAATCTCGTAAAGTGAGGTTATGTGATTCCTAGCTCACGCTTTTGTTGTTGAAAATTGTCAAAAGGAAAAAGTAAAGAATGGCTGAAAACAGTGGTAGTACCAATGTAATGAGTGAATTGTCTACAATCCTCAGAACCTGGGAGGATGAAAACAACAATCCTAACTATGACCCTATACCTACACTCACCAAGTAAGTATCCATGTAAATGTTTTTATTTTTTTGCATTATCTCTAATCACGATACATGTCCACAGATTAGCGGAAATTGTGGAAGTAGAAACTGAAAATTACTTAAAGATGGATCCAGATCCCTTTGATGAACGACACCCATCTAGAACTGACCCATCTTGTAATCTTGGGCAAATATTGAAAGCATTATTCCGAAAAGATAACTTCACCAACAAACTAATAAATGACTACATGAGAGACAGTTATTATTCTAGAATGGGCATTTCAGGCAGAGATGTAGATCAACTGAATATTGCTGCTTGCAGATTGATGCTAGATATCATGCCAGGGTTGGATACAACAGTTGTATTTCAGGTTAACATATTGAATTTGTTACTGGGTTATATTTAATATAAATATGTATTTCTCATCAAATCATAAATGCACTACTCAACCTTTACATCATTATGAATCAGTGTTGTTTATTTTGATAAAGTGCAATTGTTAAACTATATATTTTATGTTAATCATCTTTTCTATTTATATGCTTAATTTGCATAATTTTATCAACATTATGTGATCACTATCGGTGGTTCTTAATTGTATACTCCATTTTCATATATTTATTTGTACATTTTCATTTTAGCCAGAGGCAGATAGTCTGATACAGCGACTGATAAAATGGGTGACAAATTCTATAGAGCCTCTACAAAGTTATGCTACAGGACTCTTAGGAGCTGCCATGGAGATTCCAGAGATCGCAACAAGGTTTAGAGAACAAAATAGCAAATTAATACCTTTGTTACTTCAACGGCTTAGGAGATTGAAACATTCATCAGAATTCGCATCTGCTTCTACTAGTTTTTCCAGACCCTTTGCTCATTTTTCTACACTGAGGTCACCCCCTTATAGAGCAGATAATATGATGAAATCACCACCACCAATTGTTAGAGAAAATGGAGTTTTGCCTATAGATAGTGTTGAGACTCCTTCAAAGTCTGATGATACTGAAAATGTGACAAAAGTAAGTATTTTTAACAGGAGTTGATTAGACTTGTTCAACCTACTGATTAAAATATTCTGTGACTTGTAATGAGGAAGTTTCCTATTTTTCAAGAGACACTCAAAATGTTAGTCTATAAAATGAAGAACAGCACTGAACTTTTTTTTAATATCTTAAAAAATGACAAAGTTACGCTAGTCAGAATTTTATTATTTGGAGAATCGTGTGGTGGGCCGTGCGAGTGAGTGATGACATCACATGACGGAAGCTTATCAGCCCAGCACCACTGCAAGGAGATGCGCCCGCCGCGCCACGCCACACACGCTTCCCCCTATTATTAACAATTGTAAAAAGTGGGTCAGACCTTCAACCTATAAATATTTTATTGTACCCAGGTGTACAAATACTAGCATATCAGCAGTATTAGAAAGAACTGGTGCAAGGTAATGAATAGGGACGATAAATTGCCGCTGTCGTAAAAATCAACGTTGTGTTGCTGTGAATCCCATTTTGATGTAAGCAGCTATATAGCTAATACCTATGATATAAATGGTAGCAATAATAATTATTATTAGTCTTAGTCTCTATGCCTCGCATGATAAGGTAAAGAATCTAAATGGTTTAAAAGAGAACCTTGTTTGTGCGACGCGGCGATGCATAAGCGTCAGTCAAGTCTCGGCTTAATGTGTAATCATCTGAGAGGCTTCTATGAATTTTAGATTACTGCCAATAGTAGATAATCTGGCATTTGTCCAGTAGCACTTCACGGAAGTGCACTGTGGTTCTGCGCTTCTTCTGTGTAGCCACATTAATAGGGCTACACCTTGCCTACAGCCACCCCCTTGTGCAGCACAGCCACTGCATTCTAGCTTGATTCCTGTTTCCTCATTTTTGTCGCATTCAAAACTGCAATGATATCAGTATTTTCGACTGTAGGAAACTTCCTAATTATGTTATGTTGCAGGAGAAAATCAATGAAAGAGGTATCAAAAGAAAACTATCACTAGATAGTGAAACTTCTCTTACCACCACAGAATTAGTACCAACTGTAGATTTTAGAAGAAAGCGTAACAAAATGGATGACAGCCTTGGAACAGTCTTCTTAGGTTCGGCTAGCCCTCAGAAGTCTTTTTCTGAGGCTAGCAACTCATCATGGGCAGAACTAGAGACATTTGTCATAGGTAAATTCACACAAAGCTCTTATTTTAAAACTTTTTTATTTGTGAACTGGTGTTGAAAAAAATCACTGTTTTAGGTACTGTCCAGATATTTCCTCCAACAATAGCCACAAGACAGATTTTGATTTTACGCTACCTTACCGCTATGGGAGATTATCAAGAATTTCTAAGTCATGTTTTTGAGCATAATGCATTGGAGTTAATACTATGTTATGTCAATGTTAGAGTGACTAGAGAGGCAAGATTAGCTTTTGAAGCATTAAAGTATCTAGCTGCTTTGCTGTGCCACAAAAAATTCTCAATTGAATTCATACAGTGTAAAGGGTTGGAGGTGAGTCATACCTATTGTTAAAAAGGTACAGTTTTTTTGATATGTGTTGTTTTAGGCTTTGTTGGAAGTACCTAGACCTTCAATAGCGGCAACAGGTGTTTCAATATGTCTATATTACCTAGGATACTGTGAAGAAGCTATGGAGAGGGTATGTCTCCTTCCCAAATATGTTGTAAGCAACTTGGTCAAGTAAGTCCCACTTAATAAATCATCATGTTTATTTTTACTGTATTTGAATTTAGTTAAATCATCACTATGTTCTCATTTTGCAGGTATGCATTATGGCTGTTAGAATGCTCCCATGATTCAGGACGATGCCAGGCGATAATGTTCTTTGGCTTAACTTTCCAGTTCAAGGTCATACTAGATGAGTTTGACTCTCAAGATGGACTTAGAAAGCTGCACAATGTGGTAAGTTCACAAGAGGTGCACATTTTCATACTACGAGGGTGGAAGTACCTGGCCTGACCTAGAGATGGCGATAGTTGTTTGAAAAATATCATTGTATTAGAAAGTATGCAACCTATAAAGCATATGTGTCAAGTTTGAAGACTCAACGTTGTTTAGTATTTGTTTGGCAGCCATCAATACTGATCTTTTTCAGTGAATTTGTGAAAATGGAGAAAATTATTCATCGTTATGTGGTACAATACTTTTATTTCAATTCCTCAGCCTGACCAATATGAAAGCTGAACTGGATTCTACTCTGGGTGAGTCTGCTCCTTCGTTTACAACAGTAAAATATTGGGTAGCAGAGTTTAAACGATGCCATATGAGTTGCCAAAATGAGCTTCGCAATGGTGAAGAAAATTCACAAAGCGGTACTGAATGATCGTCGACTGAAAGTGCACGAGCTAGCAGACATAGTTGGCATTTCAAAAAGTGCGGTTCATCGCATATTATCTGAAAATTTGGACATGAGAAAGCTGTGTGCAAGATGGGTGCTGCGATTGCTCACAATCGAGCAAAAACAGTGTCGTGAAGATGTTTCAATTGAGTGTTCAGAGAAGTTTCACAGCAACAAAGCCGAATTTTTGCGTTGTTTCATAACCATGAATGAATCATGGATCCATCACTTCACACCTGAGACAAAAGAACAATCAAAACATTGGACTCAAAGGGACAACAGGCTCCAAAGAAGGCGAAGACCGTTTCATCTGCAGGCAAGGTTATGGCGTCGGTTTTTTGGGATGCGCGTGGGATAATTTTCATTGACTATCTTGGAAAAGGTAAAACTATCAACGGCGAGTATTATGCGAACTTATTGCACCGTTTGAGCGATGAAATCAACCAAAAACGGCCACATTTGGTTAAGAAGAAAGTGTTGTTTCATCAAGGCAATGCACCAGCTCACAAATCCGTTATTGCAATGGGCAAAATTAACGAATTAAAGTTTGAATTGCTATCTCATGCACCCTATTCACCAGATTTAGCCCCCTCGGATTATTTTCTGTTTCCAAACTTGAAAAAATGGCCCAGTGGTCAAAGATTTTCCAACGATGAAGAAGTGATGTCGGCAGTTAATGGCTATTTTGAGGAGCAAGACAGCTCTTATTATAAAAAGGGTATCGAACTTATTGAACAAAAGCTGGGAAAAGTGTAATAGAGCTCAAAGGAGATTATGTTTTTGTGTTTTCTTTGTTGGGTCAGGCACTTCTGGGACCACCCTCGTACTCTGATATCTTTGAAGGACTTTGTAAAAATTTCTGTCATATAGTAAAGCAGTAAAAGGTAGGCTGATTTTATATGAATTCTCTTGTTTAGATTGCTACATTGCCAATTCTCCTACCTGACAGTGATACTGGGCAACTGAATGAAGAGCAAGAAGGGGCTGCCAGGCAGATAGTAAGACATGTTTGTGTTGCTTACAGACGCTATCTGGAAGCTCATTTGGCTATGAAAGTCGAGCTCATAAGAAGGTCACAATTAAGACCTAATGAGAGACAGGTTGGGCCTTTGTTGCCCCCACAACCCTCCTATAAGGTAAGTAATTTACTATGGGCTTAAAGTGTGGATGAAATATCCATGTCTATTCTAAGGCGTTTGTATAACAGTAACAGCCAGTTGTACTAACCCAGTTTAATCGAAGTTAAATTTCGAACCTGGTTCTATGGAAAATTACCAATGTACCATACAGGTTCATGGTCATATACCAGTTCAAACTTCTGGTAAGTTGAACTTTCACGTCGGTTCAGGCTAGACTTTTATAGCTTTTGATAATCCGTGCAAAATGATATGGGTTTATGAGTTTTTAGGTTATGTTGTGTATAGGGTTTGGTTAATGTTAACCCGTAACCTACCATGGGAGATATCTGGATGCAAAGACCCATGTGGGGTCTCACAGACTACTAACTGTGCAGACAGAAAAACAAATCTCTTTCTTTGAAAATGTTTATTTCAATCATGTATAAACCAATAATGATATCACTACAACATATAAATAAGGACATAACAGTATGTTTCTACATTGGTTTTTGTTAACAATCAATAGTTGAAAAACTAAGTGTAGACTTGACCTAATTAGACATATATTCTTAAAACCTTATAAGAAAAATAGTAGTGCCCTAACTTAATTTATTAATAGATGTATTGAGATCTGCTTTATACTTTCGAGAGCCACGTATGTTCTCATAACAATATCACAAAGATAAACTCAAAGTGTTGAACAAAATTAAAAAAAAAATCTTATTATAAGCTAATCCCACTATGTTTTGATCTCTAAGTCTTGAATCACATTTCGGTCAGACTCAATGTTACTTTTAGAATAGACTAGCTCCTTGATAACGTAGTGCCCCCTTTTAATTAAATCTGGTATTTCTATTTTTTGTACTACATATTCCCAGCTATATAACTGTTCATCTATTATAGCAGACTATCTCCAAAAATTTTGTCCCTGCTTCATACACCTCACCATCACACCCTCATCAAAAACTGAAGTAACTTGTCCAGGATACCTTTTGTCTTCCCATGAAACCAGAACATAATCCCCAATGTCAATTTCTCTGGTCATCAAAGGAGAAATATAGTCCGCCATTGTCATCATCTGTATTGACTACATCAATTTTGATAGCCTCTTTTTGTATTTTTCGCTAAGCTTGACTGCGTTCCTTACTTTATTTTCCAAACTATTAATTGTCGCGTACAGAATAGCTCGCCGCTTGCGCATCCTACGTCTATTGAGATCAGATAAATTCTCTGCTCTGTGCTGTACAGATGGTGCAGGACTTGGTGGGGGTGTTTTTTCAAATATTCTCTGTAAATTTGCTTGTAATGTAACTCGCTTTTGCCTGTAAACTTCACTATTATTTTTCCATTGTTTTCGTTTTTGGATAGCTTCTCTTGCACACATAGAACTTATTGTCTTAACTTGATCTTTACTCTTCTTATTTAAATACTTTAATCTTTCTTTTTCATGCAAAGCTTCTAAAGAATCAGCATTACTTTTCATTTGTTCTCGTCTCTTTCTTACTCCTTTTTTAATTTATTTTCTTCATTTTCCCCATTTTGATATACTGACATCTGTTAAAATTGGAAACACATCATGCTATACAACCTGGAGTTAAATAATTACACTCAAACCACAATTTTATATATGCAAAAATTATTCCCTCACTTTCTAATATGCTGAGGGAATGACGGATTTGCATAAACGACACCGTAGCCAACAGTACATGACCTCAAATTGATTTAGCATTTAGCGAATGGATTTTACTCCCCAAAACAAAACAAAAATCATTAAAACATTCGAACAGTATAATGAATATAAACAGTAAGGTAATGACACAGAGAAATGTATTGTGTTCTAATTATTGAAATCCACTAGTTTCTTTGCAGCAACTCTTCACTATTATGAAATTCTACCATGTTGACATTATTAGCAGTATTGCCATGCTTTAAAAACATAACAGCTGCGTTTAAAAATATTAAATGGTGTGACCACAAATCGAATATTTATGGTGGGTGAGGGAATGATTTCATTTCAAGCGACATACGTAATGTTTAAATAGATTTTTTTATATACATTTTTATTTTTTATCAATGAAAGCTTGACTATACAATACATACTTATTATCAAATATTTTAGTAATATTGAACTTATTAGAATATCAACAGATTTGATTGTTTATATTTTTTTATTATTAATTTCGGACCCAGGGACAAGATGAGGGAATGACTTTTAGACTAATAAATTAATCGTATTTTTTGTTGTGTCAATGTATTATCTAAATTTTTTCGTCCAAAATATTAGTGTAGATACTTACTGAAAAATATTAAATTGATGAATCCATGCAACTTAGCATCAGTGACTCATGACATGAATTTCGGGATTTGCTGAGAAATACCCAGTTATTTTCCGTTTGATGAATCATTTTTTGCCGCTTTTTTGGTACTATTATCTTCTAGCGAGAAGTCTGACCGAACCCTTTTCGATGGACCGGCCATATCGTACTACACAAAATCGTTTACATAAACTCACATGTGACGTCTAGCAGACCACTACGAATTGAATAATGCTTCTGTTCTCTCTCCAAATGAAACAAACGTACTGAGCATCGTATGACTTGTCTAGCACCAATAGGCGAAGGATTAGATGACCTGATTGGTCGGGGGGCGTTACCACCCGAAAAGAATCTCAACAGTTAATTTACCGCATGGTCTGTCAGTCCCCACATGATCGGTTAAGGGTTACTCGAAAATGCATGATATTGTTGAACACGGGGGAAGATGAGGATGGTTTTCTGGAGTTGTGTGATATATTGGTGCATCCCAGAAAATCTCAACAGCATTCATTATTCCAAGGAAGCAGTCACTTTACTGTCTACAGGAGAACAAAATATATTTTGAGTCACTATATGCATCGCCACTCAAACAATGAAACTGTTTGGATTGGAGATTGAGGTTTAACACATTATACTGAAGTAAACATACATATACCCTATTTCACGAGCATCCATCACCCTTTGACGTCTACTGAGGTGAACATTTTTGTGTTAGTTTGCAACGTTGGCAATAATGAATGGGGTATAAATCTAGTAAAACTTGTTTGTGGCGTTTTGTTTTTTTGTATGCAATTGAACTTTTCTAAATAAAAGAGCGGTTAGCAAGTACAAAATGAATCTGTAGCGTATAAAAAACCAAAACAAAATACGACTCTGACTACCTGGCGTTGACGAATCCGTCAGAATTATGTGTCCTGTGCCGATATGGGGAATTTTGAGATATTACTAAATAATCAGCTGTCATTCTACCGTGATGGATACTCGTGAACTAGGGTATAGTCGAAATTAAAATGAAATTTGACAATTTAGAAATTTTGGAAAATTGTATCGGAAGCCGTAATAAAAGCGTGAGAGTCAATCTGCTTGACGCCTTTTTTTATCACGTGTATCATTTGCAGCATACTTCAGTGAAATGTTTTTTCAGGCTTGCAAGTCATCCCCAGAGGAGATTCAGCAGCAAGTGGACATGCTATTTCAGAACATGCCATACCGCAGCCATTGGGCTCCAGTGGATCAGCTTTTGAAGCTTGGAGCCGTTACTTTGCTGTTGAAAATCATCGCGTTCGCTTACGAGTGGAACTACAGCGGAAGAGCTGAGACAGTCAGGAGCGCGTTGGACGTTCTTGCTATTGCTTGCGTCATTCCTAAGGTGCAGATGCTGTTCTGTGATAGGGTCGATTTGCCAGAAGAAACATTGACAGTTGGTAAGCATTTGCCTTTTTTCAATATTGATGGGAATTTTTGACAAAATAATTCCATAACTAGTCACCTAAATCTTTTTTTTTCACTTAAATGTAGAGTTCCGGGTATCAAGGAGCAACATTTTGGTTGGGCACTAGATCTACCTCCTTAAGAGATAGGGCATGTTTGTTGTAGTTGTTTACGATTATGTACGCAAATACCGTGAACACATTTTCCATTCATGGAAATGTTTATATGTATGTTTAATTAAATATTTGAAATTGCAGTGCCAATGACGTTGATTTGAACATCCCATTTATCGCGCGCTTCGCAGTCATAACTCATGACTTGTCATTCCATTATATTTTTGCTTAGGTTACTGTCGAATATTCTACATACCATCTGTTTTCAAAGTTTATTGCTACAAATAACTGAAAAGCTCGCACATCAAACTGGCAGCTTGACAAACAATGACAGCGAGATCAAACGCCTGTATGTAATTTTAAAATGGACTCGCAAATCACCAAAGAGTTGGCTGGTCACAAGTCATAAATGGTGACGTACCGCTCATAGCGTTGCGTTTCGCTATTTCAAATTTACCGCATATTTTTCCGTTTTTTATTAATTAATACACGTAGGTTTATATCGTTCAAATATAAAATAAGCTTTAACGTGTCATTCTGTAGCAACATAAACTGAATAAAAATAATTAAGTGATATTTGAATCACATACCGATTCCCAATTAGCGTCTCCTTCATAATTTGTTTCGAGATTAAAAGAATTGAACCAATCTATTTTTGCGAATCATTTTCTTATTCCTGGAAACATTGACTCACATATTACGCCAAAAGATTATATTCATTTGAAAGTGTCTACGCGAATTATGTTTCTCAGCCACAACAAGGAGTTTTTAAAAAATATTTATTTTGTAGACATGAACGTGTTACAAGTTGGAATGATAATGAATTAAAAATATAAAAAGAAAAATAGTTTTAATAAAGGTTTCTGCTGTCGTTGCGACTGGCGGTGTCGTCTTGCTGACGCCTCGGGTTCTTGACCTATAACGCCTCCCTCGCTAAGCTGAAAGTCCGTCCTCGGACTTTTGAAGTTTTAGGTTTTCCAAGTCGGCAATGGAAATTTTCGGCTTGAAGAAAAGCGTCTGGAGTCTTCTTCTTTTTCTTAAGACGAAGTAAATGCTCGCTGTGACGATGATGAGCATTAGGGTTGCCATGGACCAAGTTGTTGTAGACGTCACTGTAGGGCTTAGATGTAAGGGCTGTATGGCCGATAGCTGTGGTACATCTTTGAGTGGCTGCAACTCGTTGATCTGTAAGTTAAACTTTGGGCGGATCTTTATAGGGATGATATCAGGAACTTCGATTTGCTCTGAAGTAGTGCTGTAAATCTGTCCATTAATTTCGATTGGGCATGAAGAATAAACAATTGCTGCTTGACTAATATTTCGGTGAGTCTGGGAACATCTTTCAACGATTTGGATTGGCTCATTTGTACTGACGATCAGGTTTTTCTTTGTTTGGTGGATGACAGGCTGGGAAAGCTTGGCAGTGGTACAATTTTCTAAGCTGGGAAGCTGACATCTTGTGGTGGAAGCGGGTTGACATACGATTTTTGGTCCTACATCGGTGCATGTAGAATACCAGCGATTATCTCCATAGAAAGTTGCAGGAGGCAGTAGTACAATGTTTTCTTCATTATGTATGGGATAAATATGGTAAAGTCGGAAAGAGTGATCATTAAGGATCGGGATTTTGAAAAGGATGAGTAACTGAGTATTTGTGGTAATTAATGAACAACGTGAATTTTCGATAAGTTCAAAGGGATGTGAATTATCTGATAAAAGAGAATTTGATTTATATAAAGATTTTAGCTTTTCTTCTAAGTCAGTGATTTCGGAAAGTGAAAATAATTCTATGTTCGGTTGTTCTAGTGCAGATAGGTTTATACTTCTAATAAGCTTTAAAATGAATTGATTCAAACGATCAATATTACGAATTTCGCTTTGAAGAGTAATAAACTGCTGGAATTCATCTCTAAGAAAATTAATATCTTGTGTGATTCTCACTGTATTATTATTTATGGTTTCAATCAGAATATTATATCTTTTTATTGTTTCTGATGCATAACTTGTCGAATTATTAAGCACATTGATTATACGATTTTGTTTATTTTCGATACTGAAGATGTGCCTTTCCAAAAATATACGATCGTTTTCGTCAAGGTTGCCAGTCACTGATTTAATAAAAGTTCCCAAAAAGTTAGCAATTCCTCGCCTTTGACGGGGTCGGATTATTTTATGAAAATTGTCAAGTGTCTCGGAATAGAGATGGTTATATTGTTCAAATATTCGGTAGTTGGAAGTAGTGAGAGTCTTGTTAAGGAATAGGAAGTTAGTTAGAGTCATTTTAAGCGTTGCGTCGATAGCAGTTAGGTTAACAGTAATAATATGTCGGTGATAGTGATTTAACTCTTGAGCATGGCCTATCAGTTCACGATAGTATCCATTATTCGGGATCAGGTGCACTTGAAGGGCCAGGTTGTGGTTCGTCAGGATGACGATCCTGTAACAAGGGTATTTTCCTTAGACGTTTGATTTTTCTAGGATGGGTATTGGTGGGTCTATTTTTGGAAGTAACGGCCTGAATTTTGGTATTGCTACTAGAAGTAGTTTCGGCTGATACGTAAGGTGCAGATAATTTATTTCGGGGATTTTTCTGAATATATATGGTTTGGCCAGGTGCTGGAGCAGGAGTGATCTCGGGTAGTCTTTCATTGCGTTTATTTAAAATTGCTGTTTCTTTATCGTGGAGTTTTCGATAAAGAGAGTCAATGAAAGGTCGAAGTTCGTCTTTATGTCGTTGGTTATATTTTTCGTAGATAGGTAAGTCATTGTCAAAAAGTATTTCTTCTGCATATGGGCCATATAAGATAGAAAAACGTGAATAACCTGTGGCGGAATGGATGGACTGATTGTAAATTAAAACACAATGTGTAACGAGATCAGTAAAATATTCTTTGGGGCGTTCGTCGTGCATAACACGGAGCTTTTCTGTAAAAGTAGAGTGAAATCTTTCGATAGGACTATTGGAATTCGGGTTGTTCACTGTCGTAAAGTGTAGCTCGATTTTGTGAAGATTTAAAAATTCTTTGAAGAGGTTATTTGAAAATTCGGTACCTTCGTCGCAGACTATTTTTCGAGGATAATTATGGTGGGAGAAATAGTGACGTAATTTGCTAAGGATTGTGGTATTCATTTTGTCAGGTATACTGTACACTTGGGCATACTTGGAAAAAGAGTCGATGATTGTGAGGAAAGTTTCTCGATTACAGGAAAATGTGTCAATATGAAGGATGTCGAAAGGCTTTTGTCCTAGAAGTGGACCTTTTAGGGGTAATTTATATGGGTGTCTCTCGTATTTATTACGAAGACAAATATCGCAGTGGTTAATATGCTCTGAAATTGTAGAACGCATATTAGGCCAGTAATAGTGTAATTTTAAATGACTAAGTGTTTCGAGAATACCATTGTGATTTTCCTTATGGTAATTTTGGAGATGTCGTAATTGGTCTTCGGGTCTCTCTACATCTTGAACTCGTTTGGTGCAGAAGAATATTTGGATGTTTTGGTTATAAGTATTACGGACGAAGTCGGAAATATATTTTTGGATATCGGGATTGTCAGTCAGAATGTAGTATCGTTGATTGGGGGCTATAGTTTGATGGAGAGCAGTCTTGATGTCGGTTTTCCAGTCTTTTTCGGAAAGAGTGATGAGATATTCGTGTTTGGACTTGAACTTCAGACGGTATTTGGTGTTAAAATCGGTGCCTAGATTTATTATGATCTGATTTGAAAAATGATTAATAGGTTCTTCTGAGAATGGGACGAGAGCAACGGGATTTTCATGAGAAGAATGTTGGGTTGATTGACCAGTTTCTTTTTCGAAAGATTGGTTAACGAAGTCATCTACATCAAAGTCGTCATCATCATCTGGAGGGTTGGCACACAGAGACTCGGATTCGTGCATATTTATTTCGATGCGACTTAAAGCATCGGCGACGACGTTTTCCTTTCCTTTCTTGTATTTAATTTCGAAATTGTACTCCTCAAGTTTGAGTTTCCATCGGACAAGACGAGAATTGGGTTCCTTAATTTTGTATAACCAGACTAAGGGGTTGTGATCTGTTTCCACAGTAAATTTTACACCATATACATAGGGGCGGAATACTTTGCAGGAATCGAGTATGGCAAGAAGTTCTTTTTCGATTGTAGAATAATTTTTCTCTGCTGAATTTAGGGTGCGAGAATAATAGGCTATCGGATTTCCTTTCTGTGTAAGGACAGAACCGATCGCTATGTTTGGAGCGTCTGTAGTGAGGGTAAATGGTAGGGAAAAATCAGGGTATTGGAGAATAGGGGAGTTACTGAGAGCGGATTTACATTTCTCGAAAGATTCAATATATCTGGGATCTTCGATATCGATTTTAGTACCTTTTCTAGTGCAGCGTGTCATGGGGTATGTGATTTTGGAAAAGTTCGGAATGAAACGTCGGTAGTATCCTACCAGACCAAGAAAGCTTTTGATTTCTTTCACCGTCTTGGGTATAGGAAAGTTTTCAATGGCTGAAATTTTTGAAGGATTTGGTTTTATGCCTTCAGGTGTTATGACGTGGCCTAGAAACGCTACTGACTTACTCAAGAATTCGGATTTATCGGGCTGAATCTTGAGGTTAACTTCTCGGAATTTTTGGAAAATCTGTTTAATATGAATTAAATGTTCCTGGAGGGATTTGGAAAATATGATGACGTCGTCCATATAGACAAAACAAGATTTGTATAAGAATTCTCTTAGGATTTCATCCATCATTCTCTCGAAAGTGGCTGGTGCATTTCGTAATCCGAAAGGCATTCTAAGGTACTCGAAATGACCGTTAGGAACTGTGAAAGCTGTCTTTTCTATAGAATCTGGGTGGACTTCGATTTGGTGGAAACCCTGTGCCAAATCAAGGGTGGTAAAGTATGAACAGCGTCCTAGGTTGTCAAGAATTTCGTCAATGCGGGGAAGAGGGTATTTATCTTCGATTGTGTTTTCGTTAAGACGTCTATAGTCGATGACCATACGGAATTTTCTTTTACCACTTGCGTCAAGTTTTTTCGCAACTATCCATACAGGGGCTGAGTAGGGACTTATAGAAGGGCGGATGACATTGTTCTGTAGTAATTTATTGATTTGGTCGGAAATTTCAGGTAGCATTGATTTTGGGTGTCGATAAGAGCGGGTGAAGATTGGTGTTTCATCTTTAGTTCGAATAACATGTTTTACAGAAGTAGTAACGGTTAAAGGAGAATTTTCTGTATGAAAAATATCTTTAAATCGATGACAAAGATGGAGGATCTTTTCTTTCTCTTCTGCATTCAAATGGTCTGTCCGTAACAAACTAAGATCAAAATAATTGTCGCCAGACGATGGGGGAGTGATTTCTTCGAAATCTGAAATGGATGTGGCGGAGATTGGTTGTGAGAAGTTGATTTCAACATTGTTGGGACGTGGAATTTCTATGAATCCGTCTTCAGCTACATGAATTGATGCTGGAACTATTACTTGATTTTCATGTATAATATCAGAAATGACAACTTCGCCATTATTAATGGAGACCGGAATACGTAGTCGTTTATTACTACGGTAAATTATCTTAAATGGAATAGAGATCTGTAATTTTGGAATAGAAAATACATGTGTTTCGTAATCAATATTGGCTCCTAGTTGATCGAGTTCACCTGTACCTAAAAGTACATCGAAATCGTCATGCCAGTCGGCAATTCTAATTGTAAGGGCTTGCTGTATACCAATTTCTTCGAACAAAGGGTAGTAAAGATTGCGTGTATATGTTTTTGGGGTTTTCATCGATATGAGGGTAAAAGGTTCATAGAATTCATATTTCGAGTCGAAATTTTGAGCAGCTCTGGGAGTAATTACTGTATCAGAGCCACCGGAGTCGATGAGAACTTTTAATTTGGAATGTGGAAGGTAGAAGTAAGGAAGTTTCGTTGCTTTGGAAAAATTATTCAACTGAATGATTCTATGTTGGGTGCGGGTTCCATTGAGGCTGGTTCTAGAAAATTTTCCTCAGGAGAATCAAAGTTTTCGTAGCAATCTGTCTCAGGTATACAGTCTGCTTCGTTATAAGGTAAACTAGGCGGGGACTCGGGTTCACATTCAACATTATGATGGAACGTGCGGTAAGAGGACATAGACATTGGGGTAGGTTTGGAATTTGAAGATCTCTGGGAATGAATACCAGACATGGGAGTTGGTTTATATTGGTTTCGTTGGTCTTGTGAATTATTAGGCCTAGACGATGGACCAAAGACTTGACGATTTGTCGGAAAAGATTGTCTCTGTTGGATGGGCTTATTTATATCGCCTAAAGGTCTAGGGTGCATAGAATTTTGGTTGAAAGATTGATTAGACGAATTGGGCTGATTAAAATTACGATGTATTGGTTATTGGGATTATTGGGTTTGTTCGAAGTATTGAAGTTGTTTGGATTGGGACGAGGTTGAGGTTTTTGGTAATCGCGGGGGTGATTCGTGGATTTCAAGTAAGACATGTATTGTTGTTGCTGTCTGTGATTGTCAAGAGTGATACACTTTTGGAGAGCATCATCTAAAGTATTCAATTCGAAATGAGAAAGATGGTCACAATAAGGGTTGTTGATGCCTGTGCAGAAAGTTCTTAGAGCTTGTTTCCGGAAAAATGAAGCCTTGAACTCTACTGCCTGGGCATTACTTTCACTTAATAAAACATGTTGTAAAAGGTCATTCAGTGCCAAGGTTATACGATGATGATAATCTTGGTAAGTCTCTGAGCGTTTCTGAACAGTTGTAGTTAATTGAGTTAACAAAATTTCTTCATTACGGTGGTCACCGTATTTTTGTAATAAAAGTGGTTTAATATCTGGCCACGAATTTTTATTATGAATGTTCAGAAAATCTCGAGCTTCACCTTTTACTTTGGATAAAATATGTGCATTAATAATATACAATTGTACTGCATCAGCTCCTTGTTGGTTGAAAAATGTGATTAAATTATCTACAGAGCTTATAAATGTAGAAAGATTATCTCCAACTTTAAATTCAGGAAGAGTATTACACAAGTTATTAACATCAGAGTTAGATATAACCATTTTTGTAGATTGTTCGAAAGTATTAGATGGGTTATCAACAATATCGTCTTCTGACCTCTTTGAATGTTTACTGTAGGGTTGAAATCTAGATTTGTTTTGCGACTTGTGTGAAAAATTAACTATAGCTTGAAATGAATCTTGAGGGTACTCAGAACTCATATGAAAAGGAAATGGACTTACAGGATGAGAAGAATCGCACTGATTTTCATCGCCAGTATGGTCCTCCAATTTCTCGGTGTTTCTTCGTGACCCCAGGTAGAAATCTGCCAAATCGTTAAGACGAACCGATGATCCTTCTTGGGTGGATGCCGTGCAGATATCCTGTTCGCAGCGCCAATTATGTTTCTCAGCCACAACAAGGAGTTTTTAAAAAATATTTATTTTGTAGACATGAACGTGTTACAAGTTGGAATGATAATGAATTAAAATATAAAAGGAAAATAGTTTTAATAAAGGTTTCTGCTGTCGTTGCGACTGGCGGTGTCGTCTTGCTGACGCCTCGGGTTCTTGACCTATAACGCGCGAAAAAGGATTTCCATTACTCTAAGGACTTTTGGCATTCTACTTGGTGGTGACAGTGGAAATTGTATATGAATGTCTAAGTACAGCATCGGGTTGGGCATTTTCTTAAATAGCTTGTTAACCAATTCTTTACGGTACTGAGACAATCTAAGTTTAAACAACTTTTTTTATAGGAATGAACATAATTCTTGGAGCTGCAGAAGGCGAAATAGTAGCTGATGCAGACGTCCAAAAAGCTGCATTACGAGTTATTGGCAACTGTGTTTGTGCTCCTATCAATAGAGTAAGTATTTAATAATAGCTGGTTCTGATGATTTTTAATAATTTGTGCGATGGCAAAAATATCTAGTATGTATGTATTGATTATTGGAATTACTGTAGTATATGCAGAAAGTAGGGATGCGCTGAATACTACTTTTTACGGCAAAACTGAAATGTTTCCATACGTTTGTCGTTACAAAAACTATGGTATTTAAAAAAACGCGCGTTTTTATTTTCAGAGAATTTGAATATTGATAAGATAAATCTTGTATTAGTACGGAGCCAGAGGTATACTTTAATATTTACAGTAACGAACAAAAGTATATAGACAAATTAATATTGTGCTGTATTTCTTTTTTAACTTGTTTTATTAATACACCAACCTGTATACATAATTCGTTATAGCATAATACTCACATATACATAAATAAATTCATTAGACTCCCTTCAATAAAAATTTCATTGAAAAAAACTGGAACTATGGACAAAAATATATAGACAAAGCAAAACAATTATAAAAAAAAGAAGCAAAGTTCATTGAATTATAAAAAACCAACCATGTTTGTGTTAATATTTTGTATCATAACCATTATTATCAATCACCGCCTGGCATCGTCTCGGCATAGATTGTAGAAGTTTCTTGATATAAGATTCAACAATCTGTCTCGGTTCCAAAAATGAGGGTAACAGAAAAAAAACCCTAGAGAGAGAAAGACTGTTTAAAAATCTACTCTACTCTGTCTGAGATAAAACTACTCTTTAAAAACAATCGCAGTTGAAGCGAAACCATGTACATTTTTTTCGTATAAGAAAAGTAAAGCAAAGGCAAAAAAAGATAAATATGTACTAAACTAATATACCCTTGTTCTAAAAAGTTATAACTGCTCAAAAATCAAAATCATGATCACTGTAATAGAAGGTGCCATGTAGGCATTGCCCCCATATTTGAATACGTAGAATGTCTAATAAAATCAAGAATTTCAATAAGCAATAATAAATGTATAAAGATCTATGAAATTTTTAATTAGAATGATATTTTACCTGTTCACATCAGGGTTTTTTCAAGGGGATGGCTTCCAATTTGCAAAACTGCAACGATGCAACTGACTGGGAGAGAAAAGGCGAGGATTTTCTTCTGTTTCTATTGACAAAAATAAAGCAGATATTGAGTGAACGTCATCAGGACACGCATTGAGGCACACGGTCCAAAGGTATATAAAAAAAGAACTTACCGCTGAGGTCAAAATCCCATAAAAAAGTGGAAGACGTAGCACCCAAAATAACTAAACTCAAGTCACACAACAAAAGAAAAGGGTGCTAGTCTATGAACGGGTGCTTGGGGCCTAATATCCCAGAGTCTGGAAAACGACAAAAAGACCCCTGCACCAGACCTCAACGAAACTGAAAAGCGAATCACGCAAAATACGTAACGTTCTAGAAGAAATCTTGAGTGGCCTTGAAGAAGATATGATTTATAGGAAGCCAACTAACGGAGAAAAACTGCAGTTTTTTTGCTGAGAAAGCAAGATATAGGTATAATACGAGTGAAATTATACAATCAATAAACTATTAAATTTGCAAAAAGAAAATCATTGAAAGGGGCTTTGGCCTAGGAATGGGCACTCTATTATCAATGAAGAGAAATTCAAATTACTAAGTGATAAGTAGAAAAAAAAAGGTTACGTGATTTTGGCACGTGATAACATACCCTCTTCCAGTCACAGATGCTAAAAATCAAGTTGCAACCGTACAAATTGGAATCGGTCCTTACGGTTTTTCCTCGAGATTAGCGTCTTCTTACTAGGGCGACGTGCAAATAACTTCAAATCTTTCAATCTTCTACTTATAGTTTTCGTAGAAACACTGACAATTTCTTTTGTCTCGATTTCTGCTTTTATTTGTCTTGGGGTTTTAAACGGATCTTTGGAAGAACTTACTTTTATTAATCTAACTGATCTAGAATTTAGTTTTCTAGCCCTACCACTTCTCTTAGAGACTTGCCAAGATTTTGTTTTATTTATTCATTATTGCCCGCTTCAGCTTCAAATTTTTTTCAATGTCGACTTGACGTTGACCATCTTTGTATAACTCAATGATCTTAGTTTTCACATCGAAAGGAAATTTTTGGACCACGCGGCATGGTCTTAAAATCACTCAACTTATTCCACAATACTTGATGAACACAAACTAATCCTCTTCTGACACGAAACTGTACTAAACTACTAAACTAATGTTTTGTCTGCATATTTTTGTCCCTCATAAAAAAGATAATGTAAAAACAAGCAATTTAGCTTTTCTACTAATAACGCATTTGTTTATGGAGCAATGAAGTGTGAATTCGTTTTCTAAAGGGATTTAGGTAAATATTCATATTTGTCTCTATACTTTTGTCCATTACTGTATATATCTGTTCCTGCACAATGTTAACTAGGCATATGAAGTAGTTCTTAATAATGTTAATATTTGTTTCCAAACTTTTGTCCGCTACTGTATGTTTGATACCTCTTTTTTTGATATACTTCGTAATTCTTGCCAGTACAAAAAAGCACATTTGTGAAATATTTAAATGGTATATACCCACATCTTATTGTTATTGTTGTTGACCTTAGACAATGCCAGGAACCCAGCTGCTCAAATTCCGAAAAATGACCTAATAGAATCCTTACGATGTCATGGCTATTGTTTCAGCACTGCCTGTGAGAACTTTACAAACAACACAAATAAAGAGGGAGGACTAAACCTAAATGTTCCTTATGTATGAATAAAGGTTTTCTTTGCAGAAATAGGGAATACATGCTACGTTACTTTCGTAAATTCACAATCTTACTGTTAAAGACGGTCGACATTGCCTAAAAATCATCAAAATTAGCTATTTTTTGATGGTGTGTCAATTTCTTGGTAGAACATATCAGGAAGGTTTGTAGAAGGCATACGAGTTTAGACTTTGCACATCATATCTGCAATTCCTTGATTTACAGAAGTTGTGGTCTTTGCGTTAAGGCCTAGTAATTACCCGGCCGAGTAATTTAATAGTCGGCAAAACCGGGTTCTTGGTAAAATGAACTGAATCCCTAACTCAAGCTATCATACTAAAAAACCTGTTAACATTCAGACTTACCATACGACTGTAGCATATCAAAAAATTCCAGGTTGGTGGCACCGTGGCCCGTTTCTCCACCAACACAACCAGCTCTCCAAACAAAAAAATGAAATACAAAAATTCCGAAGATTTGATCCAGAAAGTGTGGGATTGCGTGCGGTCCAACAGTGGTATAATGGTGCTGTTGCAGTTGATGCAAGTCAAAACTCCTATTACGGATGCGGATTGTATCAGAACTCTGGCTTGCAGGGCGTTGGCTGGTCTGGCCAGGTCGGAAACCGTCAGGCAGATCGTTTCAAAGTTACCTTTGTTCACAGGGGGACAGCTACAAAGTAAGTGATCACTCATATTGTTAAGTCGGAGATCCTTACCCTACATCATATGCTTGTTAAATAAAATCGTGCAGTACTTGAACGACGAATATTTATTGATTCTGTGCGATCATCAAGCAGTGAAATAGAGCAGGACAGGTCGTTTATGAATAATAGTTAACTTATAGAATGATGTGTTTTTTTCTATTTCCGTCTATATTTCTGTATGCAGGAAAAACGAAATAAACCAACTTTTTTAGCTTATATTTGCTTATACCAAATACACATATACCTTGGGAAAAAACATTATTATACATTATGATGAGGAAGAGAGATGGAAATATACAAAAGTATGTAGGTGCGTGAAAGACACTCGATTGTAGGATCCTATCTGGCTGCGTCGGAGTGTGACGGACAACGGGGTAAAGTAGAAGAGTGATAAAAGAGAAATGGCAGAACGGGCGCTGGCGCCTGCTGCTTAGACGGATGCGCTCAACAAATGCGATTTGTTTCTCCCATTCGCGGAGTTGCCGATACCAATATGTCATATTTCTAAGAAATCTAAGTCTACCCAAATTTCGGGAAAAATAGCTGCGGATTCCACATAAGAGTATTCCAAAAAAGTTCAAACTATTAAAATTGTATTAATGTTTCATGGTTCAAATCATATTTTTCATGTTGTATAAATGATTTTGTAATCCCTATTCTTGTTGCCAGTAGAGATACAACAGTATTGAGAGAAATCATGGACCGCTAGATAGGGCTACAACTACCATATGACTATCAAATAGTAGTGAGAAACAGGGTTTGTTTATAGCACAGTTGCCTGGTGTGGCGAATTTGCGCCATAGGGGCGATTTGACAACTTTGAAGGACAACTATAACGGGTACTATGGTGCCCGGTATTCGGGAATCTGGCAATACCTGATGATTCCTAACGTTTATTACGCCAGATTGTTTGCTGACTTGCGCAGTACAACATGACAATCAACGTGACTGAGCACCTGGTAACCCTGGTTTAAGGTGTTATATTTAAAGAGCTTGGGGCAGTTAGGTATCTAGGTCACATTTTCTAATGTATTTCGAGAAATCCGTAATGTTGAGTAAATACTAGATCACGTTTCTTGCTTAGTTTGCAGAAAATTCTACAAAGACGTACATTTTGAGAAACAGAGATTTGGTGACGACAAAATCGTAAAAATATAACGCATTTTCGTAAAATAATTTCTTTGTTGAAAACACTGTGGCTTGATGACCGATTGAACGAGGATAGTGTCCCGCTTCGCTTTGAATATTCGAAACACTATACTCCAGCAGCATTCAGCTTCAATGTTATCTTTATGAAGTTCTAACGTCTAGGCCATGCTGATTAAAAGCTTGAATGAATCAACACTTAACTCTAAATTCCCCACAATTCGAGAAGCTCTACTCAAATTGGCAACACAGCGTATCTGCCTATTATTCTCATTCGTGATACAGGTCTGCGGTCTGCTGAAAATTTCAGTATGCGTTGAGTCGATAGAAAAAGTACAGTAGATGCGCGTATTACGCACCAGTTCGATTGGACGTCCTGTGAACCGATTTCGGTGATTTCGAGATTTCACGAAATCACCTAAATCACTCTACTTATTTTTATGAATGGATAATTGGTTTTGTAGCAATAAAGGTTGCGTCTCATAACAAAAATAAGAAGATACCCACTCTAACAAAATACAGTACACTCTTAAAAATGTGTAACGAAAATAAAAAGATATTCTAACAAAAAAATAAGTTCTCAAAAATAAAACGCAATAATGAACACACATGTTTCAGATGGTCCTTCACAGCTGGGGCTCAAAAACGTCTCCTTCATTCAATGAACAGTATGTCAGGCGGTTATAAAACTCCTGACGAACTCTCAAGAGGGTAGTAGGCTGTATTTGCCGGAGCGCTTCAACGATTTTCACCTGTAGGTTATGCAAATTATCTGCTCTCTCATTGAAAGTGTAAACAGTACTTTTCACATAACCCCACAAGAAAAAATCATTAGGCGCTAGATCGGGTGATCTAGGAGGCCATTTTATTGTTCCGTTACCGCCAATAATCCGGTGGCCGAACACACTTTCAAGGTAAGTGTGTACGATCGCCGCATTATGCGCCGGGCATCCATCTTGTTTGAACCAAATATTAGCGAGATCAATGCCATGCTGCCTAATTGCAGGAACAATCTGCGTCTGTAGTAACGCCAAATATTTTGCAGCCGTAAGAGTTCCATCAATAAAGAACGGTCCGATAATGTTATTATCTAGAATTCCTGCCCACACATTCAGTTTCTGTGGATACTGCGTGCGTTCGGGAATACTGAGGTGTTTATTTTCCCGAGACCAATACCGAACGACTGAAGGATTGTGATGACCGTGGAGAGGGAATGTGGATTCATCAGTAAACAAAATGTTACCAATAAAACTTCCATCCCTGTTCGCCTTCTCCATGACCGTTTCACAAAACTCCATTCGACGGTATTTGTCTAAAGGAAATATTTTTTGAACCGTTCCAACCTTGAAGCTATGATAGCCGTTGCGATGCAAAATATTTCTTGTTGTTCTGGGTGTGAGATCGGCTATTGGTACCATTTCAGCAATTTTTCTGCTTGAGCATGGCTCAGATACTTCTGCAGGGGCACAAACAGCAGTTTCGATCTCCTCCCTTTTCTAGCTAATTTTTGGTTTCCAACCTTCAGGGTGCATGCAGCTATGGCGCTTATGTAAGCTGCCCACCCTCTTGAATTTTTCGTAGGTATTTATAACCGTTGCGTGAGACGGAATTGGCCGATCTGGGAAGCGTACCGCAAATAATTCAACAACCGCGCGTGCTGAATTATTCTGGATGTACCATTCTATCATTTGAAACTTTTCTTCTTGCGAGTACATTTTTAAGATATTTTGGATTAAATAAAGACGCACCTTTCCTACACAAAACCCAACCGCAGAGTGGGTCATGAATCCCTTATCGCACTTGACAACGGCACGCGCGTTAACGGTAGGAAATATGTACGAATAGTGATGAAAGTAGACGAGCCGATGCGCTGTTGCCAAGAAATGATTTCCCATGTATAACAATGGTTTTTCCTAAGGTGTATAGGGTTTCCGAATAGTAAGGTTGCGTCTAGGATATGTCACGACAGTCATTAAAGAATTTATAGAAACTTCATTGCTTGACATTTGTGTTGAATATACACTACCGCTCAAATATTTTGGAACAGGCTTTTTTTAAGAGAACTTAAAGTAAATAAGGCTTATGTGACATTGATTGATTATTACCATCTATAATACGGCTACTGCTCAAGCTAAAGATGTATAAGAATCAGTAAAAACCCACTTAAAAGGGAATAAATGTAAACATCTTTAGAGACGCCGATATTTTTATTAGTTCATTGCAGTCATAAATCGGCCGATTTCCTTCCGCTGCTTACTTTTTTTTGTACTATGTATTATGTTCGGCGTAATGTGATACATAAACATCCTGGGTATCAATGAAACAAAGTAAAAATTGTACCTAATTTAGTATAAACTACTAGTCGATGTGCTAGGGTCAGATTTTTTTCAAAATAATGGAAAATGGTAAAGACTGGTAACGTTTCTCTTGAAAAACGGGGTGCAGTATGTACCTTACGTGATGAGGGATTGCCAATTCGAACGAATGCTGAAAAGCTGCATTTGGGACGTAACACTGTGTCTCAAATTTTGAAGAAAAAGAGAATCAGGCAGTGTCGTAGATCGTCCACGCTCTGGAAGACGCAGAGTTACAACTGTTCCTGAGGATAGGTTTATAGTAATAACAAATAAGCGAAATAGACATTTAACTTCGCCAGAACTCACACACAGCTTGAACAGAACGAGGGAAAACCCTGTGTCCATGTCCACGGTAAAACGCCGCTTACAAAGGGCTAACCTTAGAGGATGTGTAGCAGCATGCAAACCATTCCTGCGACCTATACATAAACTCAACGGGTTAGCATGGACTCGAAAACACAAGGATTGGACCACTAACGATTGGAATCGAGTCCTTTGGTCGGACGAATCCAAATACGAAATGTTCGGATCTCAACGACAGTTTGTACGTCGCCAACGCCATAAACGCATGGCTCCGCAATGTTTGCAGCCCACTGTTAAACATAGAGGTGGGAGTGTAATGGTTTGGGACTGTTTTGCTGGAGATTTGGTTCCTATTGAGGGTATAATGCGAAAAGAGCAGCATTTGGAAATATTTGAAAACCACGCTGTTCCCTCAAGACAAAGGATTGTTGAAAACAATTTTGAATTCCAGCAAGACAACGACCCCCAGCATTCATCTCGACTATGCCGCAATTATTTGGACCAGCAGCAAGAACTTGGTGCAATGAAAATCACGACATGGCCTTCCCACTCTCCAGATTTGTCTCCTATTGAATATTAGTGGGATGAATTGGACAGACAGGTGAAGCAACAAGAGCCTACTAGTGCAGGAAGCGCGGGTATCCTTATCACCAGCTATTCTTGAAAATTTGATACGTCGGATGAGTCGTGTCAGTCATGCAGTTATTCGGGCTCGTGGTGGACATTTCGATGAATCACGAATTTAAAGTAAATTTTGATAGAAATAAGCTACCAACTAACTGAGTTTCAGTGGAAAATAGTTCCTTTTTTATTTTTTTGATTAAACACACTCTATTCTTTGATTTGGTTTGATCTCCCTCAAAAAATCTGCTGTCCCAAAACTTGAGCGCTAGTGTTGTTTCAAACTACCATAATAAAATACAAGCCTTGAGAACGCTACTTTGCCAAAAGTTTGATTATTTTCTCTGGGGACACCTTAAAGCGATGGTAGACGAAGCTCCTAAAGAAAGTGAAGAGGATTTACGGAATAGAATCATTAATTCATGTGACATAAAAAATACGCCAGGTACTTCCAGGAGAGTGCGTGATTCAATGATTAAGCGGCTAAACGGTATTTATTGAAGCCGAAGGGGGGCATTGCCAACACTTAATTGAGTGGAATTTGCTACCCTAGATGTTAGTCTTATTTACTATTTGTTGCATAATTAGTGATAAAAAATTATAAAAAATTATTTCCCAAATAAACTTTTCCTCATATTCTTTGTGTCGTCCAGGAATTAAGAGGACATTCTCTTTTTCTTGAAAACTAAGCAAAAACAATTCAAGAGGCAAAAAAACTGAATTTATATTTGCTTAATCCAGAGAATACTGGATTTAATAAATTTAATCAAGTTAGTGCTAAATTAGCTCCTTAATGTTATTTATATACAGTTTGGGGTGTTAACAGGTAAACCCAACACACACCCTCAGTGAACTAAAACTAAACTTACATAAAATATCGTATACATATACATATATTACATTATTGAATACTTCAATATTAATATTTTTTTATCCTCCGATATTGTTGTAACAACATAAACTGAGTGAGTAGTTCTAATTATAAGCAATTAACTATTAATTTAACTTTTTTAATAAAAGGAGTATACATAATTTAACATTTACTTACGTTTAATTAAAATAGCAATCAAAATTAAATTGAAATTATACCAGAAATGATATTGGAGGTCATAACTTGAGTTATGTAAAAAAATAAAACATTTCTATTTTAGTCTGCCATAGAGCTGTAATACTCATACTTTAAAGCCTTTTTCAGGGAGGTCAAGCTAATGTTAAATAAATCTATATTACAGAAATTATTATGATTTTTTTGAGCCCTGAACAAAGGGGAATTAAGACCAAGATTGGTTCTACGGAACGGTATTCTAAACAGATGATAGGTTCTAAACGTTCTATCAGGAGTGTTAAAGTTCAAGTTTGCCAAAAGACCCGGGCAGTCAGTGAGGCCATTCAACAATTTATGGACACAGCAAATGTCAGAAATCGTTCTTCTATCTTTTAAGGAAATCATATTGAACTGTTTCATAATTTGCGTATAATGATGATCTGTAACAGGTTGGTGAGTTTTATGTGCTAACATCTTCAAAAATTTGTATTGAATTCTTTCTATCCTGACTATATGTATATTGTAAGACGGATTCCATATTACTGATGCAAACATCAGTTTGTTGTGTATATAGGCGTAGTACAATGAAAGAAGCGTTTTTGGGTTCGTAAATTCTCTGCATGTCCTGTTTATGAACCCTAGTGTTCTATTTGCATGAGAGTTTCTCATCAATGTATACCCCTAGGTCTTTTACTACATGAAGCTTTTCCAGTTCTGCCGTCCCTATCTTATATCTGAAATCTATAGTGTTCGCTATGTTTCTAGTAAGCCTCATGTAATGACATTTTGTTAAATTCAGGAAGATACTGTTTTCAGTGCAATACTTTTGCAGATTCCAAATCGCTTTGAAGTTTTACACCGTCATTTACATTTCTAACAATAGTAAATATCTTTAGATCATCAGCATATAACAAATATTTACTGAAATGAAAAACAGAAGTAAGGTTGTTCATGTATATGTTAAATAACAATGGTCCTAAGTGACTACCTTGTGGTACGCCTGAAGTTACTAAGAATGTCTCCGAACGATACCCATTGATAGTCACCACTTGTTTACGATTACTTATATACGATGCTAGCCACTGCCATAATGGACCATCTACACCCACCTCAGCAAGTCTCTCCATCAAGATAGAATGATCAATCTTGTCGAAAGCCTTACTGAAGTCGGTATAAATAACATCCACCTGCAGTTTCTCATCTATTGCGTGAGAGGCATATTCTATAAAACTCATCAAATTCGTCTCTACAGATCTTTTAGGGAAAAATCCATGCTGGTGTTCCGTAATGATATTTTTTGTAATGTTTAAGATAGGATCATAAATTAGCTTTTCAAAAATTTTTGAGAGAGAAGTTTAGTGATAGGTCGATAATTTTCCACAAGATGTCTATCGCCTCCTTTATGAATAGGCAATATTTCACCTTCTTTCCATCTCGTTGGAAAGACTCTTTGAGTTAATGATAGTTTGAAAATTAGGTGAAGTGGTAAACATAAGCTAGCGGAACAGTTTTTTATAGATACAGAAGGTATGCCGTCAGGGCCTACTGATTTTTTAATTTCTAAGGACATTATTTGTTGATATATTTTTTCAATGGATATTAAGGTAACATCAATAGGACTAGCATCCTTGTTTAAATAAAAATGTTTAGATTTAACATATACACTTGCAAAGAAATCAGCAAAGGCATTACACACCCCACTTCCGGTTTTAACTTCATAGTTTGAATGATTTATAGAACTAGGTATAGAGACATGACATTTTTTCTTACTTGAAACGTATTTCCAAAAGTATCGGCTGTCGTTCAATATATTGTTTTCCATCATTGTTATGTATTCATCCAGGTTTTCCTTAATTAAGATTTTTGATTTGGCTCTAAGGTCACAGAATATCTGATATGAGTATGGATCATTAAAACGTTTGTATAGTCTATGATACTTATTTTTTCTCTTAACTGTTTGTATTGTTTCAAGTTTAAAGTATATTGGCTATTTTCCTCGAATTTTATATGTTTGTGTAAATTTGTGAATAGTTTCATTGCGTATGTTATAGAATATGGCCACAGCTTCATCTACAGATTTGGTACTAAATAATTTTTCCCATTCTATGTCTAAAAGAGTATTATTTATGGAAGTATAGTCGGCTTTATTAAAGTTGTAAAGGCATCGGCTCTGGTGCATTAATGGCTTAAGTAAAACATGCTTAAAACAAAATGTAATTGCAGGATGGTGACTATCCTCAGGAACCAATATGTCAACCGAATTCGAAATATTATATATTGAACATTCGTTACTAAGTATCAAGTCTAATAAACGGTTATTTGAATTGTAAATTTTATTAAATTGCATTAACTGTAGATACGACAATATGTCAAGTAAGGCACTCGTTTTCTCTTCAACATTAATTGCTCCATAAAATGTTCATTAAGTACGGGTTGCCAATTGACACTTGGAAGATTAAAGTCACCAACCAACAACACCGTATTTTGTCGAAAAAAACCTTCATTCTGGTATAATTTGCTTACAACTGAGGCATATGAAATGCTATCCTTAGGTGGTAAATATATACAGCTTATAAATAATTTGGTACCGTTGATATGTTCAATTGATGCCCAAAGTTCTTCAGCATCAGATTCGAGTTCACAACAGCGTTTTGAGTTGAAGACATTTTTTACCGCGATTAACACACCACCACCATCACTTTTTTGTGAACATGAACTCTCACGATCTCTTCTAAATACTGTGTTATCCGCTCCAAATAATTCGCTGCTGCATACACCATCCTTGAGCCACGTCTCTGTCAGGCATATTATGTCATAATCACTTGCACGAACATTATTAAAGAACTCCGTTGTTTTAGATCGTAGTCCTCTTGTATTTTGGTAGTAGATGATTAGGTCCTGACATTTGTTATCCATCTTAACGTAGATAGGTATTTTCTACTTACTTTGCTTGTTGACGGCTTATTTGATATTTTTTAAACCCTCAGTGTCTTTCACAATAATGACACCTGAGGTATCTTCCTTTCTTGCAAAGATCTCGCCATTTTTCGTCCAGACATATTTGTATTGTTTCAGTATAAATGCTATACCACCAAATTACAATATTAGGTAAAGGATATTTAAAAAAATTTCGCAAAAACATTTTTTTTTTATTTGAGAACGAAGACTTTGCGGACCTATTTTTATATGAACGTTTTGTCTTGAAATTACTCAAAGAATCGTCTGATAAATTCATGGTACATATTTTTAATTAACACCCTGCATTTTTCCCATGTATGTTTTTCGCTGCACGAATCTGAAGTCAAAATTTGACAAATATGAATGTAATTTAGACACTTGATCAGAGATTTTGATATTTTTGATATACACCTATGTATATCTCTTCACGTATATCTGAGAGATGCATCAATGGAACATATCAAAATTTGTGATTGTGATGTCCAAATTACTTATCCATTCTGACTTAGATTCGTACGAAAAAATAAATCGGAAATATATAGTGGGATCCCCAGCACCTACAACTTTCTTACTTTGTGGGCCTGTGTAATTATCTCAGGTATTATGCAGATATTCGTCTCGAACTTGAATCAAATGATCATATGTTTCCAGATTTAATGCGGGATCCAATCTTACAAGAGAAACGTCAGGAGCATGTGATGTTCCAGAAATACGCATTGGAACTCTTAGAGCTTCTTTCTGGCAAAGGAAAACATACCAGCACGGACCTTGAGGCATCTTTAGCTAACATACACAGAGTAAGTTACCTAATATCACAAAACAATTTCATTCTGTGTTTGTTTCAATTGCAGGCGAATGTGGTGGCTCAAACTAAGATCCAGTTCAATGACAGACAATTGCTGCAACTCATTCACCATCATTTAGTTCAAAAGGGCTTCACGGATACGGCTGGCATGCTGGTGAAGGAAGCCAGCCTTAGTAATGCCATCATCTCCTGTGGATCACAACATCCAACCAAATTCAGATATTCTTCAATTTTGACTCCATCCAGGGTAAGTTCGCCCTGAATAATAGTACACGTTTCGCTTTCACTTGCTGCGATAAATATCAGTTGTATCTTTTTTAATAATAATAATATATTTTAAATTGTACAATGACATTACAGAACTTTTATAGCTCTAAAAAATGAAATGTTGCGTCACTATCACCGTAACTATCGGAAAATACGTATGAAAAATTCGGGGTGTCGTGTCAAGGAGCTGTGGAGGGGTGGCCCGGTGGTTCCCTCTCTATGCAATACCCTCTATTGGTCCAGTTAAACAGATGCAACTGCCGCAGTAGTGAGAAAATAGCCACAAAGTTAGAAAGAAGGAAAGGGAAATTCTACGATAAACAAATCGATAATAACAAGTGCGACAGTGTAAAGAGGTGGAAAACATTAAAAAGACTGATCAATTCGAAGCAGCATGATTGTGTAAATCAAGTTCAATTCGAGAACGAGAAACTGTTTCGAAATTTTGGGATGTCCTGTATTAAACTGGATCAATTTTTCACTGAGAAGCAGTTCTTTTCCTGAAAATTTAAAATGCTCTATAATAACACCAGTACCCAAAATAAAAAATTCTAAAAGATGCAGCGATATGAGACCAGTAAATGTGTTACCAGACATTGAAAAATTATTAGAGTCCATAGTGCATGACCAATTAATGCAGTGTATAGAAGAAAACAAAATGTTGTGGAGCCGGAAGCAGGCTTTCGAAAGTGTTTTAGATTGGTTTAGAAATTATTTGTCTAAAAGGATGCAAGTTACAAAAGTTAATGACACTATTTCATCAAAAATTGAAAATACGTTGGGTGTTCCACAGGGCAGTATCCTGGGACCACTTCTTTTTATTTTATACATAAATGATTTACCTGCCATAGTCAAAAAAAGCAAAATTCAGATTTTCGCCGATGACACTATGATTTATATAGGTACTAAAAATACCTAAAAATAACTGGTATCTCTTATATAAATGAAGACTTGGAACTTGTCTCAAAATGGAGCATCTAACAGACTAAAATTAAATACAAGTAAAACGAAAGCTATGTTAATCGGAAAAAAACAATGTTCAACTGAATATTGATGATGAAGATATTGAATTCATAGAAAATTTCAAATACCTGGGGGTTTTTGTTGACTCTCGATTAATTTTTGATATTCATTATGAACAAGTTATAAATAAGATTAGTAGTAAAGTGGGATATTTATCAAGAGTTTCTGGATGTCTGAGTTCATATAGCAGAAAAATTATCTATAATACCATCATTCTTCCAAATTTCTTGTTAGACTCTTCTATATTTAGCAAATAATTCCATTTTTGAAAGACTGCAAATTTTACAAAATAAGTGCATGAGAATAATACTGAATAAAGATAAACATACTCCAATTAGACAAATGCTTAGCAAATTAAAATGGCCCAATGTATATATATCTTGTAATGATATTCATTTATAAAGTAAACAATAATATATTTCCATCTAGTCTAACTAATTTAACATCATCAAATGTCGACCATCATTTACATAATACCAGAAATAAGGATGACTTCCATTTAATGACCAAAAAGTATAACATATGCAACAAATCTGTATACCATCAAGGGTTGATTGAATATAATAAATTATACACAGGGATAAAAGACCAGAAAACTTTGGCAAAAGTTAAAGTAAAATTGAGGAATCACTTGTTAAATCTACAATTATAGGTTGCCCAGCATTTACATCATTGATCATATGGCTTGAATTTACTGATTCTAAGTTGTTTACAAATATTCTGTTTATGTGCTAAATAAATCTTTCTACTACTACTAGTAGTGGTCAAATACTCGGTGCAAGCTTTGGCGCGGTGAGCTGGAGCGTTGACATGGTGGAGGTACCAAGTACCCTGCCTTGTCTTTGGCCGCAGGTTTTTCATAGACTCACCGACTTTAGGCAGGCACTGTTCCGTGTACCACTTAGCTGTGACTGTCTTCTGTGTCTCCAAAACGACACGCTCCACAATCCCGCTCGATTTGAAAAATACAGCTATCATTGTTTCCTTAACAGATCGGGATTTTCTGACAGCTACGGGTGTGTCCTCATTATCAAAGACCCAAACTTTGTTTTGAGTCTTGGACGGCACATCGTAATAATCGTCTCGACACCCGTCACGCTGCTGTTCACATACCGAGATTGCCCCTTATCAAACATTTTCAGGATCTTTCGGAACCAAGTCGTATGACGAGTCTTCTGCTCTTCCATCAGACTATATGGTAACCCAGAGAGAACAATGTTGCCTTACGTGTAAATGGTCATGCAGAATAGAATGAATTGCTGGTCCATGAAGGTGTAAGGTCTCCTCTTTCTGTTGGTATGTCACTCTCCGGTCTTCGTCATGCATTTTCCTCGCAGCAGTAATGTTTTCGTCTGTTACTGCCCCTTTGGAATTCTCTGTACCACCTGAATATAGTTGTACGATGAGGACAATCATTCTTTAAAATAAGGTCATTTCTTCTAAGCACTGATCTATGCCATGCCTCTGCATGCAGCCTCATGCGACCATTTTTTGTCATATTGCAAAACTTTTATAGTACCTACCCTTTTTATATAGGTACAGAAAAGTTTTAACAAATATCCAATCTATTCCAGGTACGACTGTCATTTTCATCTCCAAGTATTCATCGAGCATTGCCGGCACCAAGTACAACAGAAGGACCAATAAGTCAAGTCAACGGTGGAGTTATCAATCCTACGGGAATCAAAATTATAAAGTACGTAATGCAGGAAATGCACAAATTTTCCGTAGGTTCTGAGCCGATTGGGTTTGCAATTTTGGATTTTTTTTAGGAAACACTCGATTCCGCCGACATCTCCTGCTCCGAATTCCCGACTTCAGAAGCAAATCAGCAGTGGATTTGGAGATCATCACCACTCGTGGCATCCTCAAGACGACTCCTTTCCAACTCCTAGCAATGAACAACCCAGAGTGACCTTGGAGTCGATCATCACTGAATATCTCACCAATCAGGTTTGTGGACATCTGAGTTCTAACATCGATAATATGTTCCACATGTTTCAACTCATGTGAAACCTAGGGTAGCGCTGCCAACCCCTTATGCTTACAAGTATACAGGTTGTTTCCTAATTGAATGTAAATATTTAAGGGGGAGATTTTTGCAATATTCTAAGTATTGCAATACTTACATACTTTGGTAATGAATATATTTTATCCGACAATAAAATGCAACATTTCAATGCTACGCTTTTTTATATCGTTGACAAAAAGTAAGAAGCTTAGTTGAAGATTTACCTTATCTCGTTAAAAATGCATTTGATCTTCAAATTACCTTGACGGTCATAGTCACAGTCATGGACATCTTGAACATAGAGTTTTTTGCTCTTTTTATTTCCAGGGTCAAAAGAGGAGTTTTCATTTAAGAAAAATGTGTTTACCTTCAAATGAGCTTTGCTATAGTTACGGTCACGTTTAAGGCCACCATTAGATGAATCTTTTGAAACATTACAACTTTATTACACATTTTACTTTATGAAATATATTTTTCGAAATATACTAAGTGACATATAAATCCGAACACCCAGTTTAAATGGTTTTATTTTAATCAAAGTTGGTGAATGTATTTATCTTACTGTAAATAACAAGTGAAAAAATTTTCAGCCTTATCAGTTGGACATTCCGGTTTTTATACTGCTTTTTTTTAATTCACTAACGCTCTAAAAATGAATATTTCAGCCGCAGTAAAGAATCAACGTTGGCGGATTTTGGTTCTTGACATCCTTTACGATCGGTTACGATGCCTAGAGTATGGAGACCTGTACGATTTCGTCAACTTAGTGAGTTTGATAGGGGCCGTATAGTGGGACTTCGGGAAGCTGGACTTTCTTTTCGGGCAATTGCAGTTAGAGTGCAAAGAAGTGTAGACACTGTGGTTAGGTGTTGTCAGGCATGGCTTCGAGAAGGCCGTACGCAAAGAGCAAGGGGCACTGGACGCCGCCGTAGAACAACAGACCGTGAAGATCGCCGCCTAAGATTATTGGCCTTAAGGGACCGTTTCTCCACTACCAGGTCCATTGCAAATGAATGGTTTGCAGAACACGGAAGACCTATTGGCATGCGAAGTGTTTACCGACGAATGAGAAGTTTTGGCTTGTGACGAGTCTCGATTTTGTTTAGGCATGCACGATGGTCGTGCCAGGGTTAGAAGGTGACGTGGTGAAAGGAGGAATCCACAGTTTTTTGTTGAAAGACATGTTCATCACACTGTTGGAGTTATGGTTTGGGGTGCTATAGCTTATGGTTCCAAGTCACCATTAATCTTCATCAGAGGTAACATGAACGCGCAGCGTTATATCCACGAAGTTCTAGAACCCCATGTTTTACCCTATCTTGACACCCTGGCAGATCCAACTTTCCAACAAGATAATGCCCGACCACATGTTGCAAGAGTCACAATAGACTTCTTTCAACATAATGATGTCACATTGTTACCATGGCCACCAAGATCTCCCGACTTATCCCCAATTGAGCACGTGTGGGATATGATGGGTAGGAGATTGCTCAATTTGCAACGTCCTCCTCAGACTCTAGAAGCACTTCGAGAGGAGTTGGTGATTGCCTGGAATGAGATACCACAGGAGGACATTGACCACCTGATCAGAAGCATGCCTAGGCGCGTTGGAGAATGCGTAGCACATCAGGGTGCATCCACACATTATTAAAGGTCAAATGGCTTTAAAGCAGTGCAATCATTTTGAAATTTTTATCATTTACTTATTATGCTTCATTAAGTACTTATACAAAATTTTATTAAAATACAACCATTTAAACTGGGTGTTCGGATTTATATGTCACTTAGTATATTTTCAAATAATACATCGGAATTGAAACGAGTAAACACATTTTATAATCTGATCTGACAATCACCTTGGCCATGACCTTGACAGTTGATTTCAGGGTCATTTAAAAATCAAATCAATACATCAAAAATCTGACCTTGACCGTGACGTTCAAGGTTAACTAAAAATTTCCAAAGTATACTTCTCATTTTTACACTGACATGAAAAAAGCAGGGAATTTTACGTCCGATTATGACCTTGACCTCAAATAACATTTAAGCTTGACACGTCCTTGATTTTTTAGATTTTCATGCTTTTTTCATTCCCCCTTTCAAAGTTGACTCGATCTTGAACTATGCTGTCGAACATTTTTGCTAGAGCAAGTTGTTCTTAACGCCTTATTGATAAGGGCTTGAAATGGCCTTGAAGACAACGGCCAAGGTCATGGCGGGGGTTATATTCGACCGTAAATTTTCTGTTTGGAAATATTAATTTATCCTTGAAAGTTGTGCAGGTCATCACCGTTTTGCACCTCGAAACCCTACAACTTTTGTTTGAAACTATTTTTATAGATTGAACTTTTTTCGAAATATTTTGGTGGCGAGATTAAAAATGGACACTGTGAATATTGGAGTTGTTTTTTCTCTTCCCCAGCACGCTCTATGCAAGAACCCGATGGCCGCCTGTCCTCAGTTCAACCTGTTCGTGCCGCACAAGTGTCCGGATCCCAAACCGAGGATAACAACTGCCAATAACTTTGCTATCAGACACGCCAGACGCCAAATCGGCTACCAATCGAAGATCTTGGATAGGCGAATGGTACATTCCAGGTTCTGTCCTGTGCAAACAATTAGGTCTTCCACTGACGAAGGTTTCTTCACTGCCGCAAAGTTTATGGTTAGTATATAAAAGAAATTATGCTTCCAGTGTCTTGGGTGAACCTTGAAACTTCAAATACCAGCATCAAGAATTGATTCGAGGTTAGCTTGGCATTATCTGTCAAACATTTAATTCATTTGACATCTCAAATGCCCGCGTGCATGTCGTTGCCAATTTAATATTTCCGATACATAATTTAATGTATTGGCCTCACGATGGATCTCTGTGGACCCCCTTCATCAAACCATATGTATATTTGCAGCCTGGTGGTCAGACAATTGTAGTAGGAGATTACAATGGAGAAATTCATCTATTCAACCACAGTGGCAATGAAGTGGGAGGATTTTCCGCTCATGAAAACTACATAGTCCACCTAGACCCCAACAGAACCGGGGACCTTATGCTGACCAGCTCTACATGGGGCAAGCCTATTTCGGCTCTTTGGGATATGAAAAGCTCCAATATGAAGTAAGCGAAAATGTTTGAATCATGCGGAAGCATCTGGTTTTTATTAATTGTTTTGTTTTCCAGGATACCTTTTGACGACGAAGAGTACGTAGAATTCAGTAAAGTGAACCAAGATAGGATAATAGGTACTAGGGGTGAGATTGCCACGGTGAGTATAAACGTAATTTTTCATCGATTTTCATTATTTCATCAAGATTGTCGTCCTCGAAGGATACTGTTTATTTATTTACACCACCGACAAATCAACCGATTATTTGTGGGAGAACAGAAGTATTCACAGTACAAAAATACGGTAATATATGTACATAAATAAAATATTCAAGAAACTACACATATAACAGATTTTCAGACGGCCTTAATAAGTCAGATTTGTATGGAATATATCAATTTTGTTTTGTACATTTTTCAGTCAGACACACATATGGAATATAAGGGATAATGCAGAAGTATGTTGGTTCTTGGGCTTGGTAAATAAAATGTTAGAATGTTTCTGGCGAGATGTCCTGGTATATTAAATAACAGGAAACTCCGAATATACGGACAATCGTACTAGGTGTGAATAACCTTGAACAAAAGAATTAAGGTTCATTTTTTTTCTGTGATTAAAACTTAGCATATCATGCCTCTTTGGTGGCACGTCCCTTTTTACAGATTTTTTTCAACTACCTGTTTGCAGCTGTATTCTAAATCTTTTTCATCTGGTAATTTCATGGTGTGTATAGAGATTACTAAAAAACGATGTTTTTTTGGCAAAAAATGCATTTTTTGAGCATTTTTTTGTGCATTCTTTCTTCACTCGGAACTTGTTAACAAATATAAGTACAGCTCTGAAATTGAGTATGAATACTCCTCTTTTATGGAAGAATGAAACAAGTGATTACTTTTGTTCTGATCACTTTTCGTTTTCGAAAAATCTTTGATTTTCATGAAGCCTTGTCTCGCAGCAAGTTGACTTTTCAAGAAAAGCAAAGATTTTTCAAAGAGAACAAGTGATAAAAATAACAGTAATCGCTTGTGTCAATCATCCATAAAAGTGGAATACAATTTACATACAATTTAAGAGCTGTACTAATATTTGTTAACAAGTTACGATCGAAGAAAAAATCTACAACAAAATGCAAAAAATGCATTTTATGACAAAACAAAATGAAAAACCATGCTTTTTAGTCTTCTATCTCTATACGCATCATGGAGTAATCAGATGAAAAGGATTCAAAATACTGTTGCAAACAGGTAGTTGAAAAATAAAACGAAAAAAAGGGTCGTGCGACCTATTTCTCGAAAATACCATCTATCCTGTAGGACATAAATCTGTAGGAGAAACCTACATCGTACTTTTTCTGATTAGTCGGAAGTCGTCACATAGCAGGGATTCCAAATAATTCTAGCGAATTCAAGTTTTGACATCACAAATGCTATCCAAATCACTTGAGGTGCGCAACACAACACCGATACTTTTATTTACAGAATTTAGAAGACTATTTACATGCGGATTGAAGCTGAAAGTTGTGTCAAAGATGAGTTCAAGACCTTTAAATTCTTACCTTCTGCAGATAGGCTGTTATTATCACACCAAATTATTACCCGGTTAAGATTTTGGAGATGTTCACAATCAGTGCTGCTGATAGCTTGTGTATACATGTTCAGATCATCTGAATATAACCGAAACATGCAATCATTGATGTCAGCAATTCACTCTCTGCACTGATTATTGTTACTCACAGTAAAGATACCGCTAACAATTTTATACCTCTCCATCTCACAGTCAGTACGAATTAAACTTTGTATCAATATGTATGGCTACGTTATTTGGAAAATGTAGATTCCATACAATTCTGTCTATCTGTTATTTGTACCACATTCACCGCAAGTTACGACACACCCAGCTATTCTGCTTATCAATTCTTTGCATTCCTATTGGTTTATTGTTACGTATCCGGCAAATAAAAAGATTATAGTGCTTGAATTTGGTGAATGACAGTCTGTGCCTGTGTAGTAAAAGGCGAATGTCACACAATTAGTATTTACTCTGGTCCTTATCGTCAGTATTCACTGATGATTCCGTCAGTGTCACTGGATTTCTACGTAACCTTATACATCAATATATACTGACGTCTAGGCTACACGGTTAATAAAAAAATACCGACGCATCACAGTAAATACTAATCGTGTGACAATCCCCTCTAAATACGTGCCAAAATACTAGTGTCGTTACCGGTCCGCCAATAACCTTTGCATATAATCATGTGAGGTAAAAACTGTCAGGTGCCACATATTGTAACTATAACGTTACTAATATATAACAAATTGTCCATTAGAGTCGCGGTTCGCCCTCGCGTCGTCTGCTCTTTGAAGAGGTCAGACCCCTTAGTTTCAGTGGTCTTCGAAAGATCCACTCGGTCCTCTCCTTCGGACGCGGGCAGGATGCTGAGGGATCATTCTTTCTAATTAAAATTACGTTTAAGATTTTAATTTATGAAGAATGCGAGCTTGATTGATTCCATCCCAATACCGGAATTCTAAGAAAATGTTAGAATAAAATGTAATGGCAAACCTGTCAACGTCAATAACTGTACTTAAACGGAGCGCTTACCGTACTTGACTTGACTATAGTTCATTGATTCTAATTGGATAATGTAAAACGGGTATAATCGACAAATGTCGTGTGAATAGAATTAGATGTACAGAATTTGTAAATATGCGGGCAGTATTTGAATATCAATATTAAAAAATCTGCTTAAAATAGTGATTTTTACTTTTTCTCAGATATATGATGCATCCACCGGTCAATCTGTGATTAGTTTAGTTCCTCGGATAAGCAACCAGTATACCAAAAATAAGGCAACCTTCAGTTATAACGACGAGCTGGTACTATCGGACGGTGTACTGTTTGACGTTAACTCAGGAAAGTCGATTCATAAGTTGGACAAGTTGAATCAGACGCAAAGTGGAGTTTTCCATCCCAATGGCCTTGAGGTAAGTCTTAAATTTGGTTCACTCTTGAATTAATCCTTAAATATATACATACAAATGATTATTGAGAAATGCATTGTTCAGCTTCGGTTTAAACGTCTGAAATGTGGAATAATTTTTTCATTATTGCTAATATAACATAACCCCAGAGTTATCGCCAATGTCGATCGAATTTGAAAATTTTGAGTGAAATTTACTCATCGGAAAAACATGGAAACAATACAAAACTATGCGAAGCCGTTTTTTGCCCTAAAGAAGCATAAATATGGAATTATGTTAGAAACGCGGCAGCACGAGATTCGTCTGCCATAGTCGTCCAGTGCAAATAAGCATGAAATGGTGCCATAGACGGTTGGATGAACGGATAAAAACTGCCCAGAGAAAGAATGCAACAGTGGAAACGGTGAAGGGTGCCCCAGAAGCCGGTAGGTGTTTCGGTACCGTCTGACAATCATCGCTGTCAGATTCTTTTCTTAAATAGATGATGACTTGTTCTCGTGAGGCATTTAATATATCATTTTGATCGGCATTAACCTTTCAGGTACCGTTTACAGTGGTGTCACACGCAATAGATCGAAAGCTTTTTTATAGTATATGCATGTTCACGACTTTAAAATGCTTCAATGGTTATGGCTATCATACCATTTATTGACCACGTTATGTACAGAGGGTGGCCGATATGTAACTGTCTGGTTTGTATCTTTCTTGAACATTTGTGAAATGAAATAACATACGTCCTTTTTTTCATCTTAATATTTTATTGAATTTTAGAAATTAAGTGACAAACATAATATTAGACAAATGTCCGCCTTTAAAAGCAGCAAACATAATATTAGACAAATGTCCGCCTTTAAAAGCCGCGTAAACCTGAGCCCTCTCGATTACATTTTCCATCACTTTTTGGTAGGTTTCCGGAGGAATATTTTTAATCGCTTCCGTAATATTATTCTTCAGCTGCTCTACAGTATTTGGTTTGTTGTCGTAAACCCTATTTTTCAAAAATCTCCATAAAAAATTCAGAAGCCGTTGAATCCGGTGACCTTGGTGGCCAGTGACATCACCAAATCGTGAAACTAAACGTCCCGGAAATATTGTTCGCAATAAAATCGTTGTTTCCCTAGCTGTGTGACAAGTTGCTCCGTCCTGCTGGAACCACATGTTGTGGAGGTTACGTTGTTGGATTTGAGGAGCCTGTAAGTTTTGCACCATATCACGGTATTAGCGCTCGCCTCTGCAGCGCCTTCAAAGAACTAAGGTCCAATGACACCTTCATACCAGACACCGCACCAAACTGTAACTCGACGAGGATGTAGTGGTCGTTGATGGATGGCACGGGGGTGCTCTAATGCCCAGATACGACAATTCTGCTTATTAAAAAATCCGTTCATATCGAAGTGGGCTTCATCGCTATTATTTTGGGTATTAAGCTGTATTGTCGGCGACTTCCAAAGTCAGTTATATATTGGTCACCCTGTATATACAATGTACATGTGAGGACTTACAAACTAATTTATAAACTATCCGAGTGACGTCATAGCATCAACGTAGTCGTCAACTGAATAGAAACAGTGGTTAAGCAATGTTTTTTAGTAAAGTTTGAGGAGTAGCGATAGGATATATTTTCGAGATTATGTTCTTTATTTGTATTGACGAATACATTATATAATTTAACGTTAAAATATATGCAATAATTGCATGAGTATATGTCGTGCGTTCAGTAATAGCTTTGTTCCAGCACAGCAATGAATCACGTTCAGAACTAAACGCGAATGCCCATTTCAAAGTCTCCGTTCCAGCAGTCCATGTTCCGCTTTATTTTATTTATATTCGTTGTTCCAGTATCTTTGATGTTTGTTCGAAACTAAATATTTACTTGAAAAATTTGTTCTAAATAAAATTAGGAACATATCGTCGCCAATAACTCGAAGTGGCGTATCTCAAAAAATACGAAAATTGAGTTAAGTCGATTTTATTACTTAAAAAAGGTTGCTCTTCAATATCACGAAGTGACATAAGTCAGTTTCTTATACCTTTATAGTTATATAAAAATAATATTAGACTTATCTCATTTTAACAGGAAATAAATTTTCACGAGGCAGCTTAACTCAATGTACGCCAATTTTGTGAAATTATAAAATATATATATATATCATTTTACATCGTATGGCTTATCTAAGTTACGCCATTTCGTAAAATTGTAGCTTTAATTTTATCTGTATTTGCACTGTGACGTATCTATCTTTTTAACTTCAATGCGAACGAATGCAGCGTTTTAAGATTAAAAAGAAATATTCCACTCGAAGTTCTGAGTACAGAGCCAAAAAAAAAAATACGACAAAAAGATATATGGATTTGAAGTCGCTGTGTCAAGGATATATACCGGTAGTTCGTTTAGAAGAATACAAAGATTCGATTTAAATCTTCCTCATGAGTAATACAGGGTGGCCCATAAGTCCTTTGAGCTGCAAAAAAAGGAATAAAACCAAACTAGTTACATTATGAAGAATTATTATATTTTGTTATCATCTTTATTGAATGGGAATTATGTTTTAAAAATCACATCGTCTAAATGCAATCCATTACGATCACGGCACTCATATAAACGACGTCTAAAATTGTCGATGACTGCGCGGCAAGTCAACACTGTAATGCTTGCCATTTCTCTTCGGATATTTTCTTTCAGGACATCAACTGATCGCGGAGTGGTGTCGTACACTTTACTCTTGAGGTAGCCCCATAAAAAGAAGTCCATTGGGGTCAAATCTGGACTACGTGGTGGCCAGGAAATGTCTCCTCTTCGAGAAATTACTTTGCTGGGAAAAAGTTGACAGACGACGGGCATAGAAGTGTTGGAGGTGTGGGCAGTTGCTCCGTCCTGTTGAAACCAGATCTGCGTATTATAGCCTGGAAAATTCTGCAACGCTGGTGTCAAAAACTCTTCTATCATTGCTACATACCGCTCCGAAGTAACAGTCAATGCGCGACCTCTGTCGTCCTCAAAAAAATAAGGGCCTACGATGCCATGCGCTGAGATAGCAGCCCAAACTGTAACTTTAGGGCTGTGTAAGGGCTTCTGATGCTTACGCCTTGGATTTTCGGGGCTCCAATAACGGCAATTTTGTTTATTTACATGCCCGTTTAAATGGAAGTGAGCCTCGTCCGAGAACAACACATTATTGAGCGAAGAAAATCGATTCAACATTTCATTCGCAAAGTTTAGTCTCTGAATAGCGTCATTATCTTTTAATTCCTGCACTAATTGAATTTTGTAAGCGTGCAGACGTAAATCTTTCCTTAAAATCCGCTGTAAAGATGTTCTGGGTACGTTTAGTGCACTGGAACGCTTACGAGTAGACTGGGTAGGATTTTGACGAACAGACTGTGCCACAATGTTGATGTTTTCTTCAATACGAGTTGTCCTTGGTGGACCCCACCGCTGTTTATCTAACGTCGAACCAGTCTCGTCGAACGCCGCGCAATGGTTGCCGAATCATTATTTTGATAAAACGCGCGCACACAAAAAGCACGATCCGCTCCAGTGAAACACTCCATGGCGACTGAATTTAATGACACTGAAGATACTGCCCCCACCTCGCCCGCGCCGCTCACGCTCACCCGTTAAATTTTATTCAAATTTGAAATTTCAAAGGACTTATGGACCACCCAGTATATGAAATACTAATTATTATTTCGTTCATATTATTATATCATTATTATTTGAGTGGGTCGTTTGTTTGTGCTGCCATATTTAGCTTGTATAGGGAGTTAAATAGTTTTAGATACTGGGGGTACTTATTTCGCCATATTTGTAACCATTTTGTATTGTACTAAAACATTTTTTCTTTAAATTTCATGTGTTTTGATTCTTCATCACTTTAATATAACACGGACGTAACTAAGTCTCTATTCTATGAATTACGACCCTTCAATTTCACAAAATGACGTATCTACTTTCTTTTTAGAAATTTCGAACAAATAAAATGAAAAATGGGTTAACCGTTGCTCATTTTTGAAGAGCTTGCTAGCATGAGCAGATATACCCACAAATTCAATTATGTAGCAACAAATCTCGTGAAAATATTTAAAACAGTCTCATGTAAAATTTTAAAAAATGAGATACGCCACTTCATGTTATGGACGACGATATATGGTACAGACACATTTAAGCATGCACAGATAAAGGTCAAGCGTCGCGTTAGTGGTTAGAGGAAATATTTCGGATGCATGTTTTCTTGTTTGCGTTTATGCCTATTTAGTTTGCATCATTTTTTTGTGGTTTACATTTGAATCCGAAAATGTTTAATCATAATGTGAAGATAATTACATTTATTATGCATTCATGTTTTGCTGATGTGTTTTCCTTTTTCATTACCATTAAGAAACTCGTAAACTTCCATGATTGAAAAAACCAAATGGAATTCGCAACATAAAATCGTGTGCTTATATTAGCGTGATATACACAAACAGAACTAGAAAAATCGTTCCTGCAGGGTTGGTACTAGGTCTTGTTTTAATTTCACCGGATATTCCGAGGAAGAAATATATGTTCTGACCATGAGTTGAACGTTTTGTTGGGACAAAGCTAATGTTTTCAATCAATATATTCGAAAATACAGCTCAAGAAGTCTAAGAACTATATTTCATGGACAATTTCCGCCGGCATCCCTTTGCTTTGCATTCTTTCGCTGGGCAGATAATATAATTTTTGTTAAATTTGTAATCATTTTGTTTTACCAGATTGTATCAAATACAGAGGTGTGGGATATTAGGACGTTCCACTTGTTAAAGACAGTGCCAGCGCTTCATCAGTGCTCAGTCATATTTTCGCCAGTAAACACAGCCATATACGCCATCTCAATGGAGCAGGAAATGGACGATGGTGACTCCACTTTTGATTCCAGCTTCAAGACTGTTGATGCCATCGATTATTCCAGTATTGGTAAGTTTATATTTTGTCATCATGAAGTAAAGACTTGGTTTTATCAGAGTGTTCCCTTTTTGAAAAATGTGATAAGAAGTCAACGAAGCCACAGGTAGTGTGATTTTGAAGGGAAAATACGTCAAATCGAAAAGTCTGGGAGAATAGTTTTTTGTCGTTATTCTCAAGATTTATTTTTTTTTTTTCGAATGATTTTGTTCTAACTAATATTGATACATGTTTCCAAAAGCAGGAAGAGTTTAACTACCTGTTGAAACTATAATCCTCAAAAAATATTAAAGGCAGAGATTTTGAAAAAACGAAAGGTCGGTAAATGAGGTATTGGCTGGATAGGGCTGTTTGCTTTCCGACTCTGCGGAATGAAGTATTCTCTATAATTTGACAACATTGCGTTTTTAATAACTTCATATCGATGTTCCAATAATTATGCACTTTATCCTCGTTTTTTAATTTGCTCCTGTACTGGAAAAAACGTGTTTGAAATTCAAAGAAACTGTCAAAGTTGCAACAAAGTATATATTTTCCTATGTAGATAGATTGAAGAAACTATGAAGTATTGGTAAAATTGTTTCAGATAAAACTGATAGAACATGAAATTACCTCTAAAATGAGACCTTATAAAATTTCTTCCAATAGTTTTTTTAATATACCTGGAAAAGTGATTTTTCCAAATTCGGAGCTTAATAAAAAGTTACCCAGCAAATTTTTTTGTATCCTTGGACAGTAAACTTTTTCACTTACTCTTTTTCCAGACCAGACCCCATTTTGGTTAGTTAGCCTGATAGATTTGTCAGTTTAAGTGAACTTCATTTTTGTGTTCAAAACCGAAACCAAAAGACTTTGTAAGAACCTTCCGCTCTGGCCTGATGAAATTTATCTTCAATTCTGTTACATTGTTTCCAATGTAAAAAGACATATTATATCGATCTCAGTATCGAACATTTTCACGTTACAAATTTAATGCAGAAATACGGCTAGGTAGCATGAAATGCTGAACCCTGAAATATCATCAAGGAACGACCTGTATGTATCTAATTACCAAACTGCCTCAGAATAAGGGTAATGTTTTTTTGCGCGTGGGTATGTACGTATCTACAGTAATGGACAAAAGTATATAGACAAATTAATATTGTGCTGTATTTATTTTTTAACTTGTTTTATTAATACACCAATCTGTATACATAATTCGTTATAGCATAATACTCACTTATACATAAATAAATTCATTATCCCTTCAATAAAAAATTAATTAAAAAAAACTGGAACTATGAAGCACAAAAATATATAGACAAAGCAAGACAATTAAAGAAAAAAGAAGCAGAATTATAGAAAACCAAGCATGTTTATGTTAATATTTTGTAGCATAACCATTATTATCAATCACCACCTGGCATCGTCTCGGCATAGACTATAAGTTTCTTGATATAAGATTCATCAATCTCTCTCCACTTTTGCTCTAAAGCGGCAAAAAGTTCATCCTTGTTTGAATAATTTTTACCTCGTATTTGCTTATCTAAGTATTCCCATAGATTTTCAATGGGGTTTATATCGAGAGACTGTGAAGAGATCCTAGTTTTCACATCGAAAGAAATTTCTGGGCCACGCGGCATGGTCTTAAACTCACTAAACTTAGTCCTCAATACTTGATGAACACAAACTAATCCTGTTCTGACACGAAACTGTACTAAACTAATGTTGAAAAGAATTTGTCTACATATTTTTGTCCCTCATAATAAAGTACTTATATTGAAACTTGTATTGTGTTCATTGCAGATAATGTAAATACAAGAAATTTAGTTTTTCTACTAATAACGCATTTGTTTATGGAGCAATGAAGTATGAACTCGTTTTCTAAAGGTATTTAGGTAAATATTCATATTTGTCTATACAGGGTGTTTCAGTTTATTGTTGCATAACTTTAAGATTCTATAGAACTTTTGAAATTAATGCATAAAGTCTATATAAACATGGGTCAAAAAATGCGTGGCTTCCGAAATACAGGGTGTTTAAATTTACTTTCTAAAATAGATTTTTTAAATATTTCGAACAATATTTGATGTATAATAGTGAAAATTGGTATACAAGGGTTTTTTGCTACGACAAAACGAACCATGGGCATAGTTTTACTGTAGCCGCTAGAGGGCGCTCTCTACTGTACCTGTAGTGTATTAAAATGACCGACAAATTTTTCTTAGTGCAATTTTTTGCTTTTTGAATAAAAAAACTGATTCTTCGCACTTTTCAACATAAAAAAGCTCTCTTGTGAATTTTCGTTATAATTAGCCGTTTTTGAGATATTTCGATTTTTAAGGTTCGATGCATTTTTAATTATTTATGGGAAAATAATATTTTTTTTACATTTTCGATTTGGGCATTACAAGTAATTAAGATGATCGTTTAGATTATGTTTTTAAACTCAGCAATAATTCCTAACTCCAAATAAACACAAAAAAACAGAATATTAATTTGTTTAATTTTCCAATATTATTTTTAACAAATTAAATTAATTATTTACAACTAAAATGCTATTGGATAGTTAGGACAAACATACAAAATCTAAAGTAGTTGCTCGAAATGTAAACCCAATTGTTCAATACACAATTCACATCTACGAATGATCGAACGTGGTATAGCATTATTCAAATAAGGCCTTATTTCATCACATGCATTCCTGATTCTGTCTATAAGCATATCTCTTGTGGTTACGGGAGTCTGGTACACTTTTTCTTTTAGAAATCCCCACACAAAGAAATCTAATCGATTTAGGTCAGGGGATCGTGGAGGCCAGGCGACTGGTCCTCCACGGCCGATCCATCTGGATAATTTTCGTCCAGCCAGTTCCTAGCTATTCTCGAATAATGAGCTGGACAACCATCAAGCTGGAACCAGGCCAATCTTCTTAAATCTAACATAACATCATCCCACATAATTGCATGTTCAACCTTTAAAAATTCCAAGAAGGTCGCAGCATTTAACCTTGCAGGCAAAAGGTAGGGTCCAAATAGTCGATTACGGTAGATACCAATCCAGACGTTCACACTAAATTCATGCTGAAAATTTCTTTCCCGAACTGCATGCGGATTTTCATGCGACCCAAAATGTTGATTATGAAAATTTACCACTCCAGCTCTAGTGAAGCATGACTCATCGGTCCATAAAACGTTACTTAAAAACTCCCTATTATTATCAGTTCTATCAAGAATCCACTGACAAAATGTGATTCTTCGTTCTCCGTCCCCTGGCTGTAGTCCTTGCACAGGTTGCAAATGGTAAGGACGTCTATGGTCATTTCTAAGAACACGGTGAACATGGCTTGCTGAAATTCCCAAGGCACCAGAAACTCTCCTAACACTTGTGGTCGGATCTCTATCAAACACACGCAGAATCATACGGGTAAATCTGCGCTGACGAACATTTATGTCTTGATCCCTTTGGAAATTTCGAAAACCATTTTCAATTATTTGGCGATGCGCTCTTACAAATACTGAGCGAGTTGGATGTCCTCTGTTTGGAAATCTTCGTACGTATTATCTGGCTGCTTCTGCTGCGTTTCCATTTACAAAGCCACACACAAAATGAATATCCGCTAACTCTTGAATGGAGAATAAAAATAGCATTTTTATAAAACTTACAAAAAAAAACAGGTAAAAGGATTTAAATTTCGAGCGTTCACAATTGCAAAAAAACGTTTCAGATTTCAACAGACAACAAAACTAACTGTCAACTAATTGACGTTTAACCTTATTCTGCTTTCAATTTCAAAAATATTTGCAGGCTCAGCCTAGTTCTAAAAATTATCGAGATACTGACTTTTTAACGTTATTTTATCATAAATAATGAAAAATGCATTGAACCTTAAAAATCGAAATATCTCAAAAACGGCTAACTATAACGAAAATTCACAAGAGAGCTTTTTTATGATGAAAAGTGCGAAGAATCAGTTTTCTTATTCAAAAAGCAAAAAATTGCAAAAATGTTTATATAGACTTTATGCATTAATTTTCAAAGTTCTATCGAATCTTAAAGTTATGCAACAATAAACTGAAACACCCTGGATACTTTTGTCCATTACTGTATGTATCTAATCAATAAATTCTATTTTACGGGCTACAGACCAAACGGCTTGATGGATTTTGATATTTGAGGTGTTCTTAGATTCGTCTTGATAGCACAATTAAAAATTCCTCATTTTTAGTTACAGCTTTTCCTATTTTTTTAAAAATGTTGTTTTAACCTACTCCATTCCAACTTTTAGCAACGATCGACGTGAAAAGAAGCATCTACGACCTAGCCGTAGACCGTTTCGACACCCAGATCGCCTTGGTGGAAAATCAAGGCATGTACAACTCGGTCCAGGAGTCTGTGGTTCGCATCTACGATGTGGGCCGAAGGAGGGACGATGAGGACGAACAGGTAGAAAATTATTCTTTTTCTCTAGAAAGAGCATCGCACTGTGATGATCATTTGGGTGATATTCCTTTTGCGATTTTGTTGTCGTTGTTATCGTAGATCTCCAGTATTATATTTTGATTTAATATATTATCAGTTTCCAAATTGTGATTTTTATTGTGTCGGAGTCGTACCATGCTACCATGTCGGTACCACTACGGGATTTACAAAGAACTTTTGATAAATATGAGGGTCATCTCAAAACTCGTTTGGCCTTGATCTTTTATCCACTAATCTTAGTCTAAATGGCTACTGGAGCTCTACAGCTTGACTTCAGTGACCATGATGAAGAGTTGCTCAGCTAGTTACAGTAAGGAAGCAGTAGATTGAGATTGAAACTTATATTTTGTCATTTCTGCATAACCTCACGTGCTGTTGCTATGTTACCAGTTACTCCATGTGCCGGGTGGGCCAATAACAAAGCACGCCGGCTGTATCTCGCGAACCGATTAATCTAGAGCTTACGGTTAAAATTTTTTATAATAAAAGTGGTGAAGAGAAATTGCAGGAAATTATTTTCTGCTTCCTAAAATGACCGCTAGGTGGTGTCATTCCAGTTTCAAAAATTCGTAATTAACATACTCGTTGAATGGCGTTATCGTGTTGTCCCTTAAATTTTCAAAACTGCTGGGAGGCGTAGCTATCGCCTGATAAATGAAAAACATATATCTTCAATATATCACATCCACAAAGCGTCATAAAGCGCTGTAAACTGAACATACCTGACAAGATTGAGCATTTATTATGAGCGCAGTGAATCCTCTCTCAAACAGAACAGAACAGAAGCTTTATGAAATGACATACGCTTCACCTACCCTAAACTAACCAGAATATGAGAAAATGACAAGAATGAAAAGGTTCGGAAACTTAGCGGTCAACACGATAAGGCGGTTTAATGAGTGTTAGTTATAAATTTATGCAAAATAATGTCGTTTGAATTTTTTTTACTTGGAATGACTTCACCCAGCGGCCATTTTAGAAAGCTGAATATAATCTCCAGCAATTATTATTTTTATCCCTTCTTTAATTCAGGTTAATAATTTTTGGTGTACTTGGGTTTGGAAAGTATGCATTTTTATTTTTTTATTTTTTACTTCCGATGTAATGAAACAAATCTGTTTGTGAACAGTGTATAATTTTGAACATCCTCTAGCGACTATATGGTTAAGTGTAAGAGTAGCAGCGTGCTAAACTTTGCCATGTAAGACTATACTACAATGCAATTGTGGATAAGTGAAGACGTCTATTATTGGTATTAATTTCTCTTGGCCACGTTTATCATGACATTGTTTAACCTACAGCGTTAGCTTGAACGGTTGCCTAGATACAACCGTCGTCCTTTATTATTTGCCCACCCGGTAGGTGTGCTAGCGCTGCAGCTTTGATTCAACGTTTCAAACGTATTATGGTAGCATCGTATGGAAGTTAATCTAGAATAATGAATTTTTTATGGTGCATGAGAAAAAGTGCTATAAACTCGTTTTTGATGAATTTCCTTCAGGACGAAGAAGAAGAGGATGATGACGACGATGAAATGGACGGCAGTGATGACGACAATAGTGACAATGATGGTAAATACTCAGTTGTATTAAAACTATAGATGTATTTAGGATATTTATGTCTCATTAGAAGATATGGATGGAACCCTGGTTATGCGTGAAGATGGAAAAATATGTGACTCTAGAAGCTTACATGTAATACTACTGATATTGGATCATGTGGCAACTGAAGACACTGTTTACTGCTTCTCAACATAAATTCTGGTGCACCCGACGCACGTTTAAACTGTGAAGAATTTCTAGAACACAACAAATGCCTAATCATTTGACACTTTAACAGTAATCTTCAAGTACCCAGGCTTATTCCTAATAGTGACAATTTTTCACGCTCACTTCTTCAGCTTATCGCTATTCTTTGCGCTTCTTAACATTCAGGGTGCCTTCCAGAAGCATATAAGTGTTTAAAAAATGGGATTCTAAAATTTTTTTACACAGCTCCACTGACAAGCTAGAGTATCTATACCTAGACTGTTTGGATGACACAACAGTTTGGGTTTTTTGCATTTTACTGAATACGAGATCTGCAAATTAAGTGATGAGATTGATTTTTCTTTATTCGAATATAATTTCAATTTTATGTTATCACCCTCAAAATAACTTCTTTCTGAAGCCGCTTAGCGCTATAGACGGTTCTTCCACTCCTCATAGCAATGCTGGAACTCCGATACTGGAGTAGACGTCAGCTGGTCGGTTACAGCTGTTAGAATGTTTTCGACTGGCCCAAAATGAGTTCCCTTGAAGTGATTTTTCAACTTCGGGAAGAGAAAAAAGTCACAAGGTCTCGAGTCAGGCGAATAAGGAGTCTGAGGAGCCACATGGATGTTTATACTGGCCAAAAAGCTCGATCTTTGACATTGCTGTGTGATGCAACGCCCAGTTGGTGTGAGTTAAATTTAACTCTTCCGTCACCATTCTGACTTCAACCGACGATCTGAACGCACAAAATTATGTCGATATTTTCTTCGATGAAGGCCTTCCGCTTCGTGGTTCAGTTTTAACCATTCAACCATCGAAAAAGCTGGGCTCTTGACAAAACACTATCTCCGTAGGCCTGCTGAAGTTTAGCAGTAGTTTCCATTTTCTGTCCCCAAGTGTGAAGCAAAACACCGTTGGTCGAAATTGATGTCACTCATTTTTAGAACACAATAGGAAAAAGTCTCACAGAAAAGATCGATAAGAACAACCAAATGACTCGAGCGAGTTCAAACTTGTACTGAACGCGGATCAGATGTTTCCCTATCTCCCCTACAAGTCCGGCGACTCCAGTGTTGCCAGATCGAACGCTATGTTGCCAGCCTTATCACTTAATTTACAGACTTCATATATTGTTATTTGAAAAAACGACAGGAATGTGCAATAATTCGTGGTCAAACATGAGGTCATGGTTAGAAAAACTTTTTTCTGTAAATATATTCTAAATGCTTTCGCAACGTTTGACTATTAGTGCCTGATCGCACCGCTTTTCTCAAACGTAGTACTAGTTTTTGATGCACCACATCAATTTGATGAATGCCTAGAAAATGTAAGGTTACACCTCACAAGAGTGCATCTGTAGTAACATTTTAGGAAAATTATTACGTCTGCAACTACAGTCAGATGATTAGTTCTGTTTCCTTAAAAAAATCTGAGGTATTTGCATCTCTGAAAGACACTTAATAACTATGTGAAACGCATCACGCGTCATGGCCGGTCTTAGTAGTTGATGGATAGCTACCCGGGAGAAACTATGGCAAAGTTGTTGATACTGTAAAAATGAAGCCGAAACTTGACGCCTGTGGTACCAGTTGTGTTTTGACAGGGTTGCCATGTTGGGGGTTTTTATTTGGGAAAATTTTTGTTGATACAATGTTCTGGGGCAAATCACACGTTTCTCGGACCACTCTTTCTTTTTCCGTTAATTAACTGATTTCTTGTGCATGCTCAGGGGAAATTCTGTCTGACTGGCAACGCAATAGTAGAATAGATTACAGCAGCATCTGTTCTACTATTATTTATCGTTCATAAAAAATAAATGTCATCAAAAAACAGACACCGACGGATTCAAGCGCCTGAATCTCGTACTATAACCTCAGATACCATGCTGGTACTCGCTTCGATAATTGCGTCCTCAGTCAGGTGTCCAGTTTTGGGGTCGTTTTCTTTTCTCATTTTGCTGGTTTTCCTAATATACATGGTTTGGCACACGAACCAACAAAATTGCTTGGGCGATTGGGTATACTACTTGATGATTTTTGATGGAAACCGCAATGTTCTAAGGGCTAGGGTAACCGAGATATGATCATATAAATAATATGTTGTACGGTCAGAAGAAGAGAACAGTTGATCATGTTTAGGAACAAAGAATTTCTTGTTTCGGTCAATCAAAGTTGATTTGAAGTTAATCACTTGCGGTACCTGGATTAGGCACCTATCAGTTGTATGACAATGGGCAGAGTTTGTGAAAACTTTTAAAAATTCTTCTCAGCGAAATTGTTTACTATGTGCATCAAAATAGTCAATTGTTGTAAACATTTGACATTAATCCTCAATGCGTATTATGGTAGACAGGAGCTAATCCAGGTATCCGATGTCATTAGATTCAAATCACCCTGTATAAGAGGTATTTCTAACCAGATCTTTTTACTGCTCTGCACTCGCTAACATTATTGTGCTCATCAAGTGGAGGTAGGTATTTCGAAGAGTTTGTAACTGATTCTAATTTAATGCAAACTGGAAAAGTCGTACAAAAAGATCAATAGACCGACCAACTGTTTTCTCTTTTTTTTGACCGCACAACGTTATTTCTATGTAGCTTATCGTTTGAAAGGCAATAAATCACAGAAGTTTTGTAAGTAAAAAAAGGTATAGTTTTATTTTAATCGAATTTTTAATTTGAAACTATTTATACACTCCACGTTATTATAAGACTTTGGAAGGTCATAAGTCATTTGTTTTAGAAGAATTGCACGAACTGTTTATCTGATCTGATTGAGTATACGTTAGCGAACAGACTCACGTTTATTTTGTGTGGTTATCTCTAGAAACAAAAAAGTTATAACAATATTTATTATATATATATTCAGCAAAAAAAAATTAAAAACGATCATATCTCGGGAACCGTAGCCCTAAGAGCATTGCCGTTTCCATCAAAAATCATCAAATAGTGTCCCCAATCGCCCAAAAAATGTTTTTGGTTCCTGTACCAAACACCCTGTATATGCTCCTAGGGAAGACAGTTGAATCATGAGAATATCAAATTAAATTGACATTTCAGGTCAAAAAATTCACGTTGTGCAGTGAAATTCTTCGACTTAGCTCAAATGTCTGTTTCAGTTTCACTCATGTTTTGGGAGTATCCGTTGAAACATTTTCATGCAATTCAGGCCTCAGAAGTTGACCTTGGAAACGCGGTGGCAACCGGGCATTATTTGACTATTTCATATCCATTAACCTTCATGTATGCAAAATCTCCACCATCTCCAGATTTTAACATTCTGGAGGGTTTTCAAAATTCCATTCTGTAGACTGTTACATAGAAATATTTCTTTTGCACTGCTAATTATTGGAAAACGCCCTGAATGGTATGATGAACTCGAGTCAGGCAAGTGCTCCATGAGAATTTTGTGTGTAGATGGTGATAATGGTGATCGAAATAACAGTGACAACGGGAACAGCGGAAGTGATAGTGATTCCGACAGCTGGGGTACCCTTTCTACAGGGGACCTTGGAGAAATTTTTTTGGAATTTTAAAGAAGAATATTCAGCTGCCAAGCAAGCTGATGGCATTCCATAATAAGTGCATGATAGGATGGATTCTTACGCCCATTATCGTTGATATACTCAAAATTATTTCAATACCAAGCCGCATAAAAATGCTGTTGTATAACGTAATCCTCGTCCATATGCCTAGGTTCAAAGTATATAGTAGCAATATCTTTCCTATCTCTAAGCTGCAACAAGTGATATTGTCCATCGACGAGACAGTAGTCGTAACTGGATCGCCAGTGTTACAAATGAAAGTTCGAAAAACATGTACTTATAGCTCTCAATTGGGAAAAAATCAAATTTTTGCGAGGTTTCATTTGCATAAACGTGAAATTTATAATTATATGACGCTACAAAAGAAGTTGTAAGAATCTATTCTTGATCATTATCCTGCGTACTAAATTTAGTGATTCAACATAATTATTGATTTGTAAATAAAGAAATTGGTTTAATCACACTGTTTTATTACCTCAAAGCATCATTATCACCACGTCAATGAGCGCATATAGAAGAACAGCAGGATCGTTGGGTCCCAAATACAGGGTGTTTAAAAAAACTATATTTCCAGATCAGAAAGTGCATCCAAAAATAACATAAAAAGTTAATATAAGCATGTGTGTAAAATTCCACTAACTTGAGTACATTTACAATGTTAAATGGATTCAAGTTTTCAATTCAAATATTTAAACAATTTTTTTACAAAAATTCTGGAGGAAAATTTGCAGTCGATCCCAGGTTCTATGTTGAGCCGCAAAAGTTTTTGTTTGTATTGCTTATGATGTTAGTACTGCGTGTACAAAATTTTAAGTTCATATCTTTATCTACTTGATGGAGATCATTTTTCACAATTTTTAAATCTCGATAAGGCGCTGTTTAAGACCCATGTATCAACTTTCATTGTCGTTTTTGGGCCTAGTTTCTGCTTAAAAAATATTACCACTACTTTTGGAATCACCCTCTTAAATGATGACTGGCTGTATGTCGTGGAGACCCATCCTTTGTGTGTGGTTTTTCATTTGAGTAGCAAAACACTGTCTTTGGCATTTTGGATGCTTAACAAGTTTGTTTGTGTTTAACGCACAGATGGGGACAACAATGATAACGAGAACAATGAAAATAATGAAGATGGTGACGATGACAATTCTGACAGTTGGAGCAGCATATCATCAGTAAGCACTAATGGCAGCTCAGGCGATTCAATATTTAGTGATATACTTTTGTCCTTTGATTAACACACATTATTTTGAATTTACTTGTGTATAATTGGATCTCTGAAAATAACTACTGTAGCACAAGGGTTTCACCTGGAAGTGTTGGTATTGACTATCAAGGTTACACATTAGGCTTTTATGGTAAAGAAATTTTAGTGATGGTTCTTTTTTAGATACATTGCATATGCAATCAAACAATTGCTTCATTTGCGTAGTATAGAAAATATTTGAAATCGACGAAGCTCAGTGTATTGAATTTTATTGAAGTTAGTTCGCAGTATTTCCAGGACAAACCCTGTGCATAACATGATAATTTTTTATAACAAAAGTTCATAAGCTATTACTCGTATTTGTGTTGCAATACCAGATAATATTGTTCGTTTTTTTACCTTTATCATTTTCGGTCATTTTTAAAGTGATCCAAATAAAATATCAAATAATATATGTAAATATAGAGATTTTACATAAAGATGTGTGCGTAAGTGTTAAAAAGGTTTATAATAAACCTGGGATTTGATATAAATAAGTTTTTTATTTCCCAATACAGTCGTTCTGTTGTGATTTTATTCGTAGGGAGGTTGGGCTGGGTTTCAACGAATTCGTAATTCTACCTCCCTTAAAACGATGAACGTGACCTCAGAATTTTCGGGAACTGACGTAAGCAGCTAAGCAAACAAATATTTTACTGGCAGATCCTTTTCATCCTCTCCATAAACTTCAGGCAGCAGCGGTGGCCGCAGTGGTAGACTCTTCGGTCGCCTGATCAGTCGCCGTGTGCTGGGCGGGTTCGAATCCCGTACCAAGAAAAAAATTTCTCTTGGCTATGGATGTTGTGATTGTCCGTAGGGTGCAAGGTGTGTATTTTGACATAAGACACGGTCAACTTATCAAGTGGCTGGAGTACCACGAACGGCCGTCTCGACGACTAGACCTAAGACCTATACAGCACTGATGAGCTGCCAATGGTCACAGGAGACGGAAAGCAAACATGTCCTTTTCACATGTCTGGTAGTGTCTACCGCACTTTTTTGTATGAAGAATATACAGGTGGTAAAGGCAACTAAAAAATCATGTTTAATAAATAATTATATTTGATATAAAATATGTACAAATTTATCCAAGACTGAAATAGCTACCTAAGTTTGTAAGTCTACTCCAGAACAGCCCAAGGTTTGAATATGGTGTACCAGAATATATACGAAGGCCACGATATATATTTTGAGATACACGAAAACTAAAAACTATTTTCCGAAAACTAGTTTATTTATGTTCAAAGTATTCTCCTCCAGCATCAATGCATTTCTGTAGCCTGACCTTCCACAAATGAAATGCTTCTAACCAGTCAGTTTTTGGAATGCCTTCAGCAAACTGATTAATTGCTTGATCGATTTCTCATTCCGACGAACATTTTCGACCACGCAGACTTTTTTCAAATTGTTGAAGAGTCAGGAGTCACACATTGCCAAATCTGGCGAATAAGGCGGATGATCTAGCGTAAGAAGTCTACAGTTGGTTGGGCAGTGTGGCTAGAGACATTGTCGTGATGCAGGATTGCACGCAACAACTTTTTTTAAATGAAGATGATCTTGCAAAATGGTGTGTTCTGTTGCGGATCCTACCCCAAGAGTTGGCTCTATATGCGACTACAAGTCGCATACGTGCAGGGAGAATCTCCTTCAATTAGCCGCTAAACTTTAGCGATGTTTTCTGGAGTCACACCAGAACATGGTCTACCACTACATTCTTCATCAGCCAATGGAACACGCCCTCTTTTAAATTCGGCATACCAGCGAAACACATTTGCCCGGGATGGAGCTTCATTACCAAATGCCTGTTGTAACCGTTGGATACATTGATGTTCAGTTAAACCGACTTTAAAGTCATAGTCAATAATAGCGCATAACTCTTTCGAGACTACTCCATGTCTCGTCTTAAGTTTGTTTACACCACGTGCACTGTAAGGCGCTTGCAAATGAACTGAATGCAGCGACTTACTAATAAAGGTTTGCTCTTTCGAATAGTGCACTGATGCCGGTTTTAACTAGTATAGTTAATGTGCATCTCAAAATATATAGTGTATATTGCATTCTTCCATACTTATCTGAAATACACGAAACTATAAACATTTCAAAAGCTGATAGGATCTTTTTCATTGATTAGTTCGCTAATCTGAAAATATGCTGTTGGAAAACCGATTCATATTTTACACCATTAATTTCATACACCACTCGGATTTTCTGGAATATATACATCATGGTACTTTCTAGAAAACATTAAATAGTGCTACGGAGAGAATGGAAACTATGTATTATAAGTGAAAAATCGTTACAGTGTTATTGCAGCATCTTACAATAATTAAATACTTAAGTGTATGGTGAAAAATGGATTTTGGTGTTTGCAAGATACTTTTAATGATAAATATTCCGAGTCAGTGTTCGTCAGCCTAAATGTTAGAGATCACTACTAACAGTGTATCGATTCTCATTTCCAATGTTGTTTCTGATGAGGTTTTATGTCTACCTCCATATCACGACAATGGGGCCACCTGAATAGTTAACAAAATTCCATCCTGCATTAAACCACTTTACTTGATCTTAGACCATCGCTCAGGATCTGACTCACTCTGTGTCTATAACATTTCCTTCAGCTGGTATGTCTCCTATGACTTTCATTCACGAAAAATGATTTATGATATAATTGATCCATCCGATATAGTTGAATACTGTAGTGTAGATGCCGTACTTATTCTTCTGTCCGCAACCGTCTCCGAAACTCGTGATGCCTTGTATACTATAAACTGTCCTACGACTGCCTTTGAGTGAACACATGAGACCGCCTCCACTATCCCCTGCACAAGTGTCTGCCCTTCCAGATGCCCAGCCGGCACACAACATGTTATTGCTGATGAAGAATTGCTTGTAGGACTTACGGCAAGTTCTTGATGGCACTATAGGTAACTGGAAAAAAGTTTGAATTAAGAAATTCCGAGTTCAAACATCCCACTCCTATTGGCGACATGTACATAACGAAAAACGATGTCACTTATTTCCGTCGGTATGTCCGCTAATCATTGACCCGTCTAAAATTTGGAAAGTACCTGTCCAACACGTTTCAAAAAAATTAAATTAATACAAACTATGTCTACAGCTATGTTATTTGTAGTAAGCAAGGTACCTATAAACATGACCAATCCAGAATTTCTTTGAAAACACCATCAATTGACTAGTGACAGGAAGCCTGGTTTCCAAGACATGTATTTCTCCAAAAACATCGCCATATGGTGTTAGCAAAGACTGCCTCTTTAAGAAATAGACCGAAATAAATTCATAAGTTTTCTTTACCTTGGCTTCATGCAGAATAGGCACCCCGTAGACATCATCAGGGTCTACTTTTCCCCAGCCCATCACTGAACACAACTGTCGAGGCTTTGGCCTTTTCGTGGGAAGACACGCTACAGGTATGTGAACTGGTCTTGGCAGCATTAGTAGAGCAATGTCATTATCAACCTGAAAGATAATTCATACAGCATTGAGCTTTCTTTCTATAATGAACCTCTACCCAGAACCAGAGACTGATTAAATTTGACAAAAGCTCCCAGATTTGAATTTGCTCTTTGTATTTCCCGTCGAAATTATCAGATGATTGGATTTGTTTTTTATTCTTTTACACTAATTATAACCATACTTGCAACTAGTTTATGTCAAATTTGTAACCATATCGACTGGACTATCTTGTTGATTCATCAGACGCTGTCCGTTGGACTTGTCTTTCTTAGCCATCTCGTCTTATATTTATTCCCCTATCGACGAGTCGAGAAAAACTCCAGCGTTTTCCAGGCCAAGTCGCGAACATTCATGGAATTGGTCTAGAAGACAGATTCACGTCGATGACGCTGAACGCTCTCGAACATCGACCGAAGCTTCTCTATGAGGCCGCAATTGCCCACGCACAGACGTGTAAGCCTGGTTGCCTAAGCGTCGATGTTTCTGCACACTTGTACGAGGGTATCTCGCTGGTACCCAAAGTTCTAGTTATATGAGGCCGTTACAATACTTTATATCAAAGATCAATAACACGCACATAAAAATCAAGTTGTCATAATGACATTAACAAGCATAAATCTGGAAGACTCATAGGTGGACAGGAAAAGTTTTCATGGCGTCGAGACAAAACTAAAAAACGTATGCATTTGAGTTGATACAAACAAACGTCCACACAAAGAAGCCGGCTGTATATCTCTGTGTGAGATCGATGGAGGTATGAATGTAGTTCGTTAGTTTGACTGTGACCCGCCTAAAACCTTGAAAAGAATTTGACCTTATTGTGCGAAATTTTAAATTTTGTGACTTCTCGTTCATAGAGGAAAGTAAAAATCCGAATATAGCCTTTTCAAAAGTAACATTTTTGAAAAAGTACTCCAATCCTGAAGGTGCAATCTGAGCCACCAGTGGTGAATATGAATTCAAAGATTACTTACTGTCTTATAGTCGAATTTGGGATGCGGAAAAGTCTTGTACACAACCATTTCAATATCTGCTCCATCTCTTGCGTGTAGGTCGTGGGCATTTAGTCGGACGCGTAAGTACTTTCTGATGCAGTGGCTTGCTGTAAGTACCCAACGGGGAGAGATCAGAGTACCACCACAGAACACTTCCTAGAACAAAAGAAAGTGAATCAAGTAGAAGAACGTAAGACTTCTCGTGAATTTTGCGTTCGCAAAAAAGCACAAATTTTCAGTGTCTGAAAATCTATTTCAACTTTGCCCAACATACTTTGGACACGTAAAGCAATTTAATGTTTTGTTGCCGTTATGTTGATTTTTTGAGTTCCAATTGTACAGAATTGGTGGACCAAGCATATTTAGGTAAAGGTATCTGCAACTCAATTCGAAATTCGTAAGTATTTCAATAAAATATCTAATACTATATACTAAAATAATAAGCTTTTCAAACAATGTATTTTTACCCTGAAATAACATTTGAAGAAAACGACGGAGTATCCTTGAAAATATCTCGACGTATTTCTAAGTACTTTGGAATATGGAAATCATTGGAACAATATGGAAGTAGATGAATAAAGGCTCCCCAAACCAACGCCGAAAATTTCTGCGGGAAATAGACGAGTTGAAACTAGCGCAGATTTCTCCTATTTGAGTGCGATTTTTCTGCTTACTTATCCGCACGGAAACATTTCGCAATCAGATGCGTTTTTTTTATTTGCAGTAACTCCGCAACGTCATAAAGCGAAAAATAATCCAAATGGAGCAAATTATTGAAATGGTTCGATAGTTCCCATAGCCTATACAATTGTTCGCACAAAGGATAAATAAGGTTTTGACTAAAATAGGTGAAGAAGTAGACGAAAATGGTAAGTTGAAACTCATTACATTACCTATTTAACAAAATAATAATATAACGTATATTCTAATAAAAATTATAACAATATCATATGTAGTACACGCAGGATCACTAATTTATACTGTTTTGATTATCACAAAAATCTTCATATTGTAATCCTGAATTAAAAAATACCACAAACTGTTCTTGTACTAACATGCCAATCTTGGATAATTTTTTACATTTTGAAAAGTTCCAAATTCAGGTTCTGCTGGGTCTAAAAGTTTGATATATCCATCACCTCATTTTCATACATTCACATTCTTTTCTAGTACTAGCATACAACCTTCTCGATAGAGAAGATACAATTCTCCATAACGAACCTGCTGCAAATAATTCTCATTCGTTTGGGGGAGTCTTAATCGCAAAATTGATTATCGGTACTGGATACAGCTTTCCTATTCCATTGAAATCAGTTTAGCAGTTACCAAGACCGCGGTGACAGATATAGAATGAGTTGCGTGTGGTACATGCTTACCATATGCTGATTCAGAACAGCCACATGCCAAGGCCACTTGTACCTTTTTGCTTCAGTACCACCAATTATCCTCAACATTCTTGTTTTACGATTAGGTACGCCGCATCTCTTCGGAATATTCGTCCTTCTCCTGGGTCGTTCGGTAGTCGATGGATCTTGATTATTGTAATGAAATCTTCTGGCATCTGAAATATCAAAGTTTATCATGCAAAATAAACTCCGCCTCTGGTAGATGCTGGGTGGATTGAGTAGCTCAGTGACTGCCAGTGCCGGTCCCAAGCCCGGATAAAGGAGGAGGGTTGTAGCGGCGGGTTGGCTCCCCGCCCTGTGGAAAAAAAAGCATTGCTAAAAAACCCATACAACAGCCTCGGAATTCGGACGGATTACACGGAAAACGACAAAAGCAAAGAAAACGGTTAACGAATATTGGATGCTGGAATATACAAGGACTAAACACTAAAGATGATCAAGTATTTAGAGAACTCCACACATACGACATCGACATAGCAGTACTCAGCGAAACAAAGAAGAAAGGACAAGGAAACAGCTACAAAGATGAGTACATATGCTTTTGGAGTGGAGTAGAAAAATCGAAACGGGCCAAAGCTGGTGTAGCTATTGCAATAAAAAAGGTCATGGAGAAGTTCATAATGGACTAGAACCCAGTTGACGAAAGGATCATAACGGTTGACATGAAAATAAAAGGAAGAGAAATTAAAATATTCGGTATCTACGCGCCCACAGACGACTCAGATACAAACACAAAAGACAAATTTTTTGACAAACTCTCTGAGGAATTAGATAAGACGAAAAATAGACAAGAAATAGTCTTGATAGGCGACCTGACCGGAAGAGTGGGCAAAGCTCTTGACAGTAAAATAATTGGACAACACGGAGAGGAAGTAGTCAATGAAAACGGAACCAGATGGATAGAGCTTTGTGAACAACACTCGTTAAGAATCTTAAACGGATTTTTCCAACACAAAGACATACACAAATATACTTGGACTCAAAAAACAAAAAACTTGAAATCAATTATTGACTATGTCGTGATTAAGCAGGACACTTCCATAATACCCTATGATGTAAAAGTTTGGAGAGGAGCTGAGTGCGGTTCAGATCACCTGCTAGTAAAAGCACCCATTGAAATTACTTACAATAAACATCTCATATATCAAGAACAAAATAACAATGGAAAACCCACAACGCGATATAACATAGACAGCTTAAGGGATGAATCCACCAGTTTCCTTTACAAACTACGTTTAGCACAAAAACTGGACGAAGATATTAACGGCAAGGCAGAAGAAATGTATGAAACTTTGAAACACAAAATTCACGAAGCAGCACTAGAAGCCCTTGGTGTTAAAGATAGAACGGAACACAAAAATTCTTGGTGGACGGACGATTTAACCCAACTGGTAGAAGAAAAGAAAAACTTATATCTTAAATGGTTAACTACAAAAGGCGATGAAGATCGAAAAAGCTATAATCGTTTTAAAAATATAGTAAAAAAAGAAATTAAAAAATAAAAAACAAAACATGGGAAACCAAATGTGCTGAAATTAGCTCAATGGTAGGAGGATCTAGGTCTAGAGAAGCTTGGCGAACTATAAATGGTCTTAAAACAAACACGAATGAAAGAAGAAAAATAAATCCCATAAAGATAGAACAGTGGAAAGACTACTACAATAATCTACTGGGAGAACAACGTGGAGAGTATTTAGACACGCAACTAGATATAGATCAAACAGGAGTAAACAGAGTAGATACCATTCAATTAGAAGAAATAAAAACAGCATTACAAAAAATGAAAAATAATAAAGCTCCGGGACCGGGGGATTTGCCTATCGAGTTAATTAAACACGCCACCACAAGAACGCACGAGCTACTTTGTGTAATTTTTAACAAGTGCCTGGAAGGGGAAACGATTCCCAGAGATTGGAGGAGCTCTTACATAAATTCCATTTATAAAAAGGGAAACAGGAGTGACTGTAGTAATTATCGGGGTATTAGTACTACATCGTCCATCGGAAAGCTGTACGAAAGAGTCCTAACAGCCTGAATAGAAGACGAAGCCACGGAAATTGAAGAACAAAGTGGATTTCGACCTAGGCGATCCTGTGTCGACAACATATTTACAATAAAACAACTGATAGAAAAGAGATTAGCAAGAGGAATGGAGCTACACGCTACTTTTATAGATCTCCGCAAGGCATTCGACTCCGTCCCTTTGCAGAAATTATGGATCGCAATGAAAGAAGCAGGCATAAATAGCAAATACATAAACGCCGTAAAAGCAATGTATAGAGAAAATCAAGTGGTCGGAAATCAAATTTCTGAGGCTTTCCCACAAACAAAAGGTGTTAAGCAGGGCTCCTGCCTCTCTCCAACCCTGTTTAAAATTTATCTCTGCAGCGCTTTAAAACAATGGATAAGAAAGTGCAGCCCCATGAGGATATGGTTAGAGGACTTTCACTTGTATACAATCCTCTTTGCAGATGATCAGGTAGTCTTTGCAGAAGACCAGCAAGACATGACTTACATGATAAACAAACTTATAGAAGAATTCACTAAATGGGGTTTGGAGATAAATATACAAAAGACACAATACATGACTATAGGAGGCACAGGACAAGACATCGAAACAAAAAGCGGAAAAATAGAAAACGTCGGACAGTACCAGTACCTAGGAGTTACAATAGATGAAAGCGGAAAGGATAATAAAGACATACTAAGGAAAATGGGAAAAGGAAAAAATATGATTAAAGCACTACATCCGATCTTGTGGAGTAAGAACCTAACAAAGAGAACAAAAAAAATTATATATCAAGCTATGATTCAGCCAGTACTGACGTATGGGTCAGAAGCGTGGGTTGTAGATAAAAATATGTCACAAAAGCTTCTCTCATTACCGAAATGATGTACTGGAGAAGATATTCTGGTTTAACTTTACTTGACCATGTTAGAAATGAGACCATCAGAGAAAGAATGGAAGTCGAAAATACAATAATGGACGATATAACAGAGAGGCAGTTAAAATGGTATGGACACCTGCAACGAATGAACGAAGAAAGGATACCATTAAGGGTTTGGAAATGGACACCAACACAAAGAATTAAACGAGGAAGACCACGAAGGAAATGGATTTCAAACATCCATACCGCAATGGCAAGTAGAGGACTACATGAAGGAGACTGGAACGATAGGATACGATGGCGTATGGGTTGCGAGAAGCGACCTTAGGTTGCAGAAACTTGCCATATATATATATATATATATATATATATATATATATATATATATATAACAACAAGTAGGAAAATAATGGGCAAAATCCGCAAAAAGGAGGAAAGTGGATTCGAGCAGAAAATAGGATAGGTAACCCGAGCGATACGTATTTCTGCTGGTTGGCTTCATCAGGCCCGAAATGAATGCACATATGAAACTACAAAAGTAGATACACATGCCCACACATCCGGATACGGGTGTAACCTGAGGAAACGAAGTTGGAGGGGGAAAAACGACACACGAAGTCCACAACAAGAGCCAACCTACACATTGTAGTATAAAATGGCTTTACGACCTCGAATTTTCAAGGAGACGTCCACTTGCTGTGTGCTATAACCGGCCGCGTGGTTGTGGTTAGACGTCTCCTTGAAAATTCGAGGTCGTAAAGCCATTTTATACTACAATGTGTAGGTTGGCTCTTGTTGTGGACTTCGTGTGTCGTTTTTCCCCCTCCAACTTCGTTTCCTCAGGTTACACCCGTATCCGGATGTGTGGGCATGTGTATCTACTTTTGTAGTTTCATATGTGCATTCATTTCGGGCCTGATGAAGCCAACCAGCAGAAATACGTATCGCTCGGGTTACCTATCCTATTTTCTGCTCGAATCCACTTTCCTCCTTTTTGCGGATTTTGCCCATTATTTTCCTACTTGTTGTTATATACCTTTCTCCGCATGATCATATTCTCTTTATATATATATATATATATATATCATGCAAAATAAGAGTGAAAAGTTATTTTTTAGAGCTCAACATGCCTTCTGCATATTAGATAAATGACTTCTATTACATCATGTTTTGATCGGGATTACAGATCCGTAAGAACTGTGCTTTTGAAGTTTAAAGCTTCTCAGTCCAAAGATCCCATTCTCGCCCGCAGTTACAAGTGAACAAAATTCGGTAAACCAGTGTAAAGTGTCGTGGGGCCCTATTTCAAGTAGGAAAATGGGACTCCTAGGGCCACTCGTTGATTTTGACGAAAAAATGACATCAGATTTGTGATTTGCGTCATCATAGATCTAGATGCTATTCTAAACGCGGGTGACTTTGCTGAGGCTACTTTGTGGTATAAAGTAGGTATAGTAGAACGCTAATTCTGACATCTAGTGCCAGTATAAGGTAGCCTGAGAGTTCACGCAGCCATGTTTTCACATAGCAAAAAGCTTATCAATGGTGGTCTTTTCGGACGTTCGACACCCTCAGCCCTGCTAGCTGTGGGTCCCCACAATAGAAGAACGTGTTGTGGGCATTGTAAAAAACTGCTCAAAATACATAACAGACAATTGAATCGGTCACTTGAAGCTTTTTTACCAACATGATCCTTTTACTGAAAACGCTTTCTTGAAGGTACTTGGGCCTTCTGGGTAAATACCTCGTAAGTCATTACACTCCTTCCCCTTCAAATAACAGGTAATACGCAATCAGTGTAAAAACATCATAAATCTAGGACCTACGTGGCTTTTGCACGCACTACAACATGGCGGTACTTGAATGAGTCATTTCAAAAATACTAACTGTATTGTTTTATTTTCATATCTACACCAAAATATCAATTTTAAATTCACTAACTACAAAAATTAGATTACAGGCCCGATCCGCTCTGCCCGAAATCACACGTTTAAGAGTGTTTTTGTTTCCTACCAAAACTCTCAACTCGACTCATTTGTGTGACTGAGCACGTCCTTAACTGACTCATCTGGTGCATGCGCATGTTCGCGACACGCTGCATGTACTACAAAGATATACGACAAATATTTGAAGTAGCTGTTCGTAAAGATTGATTTGTTGAAAAGACACATTTTGATCGTGGTAGTCAAATAAGTACGTGGATTCTTCTACAACATACTGGTGATTATTGAAGAAAGTAGAATGAATAAGTCTATGTATTTTTCCACGATGGTCTATTCATGGTTTAGATGTAAGCCGGGAAACCCGACTTTTCAGGTGTTCGCTTCCTCCGGGTTTCCCCTATGTAACTTGAAAATATTAGAACGTGCAAAACTAAGACATGTGGCATGTTAATAAATCGATATGTAGGTGTAATGTGCAATAATAAGCAGTGAAGGATATATCAATTAATATGATTCGTTTGCTTAAGTTGTAGACTATTTCCTGCTAAAACAACCATGACAGCTTTTGGAGCTTATTCCATCATTAATAAGCTCTGAAATTTCGATTTGTGGACCACAAAAACTACATTAAGCTAAAAAACGGCGGGACTGTGACAAATAGTCTATTATAGGCGGCTGACCCTCTTAAAAGAGACACTTTTTTAATGAAAAAGGCAGCAGAAATAATATATTAAAAGCTTAAAATGTGTTTGTTTAACATGTATTACATAAATAAAGATACATACAAAAAAGTTATACGTAATTTTGAAATTTGCATTTTTTTTCAGAATACACGTATTACAGGCATACGTTCTCTGTAGGTATGTGTAAAAACCGTAAATTGTTTGGTAAAAAAGTTAGTATTTTTCATTTGAACAGACTGTTTTTTTGTATAATTATTCAGAATAGCAAGTTAAATCGGAGTCTGACAATTCCTGTGTTGCTATTAAATTATTGTCAACATTTACATACTCATTAAATTTGTCTCCGTAAAAAAAAATTTTTCAGTAAATCACTCAATGGAATATCATCTGCTGGACTGAAATCGTTGACTATTTCAGTTATGTTGTTCACTAAACCAGCATGGCGAAAACAATTATGAATCGTTTCTGGAGCAACCAATTCCCATACAATAATAAGCAAATTTATAGCATGAGCTTTGGTAATGTTGAGATCGTCTTGAAGCTCCATAATTTTCATAAACATATGTTTCCGATACATTTGTTTAAGACTCTAAGTGACACCCTGGTCCATTGGTTGTAGAACTGATGTCACATAGTATGGAAAAAATTGAAGGTTGTTATTAAGTGAAATATTTGGATGAGCGGGTCAGTTATTGACCAATAGCAAAATTTTAAGATTTTTCTTAACAAGTTCAGCGTCCCACTTTTTTAAATATTCTTCAAAAATTGATGAAGTCATCCAAGCTTTATAATTTTCAACATAATCGACGGGAATTGTTTCAACATTTTTACAGCACCTGGGATTCTTAAATTGCCCTGTAATAAAAAAAGGTCATAAATTCTTTGCAGCACTGCCATTGAATATCAAAAAAATTAGAACATGAATTTCTATTCATTCACTTACCTATTATCAATAGTTTCCGTTTTTCAGTACCAGAAGCATTAGCACAAAACATAACAGTTACTCGCTCTTTTGATAGTTTCCCTCCATTGAAAGTTCCACCTTTTCATTTATGGTAGCATTCTATAAAATATCCCGGTTTCATCTGCATTGAATATGTTATCATCTGGATATTACGGGCCAAACTTGAGAAATCCAGTCAACTGAAGCTGACTCACAACACATTTTTCCATAAACAATGTTGTCTTTTCTTAAACCTGTCTAGCCAACCGGAACTACAGTTGAAGTAATCTCCAATCAATTTCCGAAATTCTTCAGCCTTTATTTGTAGCATAGTGCCACTTATTGGAAAATTATTAGCACGCCTTTGTTGAAACCATTAACCAGATATTTTTTCTTTTGACTATTCGATTTCCAGTCAGTTTTTAGTTTTGTCACGGTTTTTTCAAATATTTGTCTCATTGGATTATTTTATAGCCATACGAGCACATTAATTATTCTGAACTTTTCGGGTAAAGTGAATGCACGTTTCGCACTTCTAGTCATGTTTATAATTCTAATAAATACTGTATAACACTAGTGGCCAAGTTCGAATGCAAAGTGTGATGTCAAACCGCCGTAAACTATTGCATCAGCTAAATCTGCTTCGGGGAACTATCAAAATAGCTCGCATATAATGGATTAAAATAGTCCGGTATAAGCGAGGGTCTATTTTAAGCGAGTCTATAATATCCGAGAATTTTCCATACAATTATTTATAGGACCTTAAATTGTGTCCATTATATACGGATTTCCATTACAAACAAGTTCATTATAAGTGGATTCCACTGTACTTTGACACTGGTTTATTTGCCACTGACACATTATTGTCTGCTGGAAAATTCAAATTATGTAACTTACGAGGTTTTTGCACTGACCGATTCAGTTACTGTTTTGACAGAATTCTTACCATTACTTCTATTGTGCTCCAGCAAATTAAGTATTAGTAATTCACAGTTCGATTTCTCTTCGTAGCAGTAAGCTTCCTCTTTTTGCTCCTGCTTATTGCAACGGCCAGGTTTTCGACATCGTCTGACCCTATACGTTCTGCAGTTTCTGCTACATGGAGTCCATGCCGACCATTTACTCCAAATGTCCGAGGGACCCTGTTTTATTAGGTAACTGCTATTCTGGAATGAATCACGGTTGTCATAAACAATACATTTATGGGATTAAGTGCGAGAGGCCAAGCAGGCCATAATCAAAGGGATCGCCTTGATCAATATAATTGGAACGTAATGGTCTACATTCAAAGCTTCTATCTTGAATTACTACAGTACAAAAAACGCTAATAATCTTGGAACCTCTATATATGCCAGAGCAATCCGTAGGACCTTTACGACAGCTTAGGGCTGTATCGTCAGTCGTTCCTACAATAATTGTATCCTTCAGAAAGGTAAGAGCATTTCTAGATTTCTACTGTTCCGTGTCAGTGCTCTATTTGAAGGTTATGTTTTCTTTTTGAATTCTAGGAAATTTCGCGCTGATAAAACTTAATTTTTATTATCTGTAGTATCAGCTAGAAATTTCTTAATATTCAAAAAGAAAACATAACCGCACAATAGGAGAGCGCAGACTCTGTCACGGAACAGTAGAAATCTAGATATTTCCGAAGAAGACTATAAAAATCAAGTAGGCCATAAAGGCGTCCTACAATTTGTAGGAATGACGTTATGGCCCATAGCTTTTATTCTTGGTAGATACTAGATACCAGACGATATTAGAAAGAAAGCAAGACAGAACGAAGGGAGAAAGAGAAATGAAATCCGTCAGTTATACTCTGGTGCCGAAAAGGAAGAGAGCAGCAAAACACATCGCATGCCACTGCCGGCACGGCATGCCTTTGAATTAAGAAAGCCGATGCGCGTATGCCGCTCAGTTCGAAGATGCGCTGCGCTGGCAGTGGCGTGCGATGTGTTTCCTTTCTTCCTTTTTGGTACCAGAGTCGCCGTACCTCACTTTTCTTTTTGATCAATTCTGCATTAACCCAGTAATGTGAGATAATAATAATGGTACGTCTATTATCGGAACACCCTGAAAACTTGGCAACCATGCGTTTTTCCGAAAAAAGCTCCATACAAAAGATTCAAGAGGTAAGAATAGTACATTACATACAGTGATTGAGAAGTGTAGAGGAAAGTGCCCGAATATCACACACTTTCTGCCACACTTTTTTCTAAATGCTCCCTAGGGTAGACCCGCCTAAGAGTACGCGTTCCGTAGGAGTACGCAAACGCCCTTTTGGCAATCTGGCAACAGCCCAGTGTAGAACAAATATGGTGACATATGCCCACGTTTAGTCAGGTTGCTATGGTAGATTTGTATTTCAAGTAACTTTTGTGTTATTTTAATAACGGTAAGTACATGAAAATATCAAAATTCACTGTAATGTTTCATTATAAGAATATAAGCTTTGAAAAATATGTGAACTATTCAATTCCTCTGATAAATGTTTTGTTGTAATGTTTTCTTAGTAAGGTATGCAACCACACAGACATCAATATTTCGTTGTTTCGATTTTATTTATGGTAAGTAGTTTGTCACTGTGGATCCTTTTTTTGAAATTATTATTGCGAATCTACATACTTCTTATAGTAGTCTGTATATGCTCTAAACTGGGATATTTTTACATGAGTTATTAAAATGGGCAAATACACTAAAATTCACCCGAGCCTTGCTGAATGAGACCAAGGAAAGAATAAATAGAGGAGAGAGTAAACGTTCCGTAGCTGCCTCGCTAGGAGTAAATGAATGTTCTCTGAGGAAGCGTTTGAAGGCAGGAAGCGTTCCAGTGACTTTGGGAAGATTCAAACCCGTGTTTACCAGCATTCAAGAAAAAGAGTTAGCCAACCATATTAGAGACTTGGATAATAAAATGTATGGGTCATGTCGCTAGCCTTCCAATATGCCGAAATGAACCATATATCACACAGGTTTAACAAGGAAAAAGAAATGGCGCGGCCACATTTTGTAAAAGATTTCGCCGAGAGAAATAGCTTGTCTCTTAGAACACCTGAAAAATGCAGTTTGGCAAGGGAAATTGGTTTTAATAAGCCGCAGTGTCAAAGGTTTTTTGACAACCTTAAAGAATGTTATGACAGACTGAAAGTGCCTCCTCAAAGAATATTCAATATGGACGAAACTATGGGATGTCCACTGTACCGAACAGACTTCGAAAGGTGTTTGCAACCAAGGGAAAAAGGACTGTTTCGAAGGTGGTAGCAGCTGAAAGGGGACAGCTGGTTACAGCGGTATGTTGCATGGGTGCATCAGGAATATGGGCACCACCAATTAAATATACTGACATATAAATCCGAACACCCAGTTTAAATGGTTTTATTTTAATAAAATTTTGTATAAGTACTTAATGAAGCATAATAAGTAAATGATAGAAATTTCAAAATGATTGCACTGCCTTAAAGCCCTTTGACCTTTAATAATGTGTGGCTGCACCCTGATGTGCTACGCATTCTCCAACGCGCCTAGGCATGCTTCTGATCAGGTGGTCAATGTCCTCCTGTGGTATCTCATTCCAGGCAACCACCAACTCCTCTCGAAGTGCTTCTAGAGTCTGAGGAGGACGTTGCAAATTGAGCAATCTCCTACCCATCATATCCCACACGTGCTCAATTGGGGATAAGTCGGGAGATCTTGGTGGCCATGGTAACAATGTGACATCATTATGTTGAAAGAAGTCTATTGTGACTCTTGCAACATGTGGTCGGGCATTATCTTGTTGGAAAGTTGGATCTGCCAGGGTGTCAAGATAGGGTAAAAGATGGGGTTCTAGAACTTCGTGGATATAACGCTGCGCGTTCATGTTACCTCTGATGAAAATTAAAGGTACCTGGAACCATAAGCTATAGCACCCCAAACCATAACACCAACAGTGTGATGAACATGTCTTTCAACAAAAAACTGTGGATTCCTCCTTTCACCACGTCGCCTTCTAACCCTGGCACGACCATCGTGCATGCCTAAATAAAATCGAGACTCGTCACTAAAGACAATACTGTTCCATTCCTGATCCCAGAGTGACCGTTGTCTGCACCACTCAAGGCGATTACGTCGGTGTTCTCGAGTTAAAGGGAGGACCCAGTGTGGCCGGTATGAAAACAAGCCAAAACTTCTCATTCGTCGGTAAACACTTCGCATGCCAATAGGTCTTCCGTGTTATGCAAACCATTCATTTGCAATAGACCTGGTAGTGGAGAAACGGTCCCTTAAGGCCAATAATCTTAGGCGGCGATCTTCACGGTCTGTTGTTCTACGGCGGCGTCCAGTGCCCCTTGCTCTTTGCGTACGGCCTACCTGACAACACCTATCCACAGTGTCTACACTTCTTTGCACTCTAACTGCAATTGCCCGAAAAGAAAGTCCAGCTTCCCGAAGTCCCACTATACGGCCCCTCAAACTCACTAAGTTGACGAAATCGTACAGGTCTCCGTACTCTAGGCATCGTAACCGATCGTAAAGGATGTCAAGAACCAAAATCCGCCAACGTTGATTCTTTACTGCGGCTGAAATATTCATTTTTAGAGCGTTAGTGAATTAAAAAAAAAGCAGTATAAAAACCGGAATGTCCAACTGATAAGGCTGAAAATTTTTTCACTTGTTATTTACAGTAAGATAAATACATTCACCAACTTTTATTAAAATAAAACCATTTAAACTGGGTGTTCGGATTTATATGTCACTTAGTACAGTTTGGATGCTTTCAGATACCCCATTTCATTATTTTTAACAGTCTTTGCTGCATCCAACATTGACTTCTTATCCCATTTTTTCAGTTTGTTTCGAGAATTCATTTTATCTGGTATAAAAACAAATAGTTATTTGTTTGTTCTTTGAAGGCCCCTAATACTCGTATCGTACACTGCGATATTAGGACCCCTTGTTGTGCGTTATTAGGTAATACGATGCTTTTAGGTTAGAGTAACGAAAAACAATACTTTAAATAAGTTATATTATATTCTGAATGATTTAAAAATTTTTCACTTTCCGCTCTTACAACAAAAACCACGAATATCGGACACTGTTGAAAACTCGTTTTCTAGCAAATGTACGTTTTTCAGCACTACTGATATCTACTTATTCTCAGAGCTACTGGGCTTAACGTGACATCTGTTGTCGATGCCCGGAACTAAAACTACGGAATACTACGGTCTAATCGTATAAGGCCCGTATCGTCAGTCGTCCCTACAATTGTAGGGCGCCTTTATGGCCTCCTTGATTGTCATAGTTTTCTACTTCTCCATGTCAGCGCTCTATTTTGACGTTATGTCACAAACATCTATTTGCATCAAATTGTGCTTGCTTCTGAGTTATATCATGTTTTATCAGCCTGAAATTTCCTACACGGGACAGGTGCAATCTAGAAATTTTTGAAGGAGAGAAAGGAGGATGGCAATCAAGGAGGCCATAAACGCGCCCTACAATAAAATTGTAGGGACGACTGACGATACGGGCCTTAGTAAAAGAAAAAGGGCACTGTGCGATATTGAGCACCTGTGCGATATCCGGGCACTTTCCTCTACCATCATAAGAGACTACAGTTACTAGTTAATTTTTTTTTCATTACTAATACTATCTATCAGAAATATTCGATTTCACACTACGATCATGACATTTCGAATTCAAAGGAATTAATGCAATGCCGATTTGGTCCGACCCTGGATTTCCCAACCGTCCGTCTAGTTTTACTGTACTCCTAGGTCGCTTTGTTATCGAGCAAAATTTCTACAAAATCGGTTGTGTGATATTAAAGATTTCGGGTGTTCGGATATATCCATTAAAAATGAACTCAGAACTTTTTTATTTTTATGTATGAAATTGTCTCGGTCCAAACTACCTACCACTTTACTATGTCCATTTAAGTACGGAGCACCGTGTATATCTAATAGGGAAGTACTCAAAAGATTCGCTGTCAAAATCGTTGAAAAAATAAATAAAACCACAACAAAATAGGTGGAACATTTCAGATTGAAGACAAACATTGCTTAATTAGCAGTTAAATATCACTACAAGTTTGATAACACGTCCGAGTTTTCAATAGAACTGAACTCTATTGACCTCCACAATCGCTATTTATTTTGTCTGGATTTTACACTAACATGCCATAAAACAGCGAAAAAAAGCATCTACTGCACACATGTTCTGAGGACAGAAATAGATGTATAAGGCTCTTTACTCTTTCCAAATTTAAGATTGCTTAATGAATGCTCTAACCAGATAATTGTGTGGTCACAAATCTGAAGTAGTTGTCATCAACTATGTTTTGTTCAAGATGCCGGAAGTCCCAGAGCAGATCAAAATTCCATGCGTTCTTTTGCCACTGCTGAGGTTCTTCAAACATCCATGAACAAAGTCCCAAATCATATCAGGAGGTAATTTTGTTCCATTCATAGAGCGCGCACTTAAAAGACAAAGCTTTATAATAACAATACCTCTGAAATGCTTTGTTGTTTTGCTAATGGATGTTTGAAGAATATCTGGTAGTTTTGCCAACATCAAAATTTTCGCTTTCTCATATTGTTGTATCTTGACGTATTGTAAATATTATATCTAGAAAACTATCAACTATAGTAAGAAATACATAGTATGACCCTTTTTTGTTAAAGGTGGTCCAAAAAAACCTGAAATATTTTTTTTTTGAAGTAAATCAACAATTTTTGTCGCAGATTTACCTTTAGCAACAAGCAGATTCGTCAGAAGGGGCCCATTTTGTATAAGATCATGCAAAAAAAAAAAACGATTCCGGTAATCTGTACCCCAGAGCCAGACTAGGTTAAGTTCATTTTTGTCAAAATGAGTTTAGTATATTAAGCTTATGGTAATATTTGGAATTTTCATTTGCTACATGCAGCGTCCAAATATCTGTCATAAGAAAGTTACGACTGTTTAATTCATGTCAAGTCGCATACAATATAGTGCAAGAAAAATATTTCAAGTACAATTATCTCAAAACTGCTTATTTGGACTTAACCTAGACTGGCCCTGAGGTACAGAGTTGAGTGTAGGCGAAGCTACTTTGTCGTCTATATTAGAATTTAATTCCTCTAATTTCCTAAGTGTACCAAGTTTCCTACGCTTGTCACAAGAAAATACTAATTTGAAAATAAATGGAGGCGTAGATTTGAATTACAAATCTGATGTCAATGTGATGCTAGATCCCACGGGGGTTCCAAACGATTCATTTTTAACCTTAAATTCAGCCGCAGGATACCTCAGTGCGCCAAGTGCATTCGCTTTTCACAACCCCTGGGTATATACGATCTCTGCAGATGTTCGTTTGATCGGTGAATTAAGAGTGTTGATACCGAATCCGAAGGCATCGCAAGACGACATAGACGACTAATTCTGTACTTAAAATTCAGCCTCATGACATTTCAAGACTTTTTGCAATCCTATTCGAATTATTTGCCTGCAAAAACCGAAATCTGACATTCATTTACCCTATAAACATAAATACAAGGTGATTTAAAAATCAATAGCAATATTTCTAGGTCCATCATGCAGGGTGTTGAAAATATCTACGCTGATGAGACCCAATAAGGAAAAACAAGAATATTGTTCGAATAGCGCTATGGTGAAATATGATTACTATCCCAATATAGTATATACAATTTTAATACAATAATGTCAAACTTCACTAACATCGGCGTATTTTCAAAGTAAGACAGGTTGAAGGTTCTTATTCAGATTTTACCTGCAGGTCATTCATTTCCATAAGAAGTAATCTGAGAAAAGTTTCCCAAAAGGAACGATTCGTCTAAATATTTCTTTTTAAGAAATACAATATACCTATGTTTCAAAATAGACAATGGCGTAGTAAAGAATTTTCTTTTTACTTCTGTTGGGGTCAAAATTTCCCAACTCCCATGCCACTAATGTAGTCCTAGACACGAACATTTTTGTATGCTGTAAGAACTGGATTTACAAAATTATAAGATAACAACTTAGGCCACACTGAAGATATATATTTTTTCGATTTCGAAATTATAATTCCAACACTCTGTATCTCGGCAGGGGGACATTTTTGAACAATTCGTGCTATTTGTTATTTTATTTTTATTTTATTTAACAACATCCAACAGCCAAAGCCAATTATAGGATGGACAAACATGAAAATAAAAATAAACGCATGTAAGTAGAGGATGTATGTAAAGAAAGCTCAAACGGTGAAAAAAAAACGCGTTTCATCTTTTCCTACCTAGGAATGCCCGGGTGGAGGGTGGACTCGAGGGAACAACATCTAAGATAAAATTTGTTTTACGAACATCTGCAGGATTAACGGCAACATTGATGCTGTTCATCACTACTTGCAATCCAATCGTCCCGCCATGCTTTTCTTGGCGGAGACAAAAATCTCAGAGTCTGCACCGATTAACCATCTAAACTTCCCAAACTACGAGGTGCACTCCAATGTGAGAAAGAACGGGGGAGGTGTGGATTTTGTTCGCAGCAGTCTTTCCTGCTCCAGAGATGTTTCTTTGGAATCAGACCGGAACGACATTTTGTGGCTTCGCCTCAACTCCAAAGCATCCCCCAAATTTATTTGCTGCCTTTATCGCTTTCCCTCGGACCATAACTAGGATGACCTACTTGAACACCACGCCGTCAAGATCGACTTCCTGAACATGAATGATCCCGCTTCAGAGGTAGTTCTCCTCGGTGATTTCAATGACCGTAATGAGCTTTGGTTGGGCTCAAACAAGACCGATGCAGTAGGTCGTGCAGTTGAAGCATTCGCTCTTACTCAAGGGCTGACCCAGCTGTTGACGAGCCCTACTTTTTTCCCCGCGTCTCGTCACATGCCAGTAGTCTGCTGGATCTCTTTCTGACCACGCATCCTGTCCCTTACAGAACTGCTGTCCTGTCCCCCCCGAGTAACTCAGACCACTGTGTTGTGGAGGTTATGTTTCGGTCAGAACCCGCTTCGGTAGCAGACACTCGGACAGGCCGCAACATTTGGCATTACGGACATGCCGACTGGGAGGGGCTCAGAGACTTCCTCTCTACCTCTCCTTGGAGAGATGTCTGTTTCACTGACGCTGATGCATCGACTGTCTGTTCTTCGATAACCGAAATTATCCACGTCGGAATGGAGGAATACATCCCTCACACAGTGAAAGTGCCTAAACCAGGGTCCAACGGCTGGTTCAACAAATCGTGTGACAATGCTCGCCAGCAGAAGATCAAGGCACACAGAACCTTCTTACAAAACCCCACTGTAGATAACAGACAAGCCGTTGTCGAGTACAGAAACAAATACAATGAAGCGGTTCTCAATGTCAAAAACCAGCACGGTACAAAAGTTAGGCACAGGGTAATGTCGCAGCGCAATGGCAGTAGCCTTCTACCACTACGTGGGAGCTAACATTCAGGCATAAGACCGTAAGACGAGTGCTCTTGACTCTCAACATCAACAAAGGTTCTGGTCCGGACTTGATTCCTGCCATTGTACTGAAGAGGTGTGCAGCGGAGCTTGCTCTAGTTCTTTCGCGTCTCTTCCTGGTATCTTATGAATCCGGCACCTTCCTAGAAAACTGCAAATTTGCTCATGTCCAACTCATTCCAAAAAAAGGATCTAAGACCGACCCTTACAACTACAGGCCTATAGCTCTGCTTTCTGTTATAGGTAAGGTGATGGAGATGTGCATAAATCGCGAGCTTCTGGACTACCTCGAACGCCACAGCTTAATTGTGGAGTAAACCCGTCCAGTCTTATGGTGAAGCCCATGCCGTTGCTCTTGACATCACGAAAGCATTCGATCAGCTATGGCACGCTGCCCTCTTAAGCAAACTTCCATCCTATGGCCACCCAGAAAAGGTTTGCAGGTGGCTGACTTTATTTCTGACCGCTAGATATCCGCCGTAATTGACGGTTTCTCCTCGTCAACCCACAACGTCAACGCGGGTTTTCCCCAAGGATCGGTCTTGGCTCCGACACTGTTCCTCTTACATATCAGCGACCTCCTTTCCTACACGATCAACCCAATCCGCAGCACATTATATAATGGGTGATTTTTTTGCTTCTTCAAAGACGACAATGGCCGGAACGTAACTGTGAATGGCGAGCGCTACCGTGTGATGATAACAAACTTTTTTTTGCCCAAAATGGAGCTGGACTTGGCTGACATGTGGTTTCAAGAAGACGGTGCCACTTGCCACACCGCACACGAAACAATGGCCCTATTGAGAGGCGAGTTCGGTGAACAGTTTATCTCACGTTTGGAGCCCGTCAATTGGCCGCCTAGATCGTGTGATTTAACGCCGTTGGACTATTTCTTGTGGGGGCCATGTTAAGGCTAATGTCTACAGGGATAAACCAGCAACGATTGGCGTACTGGATGCCAATATTGAAGCATTTATTCGTGAGATACCGGCCGATATGTTGGAGAGAGTGTGCCAAAATTGGACCTTGCGCATAGGCCATCTAAAGCGGAACCGCGGCCAACATTTACATGAAATAATATTTAAACATTAAATTATATCGACCGTTCTATCGACTCGGATAAAGATTTAATCGTTTTTTCAAATTTTTTGTGTTTTTTTTTGAAAATCAAATCCTATACCTCTTAAAAAATCACCCGTTAGATAGGAAAAAACTTAACTATATCAGTCCTAGTAAACAGTTAAACTATTTCGTGAAGGAACTTGACTGAATTGTTTTTGCGTCTGCTCTCTAAATTATAGATGCTTGGTCTCACCATCAACTCACTATGAGGAAAGCCAATGGCAGGGTATATCACATCCGCTTTATATGAAAGATATTTTAAGAGCTTTCTTTGAACGGACCCAAGCGGTTATCTACTTTATGCCCTAGATATACTGGCGCTGTTTTCTCAACCACCCTGTATAATATTCCTTACATATTTGCGATCTGGACAAATAACCATATTTTTTTTTTCATTTGAAAAACCGTATTGCACTCGTAACCGCTGCAAAATAAACTCCAATTCAGATTGATAAACTGATAACGTTCTACAAACATTGACACAGGCACTATTTTTTCAGCGTCTGTTCATGTGTTGTACCGACCTTGATCTGATAGTTATCATTATCAATGCCTCCTTGAGGTTGCTTACCTCGTTCAAGTGAACAACATGGAAACTTTCCTTTTGTCTAGACTTTCTTTTGCATCTCTTCTTCCTACAAGGTCTCTCCTCGTACATGCGGGATCCTTGGCAACTGTCACTTATGCATAGTTTCATTCTTCTTTGGAAACAATTCATACATCTGTAGTTAATACAACATAATTTATATAACATTATATGATTTTGGCAAATTATGGAACGTTCACATTTTACAAGGACGTCAAACCTTAGAAGGTACCTAATTTCGAAGATATAGGTAAACCAATTAAAAAAAGGTAAACGAAGACTTAATTGCTTTATACCAAAATAGTACATTACATATCATAATGAGCAATAATGACCTTTCAAACGAGGTATGTATAGATTTTTCCACTACTACAACAGAATATTCGATTTTACATCAAGATGATAACGTTTCCAACATACAGGGTGGCGCATCGAAAACGAAATAGACGCATTTACTGGCAGCTCAGTTTTTTTTTTGGCAAAACGCTCAGACCCGTAGATTTTGTATTCGAGGGGGACACAAGTTTGGCAAAAGATTATGTTAGGACATGCAGCCCCCTAAGCGAGGATGACACCACCCCCAAAATCTTAAATGGAAAGGGGGGTCGAGTGATACCTTATTTTAAAGGTATTTCAGTTCCCTTTACAAGGATATAAAATTAATGTACTTCAGTTCAGTAGTTTTGAAGCTTTATTGATTTAAAGCTTAAATAATACTAATACATCATCATTAGTGGAGATCGACGCATTTGGCAGCAAAGTAATTTAAAAATGAAGAATGAACTGACCCGTTAGGCAAGTAAATGTTGAAAATGGCCACCATGGCTCTCCATGCAATAATAAAGATTTTGTTCAAAACGTTGCCGCACATTTTCAATATTTGAGGAGTAATTTGAAGGCACTCATTCACAATTCTTTGTCGCAGGTCTTCTAATGATGTTTGCTAAGTAGCATAGATTTTGCTTTTTAAATGACCCCACATAAAGAAATGCAAAGGTGATAAATCTGGCGATCTTGGGGGCCATTCAATGGCACCTCTTCTACCAATCCATCGATATGGAAACGTCGGATCTAAATATTGTCGAACACGTAATGCGTAATGTGGTGGGGCACCATCCTGTTGGAACATCAACCTATTCGCAATGTACCGCCGATCATTCCGATTTTCAATTATGGCTGTTAATGCAGGATCTATGGCGTCTTCCTGTAATTCCAAATACATTTCACCGGTCAAATTTCCAGGTAAAAAAAAAGGACCAACTAAATGATCGCCAAAAATACCAGCCCAAACATTTAATTTTTGTGGCTGCTGTGTATGAACCTCATGATAGAATCTGGGATTAGAATCGGACCAATATCGGCAGTTATGACGATTTACTATGCAATTTAAGAAAAAGGAACATTCGTCGGAAAAGCAAGTGTTGAATATAAAATGTTCATCGTTTATAATTCGTTCACTCACATCTTCACAAAATTGTAATCGTCGATCAAAATCGTCTTCATTAAGTTCTTGTACCAGGTGAATTTTATACGGATGAAAACTATGAGCCTTTAGCATCCGTTGGACAGTACGTCGACTTACACCACACACAGTCTCCAATTTGCGGGTACTTAACGCAGGATCTGATAAACTTGCCCTAAAACCCCCACTTCTATTGCTGCGTTCCTTATGGGATTTTCAATGTTACGTTTTTTATTGGCGACTGACCCAGTTTCCCGAAATTTAGCTACAAGTTCTAGAACATATTTTCGATGCACGTTACTGTTCTCATGTGGCTCATTAAATATTTCTGCTGTTCTATTAGCGCACTGATTATTTCCGAAAAATATTTCGATAATTTCAACTCTTTCTAATGTATGTAATAAAGCGTTATAAGTTATTTTAGCAACAAAGTTTGGTCAAATCAATCGCAAACTATGTACTAAATTGCTATTTAAAATAAGTACGAGATATTTCCTTATCATTCTTCAAGAAATATTTTTTTTGCTACAAAAAAACGCTCCAATAGCTATTTTCAACAACAAGATGATAAACAAACCATGGGCGTAGTGAAGAAAAGCATTTACTTATTAAGTAAATTCTGTTAGTCAAATTTCTTCTGAAAGTAGTACAAACTGATCTGATGTACCTATTAAAGTCTACTTTAAGCTTTAAATCAATAAATCTTCGAAACTACTGAACTGAAGCTCATGTATTTTACATCATTATAAAGGGAACTGAAAGATCTTCAAAATAAGGTATCACTCGACCCCCCTTTCCATTTAAGGTTTTAGGGTAGGTGTCAGCCCCGCCCAGGGGGCTGCACGTGATTTTTTGCCTAACTTGTGTCCCCCTCGAAAACAAAATCGATGGGTCTGAGCGTTTTTCCAAAAAAAAACTGAGGTGGCAGTAAATGCGTCTGTTTTGTTTTCGATGTGTCACCCTGTATATAAAAAACACGTATTAGACTGTTGAAAGCGATAGAGAGTTATCAACATCAGCAAGATACATATGTAGTGTTTATAGACTTCAAAAAAGCATATGATACAATCCGAAGATCGGCAGTATACCAAGAACTAAGAGGACTAGGAAATAGTGAAAAGATTATAAGGCTAATAAAGTTGACACTTCAGGAAACGGAAAATAGAATAAAAGTTAAAGGAAAATATTCTGAAAAGTTCAAGGTAAAAGTGGGGTTGCGGCAAGGGGATCCGTTGTCAATAGTTTTATTCAACAATGTATCGGAAGATATAATCAAAGCAGCAAATTTAAGTAGGTTTATTATTATTAGAGAATTGTTACAAGTACTAAAAAAACTTGAAGAGAAAGCAAAGGAAAAGGGTCTAATAATAAATCAGGAAAAAACTAAATATATGAGATGGACAGATGATGATTTTATGATAGGAGAAAGCCTAAATATAAAAACAGGCAGTGGCAAAACGTATAATTTTGAAGAGGTCGATCAATTTTGTCTATTTGGGGGACAAGGGGCACAAGGGAAGAAATCAAAGCAAGACTGGGGAAGGGAAACAGATGTTTATATAGCCTGAACCATCTCCTGAAAAGCAAGTTGATAAGTAATAAACCAAAAATTAAATTATATAAAACAGTAATAAGACCACCAGTTACATTTGCTTGTGAAACATGGATCTTCAGAAAGGCAGATATAAATACCCTAGAAGTGTGGGAAAGAAGAACTTTCCAATACCGTGCAGATATGTATAGAGAACCAAGTAGCACAGGATATATAAGAGCGCAAAGGTTGAAATGGTTAGTGCATGTAGAAAGGATGGCAGAAAATAGAATTCCAAAAATGATTGTTAGCAGAAGCATAGGAGGCAAGAGAGGAGAGGGAGACCGAAGGAAAGATGGAAGAGCGAAGTAGAAGCTAATCTGAGAAGCTTAGGTGTACAAAACTGGAAATTCGTGTGTCAAAATAAGAAGAAATGGAAAGAAATTATAAATAAAGCCTTGAGCCTTTCAGGCCTGTAGAGCTATACATATACAGGGTGGTCCATAAGTCCTTTGAAATTTCAAATTTGAATAAAATTTAACGGGTGAGCGTGAGCGGCGCGGGCGAGGTGGGGGCAGTATCTTCAGTGTCTGGGAATTCAGTCGCCATGGAGTGTTTCACTGGAGCGGATCGTTCTTTTTGTGTGTGCGCGTTTTATCAAAGTAATGATTCGGCAACCATTGCGCGGCGTAAATATCGAGAATACCACAATTTACACAATTTTACAAAGTGTCCAACAGCTCAAACGATTAAGAACTGGGTTGCTAAGTTCGAAGAGACTGGTTCGACGTTAGATAAACAGCGGTGAGGTCGACCACGGACAACTCGTATTGAAGAAAACATCAACATTCTGGCACAGTCTGTTCGTCAAAATCCTACCCAGTCTACTCGTAAGCTTTCCAGTACACTAAACGTACCCAGAACATCTTTACAGCGGATTTTAAAGAAAGATTTACGTCTGCACGCTTACAAAATTCAGTTAGTGCAGGAATTAAAAGATAATGACGCTATTCAGAGACTAAACTTTGCGAATGAAATGTTGAATCGATTTTCTTCGCTCAATAATGTGTTGTTCTCGGACGAGGCTCACTTCCATTTAAACGGGCATGTAAATAAACAAAATTGCCGTTATTGGAGCCCCGAAAATTCAAGGCGTAAGCATCAGAAGCCCTTACACAGCCCTAAAGTTACAGTTTGGGCTGCTATGTCAGCGCATGGCATCGTAGGCCCTTATTTTTTTGAGGACGACAGAGGTCGCGCATTAACTGTTACTTCGGAGCGGTATGTAGCAATGATAGAAGAGTTTTTGACACCAGCGTTGCAGAATTTTCCAGGCTATAATACGCAGACCTGGTTTCAACAGGACGGAGCAACTGCCCACACCTCCAACACTTCTATGCCCGTCGTCCGTCAACTTTTTCCCAGCAAAGTAATTTCTCGAAGAGGAGACATTTCCTGGCCCCCACGTAGTCCAGATTTGACCCCAATGGACTTCTTTTTATGGGGCTACCTCAAGAGTAAAGTGTACGACACCACTCCGCGATCAGTTGATGTCCTGAAAGGAAATATCCGAAGAGAAATGGCAAGCATTATAGTGTTGACTTGCCGCGCAGTCATCGACAATTTTAGACGGCGTTTATATGAGTGCCGTGATCGTAATGGATTGCATTTAGACGATGTGGTTTTTAAAACATAATTCCCATTCAATAAAGATGATAACAAAATATAATAATTCTTCATAATGTAACTAGTTTGGTTTTATTCCTTTTTTCCAGCTCAAAGGACTTATGGGCCACCCTGTATATTAGATGTCTACTACTCTATTGTATACTCAGACCTCAAATATCTAGTACTATATTGGGGATTGTATGTTGAGGCGCAACCAATCTTTATCCTTCAAAAGAGAATCGTCAGGGAGAAGGTACTCTCGTTGCTTCCTCTAATGTGAGGTCGAAAAACATTTATAGATGAAAAAATACTAACGTTAATATCGATACTCATTTTAGAGACGTGCCTTCCTGTGAAATCAACCTTCCAAATTCCTTACATAAAAGAGTCCCAGAGATACAATTTGAGGAACAATAACATCGTTATATTGAACAGCAGCACAAACCGTAATAGCCCTGACTACCCATGTGGATCTATCTTCAATAATTTGCACCCTGAGTTAAAAACCATAAACGACATAAAAGTTTTTAAAAGCAACTTTTTACATACTTGAGCGTTTTCATTCTCTGCGCGAGTTTCATAATCCGTAATAATTACATATTCAACTATTTTATTATTTATTTCACTTATTATACATTTATGCTACATACTTTTTCTATATTACTTGTTTTATAACTTGTAATTTGACGTTTTTCTGTTGACGTTTCGTATCAGCAAATTAGAATAAATTTTGTTATTGTTACTATTATTATTATTTTGCAAATACTTTGAAGCATCTAGTTGCTTGTTGTCAAACTGACAAGCTGAAATCAATGTGTGTAGCAGATAGCTGGTTTGGACCGCTCCATTTTAAAGGGGAGCAAGTTAAAAATGTTAGTCACAAGTGTTTTCTTTTTATTAACATTGAAAGAGGATCTACCATTCCTTATTTCTCAGGTGTTATTAAATACTTTGAAAAGCAAATTTCATTTGTCAAACTGTCATAATATAATCAACTGGGTAACATTTTAAATGTCATTCATTACCTAGGTGTGTTTTTATTATATCTAATTACCTAGAGGGATAGGACCAGTTTGCTTCCCGTTTCTGTGACTATAACCAACAGTGTACAGCATTGCCTCATACTTTCTAGCAATCGTCAGTACGCTATAGGTCTAGTTATTGGAAAGAGACAACGGTAAACAAAAAATCCGAAAAGGTCTACCGAGTAATGTAGGGAGACAGTGCCACCTAAACAAAAAAGTTTGCTGTTATCAGCATGATGGCAGCTTCAGGTTAGTAGTGAAAAAATGTAGATTGATATAAATTCTACTTCAGGTACTAACCCGGAACATCAAACTCTAGGAGCTCTAGAAGGGATGGTAGCGCATGAATCTAAAATCACTATAGCTCTCCTGAAATCATGTTTTTAAGCTCTTGGAGGTGGGAGCTGCAGGACAACTACCCCAGATATTCTCAAGTATCTCCGATCCTGGCATCGAAGGAACTCTTAAAGACATTGGTCGAGTAAGGCTTCGTTTTCAAGATATAAAGCTATGTGTGAGAGTTAATTTTTCGTGAAAGTCGTAGCCGATTTTCTTGAACTTTGTTGAAATTTAGAGGTTTAGACGTATTTCCGAAAATCTAAACGTGCCAATTAAGCACAAATATCTCGAAAAAAAAACTGAACGGTTCTTTTAGTCTTATCGTTACGAACCTACTCCATGGTGTCCAGTCAGTATACTCTTCCGTTTTGTTACTCCTGTTCAAACTTTCTGTGAACCGCCCTGGGTTTACAAATTCTTCGCCATTGCCCGACTTCGGTCCTTCAGATGTTTCTGCTTCCAATGTGTCACTGTGTTCTTGTCTGTTGTACTAAAACAATAAAATCGTAACACTGGAGTGAAATTTTGATTATACGTATAGTTGCTGTAAATTTGGCATAATGAAACAATATTGTCAATAAAAAGCTTAACGCGACGTCCATCATGTCGAATCACGACGTTATCGTATTCGTTATCCAAAAGTTGTGCAATACCTCGTCATTTAAAAGAAGAATGCACCCTAACCTCCGCACTGTAAATGTCACACTTCAATGATCACCTTTGCTAAGCTACCGCTTAGAAAAGTTGATCCATATTTAGAAGAGGATTTAGGAGAATTACATCTGCAACTACACATTTTTTGGTTGACTTAGTCGTCTGACTATGAAAATTAAGAATTTATCACAAAACATTTTGTCTCAGTTTTCCCATTTTATTTTAAATATCAAACCCGATGTTAGTTGATGTACCTGATGATAGCGACCATTAACGTAGGTACATGATATATCCGTATCACACCGATGTTTCTGGAAGGGCGCGAAATTTTTTTGAAGACATTTTGTTACAACTCAAAATATTCCCTTGTATTTCGGACTTTGTGAAGGATTTCCCCACACTGCAGATGTATTGGGTGAACTTCATTAATTTGTGCGATATGTTATAAACAGTGTCTCTAAATATTCTACTATCGAGTTGCCAAAACCAAAGACCATTTGATGCAAAGAAATCAATCTTAAACAGAGGGATTTCTCTACAAAAATGTGAAAATTAAGGATCAACATGTCAACTAAGTATGAGTCTCTTTGTCAGAAATTTGATGACGTATTATTTCGTTATGTCATTAAAAGAAAAGTCAAATGTCTCAGAAGCTGGTCTGCAGAATAAAAGTATATTAAAGAAGGAATTATCATGTTAGTCAATTTTCCCCATTACGAGAGCTAAGAAACAGTTCCATTAATTATGGAGGCTATATTTGGTTTTTATAGTGGAATAGGGTAACGCAACGTAAATGAAACACTTTCAGAAGGAGCCAGTCATGTCATTAAATCGTAAACATTGATTTATCTTCTTTGACGAGTCGTATTTTGCTATAACTGCCAGTAGTGAAGAATTTAAGTGAATCATGTGAAGATGGACTAACGCGAAAATCGCATGCCATTCGGCATCGTTAGAGTAGTTTGCTGGGAATGTTAGTTGTTGATTTCGGAGTTATATAAATACAGAGAACGGCTCTATGTAGAAGGTTTGGTAGGTAATATTAATCTCTTTAAAACACTTACACCTTTCAAATCGATAAGCGAATATTATGATTTTATATACACCTCACTTCAATTTGCTGAGGTTATTGCACGGTATTTTTACAAAAACGCAGCTTACGTAAAGTGAGACTTCTTCCTGCCCCCTTACCCCAAATACGATGTCAACAGTCCACACTCAGCTGAGCAGTGAACTCGTACGGGGCAGCTGCTGCGCTGGAGGCAGTTGAGGGGTGCCTGCGTACTGGATCATATAGGAGCACGATTTTTTTGAAGGCAATATTTTTTAGCCAGTCTCAGAGCAGGAAAGCTCGATGGATTCTTTCTATCGACCCTTTCTGCCCGAAGTGTGAGATTGTCCAAAAGCGGCGTGTGCTTCAGACTTTCACTATAATTGCCTATCAATTTATGAAACCAAAATGATATGCTTACAAGAATAACTTATTTCATATAGTTTGGAATTTAAATTTTATTGTCACTTAACGTAATTTATCAGAAGCGCCACATAACATATTAGGGCCTAAATAAATACTTTTCCTTTCCATGTTTTTTTTTTATGTGGAAGAAATAGTAATAGATTCATAGCATTGTTACAAGTTATTGAGCATTTATTTAAGTAACAAAAGAAAAGCTATCAGAAAAATATTCAAATTTTCAAAAATTACGGCACCGCAGCCATTTTGGCATAATTAGAATTTGAAGCGGTCTGCTTATCTAGAAGAAACACAAAAAACAACTGTTCATGTCTGTAACTAAGGAAGAAAATGCTTAGGGGACTTTAACCTTTAGCTGCTAACGTGCGGTCTACGATACCCCATTGATATATTATGTGTTACAATTTGGCAACGCAGCACATCTGGATACTAGGAAGCTAGATACCTTTTGGAGAAAGCATGACGGAGCGTTTTAGTCAGTTGGCAATATAAGCTTGTGCGGCAGTGGTCTGTTATTGCCACGTTGAACTGGAAGATTCTGACATAACAGAGGAGATACATGAAGAAGATTCCGATGCAGACTACATACCAGACGATAAGGAAACTGAAAATTGGTTGGAGGAAAGAAATCAGATGGAAGATTTTTCTGTTGAAAAAAAGAGGTTTTACATTGGTAAAAATAAGTTCAAATGGTAAGAAAGTTCAGAATCTGTAACTACTTAAACATTTGTGGAGGTAATACTGAGGTGTGTGCTTTATCGTTGTTTTCTTTTCAGGCATAAAGACCAGCCTCCAGTCAATGTAAGGACTAGAAAACATAACATTGTACTCACTCTAACTGGACTACGACCAAAAGCTAAACAGCTTGGCGCTAATCCGGAGATTGAAGACATCTTGCTTCTTCTATTTTCTGAAGATATGATAGCAGAAGTAATTCAGTGGACAAATGTGAAGATCATTGATGCAAGAAAAAAGTATAAAGACCAGGCAAGTCCGATATTATCCACAACCACCGCAGTTTTCAAATCAGAAAATGAGAGCATAGAGTCCTTGTTTGCCATAGATGGCACAGGAAGAGACGTTTTTCGATGTACCACGGCGAAAAGACGCTTTGAGTTCCTACTTACTGTTCTTAGATTTGACGATGCAACTCTACGAAATGAAAGACAAATTGAGGGCGACCCTGTGCCTCACATATCAAAAATATTCAATAAATTCATAGATAATTCCCAGAATGCCTTCTCTATTGGCACTAATGCTACCGTGGATGAAATGCTCGTAGCATTCAGGGGCCGTTGTAAATTTAAAATATATATGCCGAAAAAACCGGCTCGTTATGGAATCAAAATAATGTGCCTGACAGATGCCCGAAATAATTACCTTTATAATGCCTATATTTACGCTGGAAAAGGATTAGATTCACTAACATTATCTGCAAATGAAAGAAAATTGAAAATCCCAACACAGTCTGTAATCAGGCTAGTGGGGCCAATTAAAAAAACCAATAGAAATGTTGCAGCTGATAATTGGTTTAGCTCTGTGGAATTGGTTCAACACCTCCAAAACAGGGGTCTAACCTATGTAGGAGCGCTAAAAAAGAATCAAGCTGCAATTCCACCAAGCTTTCAAGCTAACAAAAATCGAAGACTCAACAGCAGCCTCTACGGATACAATAATGATATGACTTTACTTTCTTTTGTACCAAAATCTTCAAAATCAGTTATTCTGATTTCATCTATGCATCATGGTGAATCAACTGATCAAGAAACTGGTAAGCCAGAAATAATAGCATATTACAATTCGACAAAAGGTGGCGTGGATAGTTTGGACAAAAAATCTGTAAACTATAGTCCAAGTCGTAGGACACAAAGATGGCCTACGGCAATATTTTTCATGCTTGTTGATGTAAGTACAATAAATGCTTATGTTTTGTGCTCAAGCTACAAACATACTCCAAAACTGGAAAGGGCAGATTTTCTAAAAAAGTTAGCAAGAAGTCTGGTTTTGCCACAATGGAGAGTTAGAATAGCAAACTCAAAACTTCCCAGAGAATTGCGAGTGACAATTGAAAGCTTATGCGGGAGCACTGACTATTCTGCTCATAGCAGTGACGTCCTAGAAGATCGCTTGGAAAAAAGAGCAACATGTTACAGATGTCCACCAAAGTTGAAAAGGAAAACTCAATACGGATGTGCATCATGCAAGAAACCCATATGCTTGCAATGTTCCAAGAAGCTGTGCATTGAATGCGTGTTAGATAGGAAGTAACTTGGAAATTGCCAGAAAAACATTTTTGTGTTGTTTTTTATGTTTATGTTATCGCTTAGTCTAACTGAAACTTAATTACTTTGTTTTTTGAGCGTTTACAAATAAATATTTTTAATAAAAACGTTGTACCATTCATAAAAAATAACAAAAACCGGTAGCGGTATCTTAGACCGCACGTTAGCGGTTGTGTGCGACTGTCGCACGTTAGCGGTTAAAGGTTAAGAATATTGAATTTTATATAGTTGGCGAGTATTTGAATTAAAACGCTCTTTGTCGCGAGGAAGAGGTAATCATCTGTCAATAAATAATTATTGAATTAATCTATCGATCTGAGCCGTTTGTAAAAATAGAGGTTCGAGAAAAACCACTGCGATGCCGCCATTTTTTAATATGTTTTCATGGTATTTTTGTTTTTATTACTTATTGCTTAGTACCTGCCTTCAATATTATTATTTTATCACAATTTCTTCTACCGCAAAAAATGACAAAAAACTTTCTTTTGAGCCTTTACAGTAGTGTTGTCCCTCTTAAAACCATTTGCTCGTAAAAGATACGGATGTCTTTTGACATAAATAAATTATTATAATGAACTCTTACAGACGGTTTTCTGTGGTCTGTGTCCGCCAGAAGTTCACTCAAGTTCAAGGTATTATTACCGTGGATTCGGGCTAAAAATACTTTGTACAGCTAGAGATTAAACTCTCGCCGCTGGAGCGTTATACAGAGTACCTGGGTTGTATTACAAGTAAAGAAATTGTTAAATGTATATTAAGAAAACGTTACAAGAGCCAAAATATAAAGATCTGATTTGATAGCAGACAGGCAATACTGACTTCCAGGTATTGCAAACTCGCAACCACACCACTACTAGAGCGCCCTATACCGCTTCTGAGTGCCGCCATTAGTATTTCACTGTTGCCCATAACCCAAGCATTACAGCTAGTCGGCTAGCAGAAGGGCTACTAAAATTAGAATTCTGTAGATACCCTGGCATTATTTGCATTCTGCCCATTAGAATCATAATAACAACAGATAATGCGTAACCACCACTCGAGTAGAGTGCTGTTTAAAAATTGTACTGATGTTGACTTCATTGTACTCGTATATACTAGAAATAGCCACTTATTTATTTTTGAATAGGCACACTTTTTTGTAAACAGTGATATTCACATGCACAATACCACAATAAAAGTCAATTACGTTCACCTATTTTTAACAATTTTTTTAATCTACAAGATAATGTAAAGTCAGAAACAAACGCGGGATGCTTCCAAGGAAATTTGAGAAGGTTTCTGATCGATCAGTGTGTTATGGTGTTTAAGAGTTCTTCTGTTGCTTTATTTCATATTACCGTTGTTTTACTGTTATTTTATCCCTCGTTTTAAGGTTTATTGACAATTCTTATATGTAACATCAATAGGAAATAAAGACTTTCAATTTGAAGATGATATGTCCGTCTGCCTATTCGTTATAAAATTCTTGTTGCCTTATTGATGACTTAGCGAACTACCGTGAACCAGAAATTATCCTCTTTAGTGTGGCAGCATGACTTCCTTTTTCAAATGCGCGCTATTTCAGTCGGTTGATCTCGTAGCGGAGCACTGATAGTCTCGTTCGAAAGACGGGACTGTAAAGGGTTGACCCGACACAGTTCAGTCGCCATCATGCGTTGGAACAGTAATCAGCGTGCTTTTGCCGTTGAGGCCTACTTTTCGAGAGTATGTCCTGTGATCGCAACCCAGCGCGCCTTTTGGAATCGCTTTAATTTAGCCCCGTTGGCCCCTGTCCCAGACCGGAGGTCAATTGAATCGCTTATTTGAGAAACCCCTCATGTCCATAAATTCAACATTTTGACTTTTTGATCTCAATGGTATATTCTCGTATGGATGTACGTTTTGAAGAGAAATCGCATATGTCCAAATGATATAACGCTGTCAGCGCTAGTTCAAAATATAGATTTATTTGAGAAACCCCACAAGTCCAGGACACGTGGTGTTTCTCTAATAAACGGCTCCTATCTTCTACGCGACAAATGACATACGCATGCGTTGCGGGTGTTTACCGTCAGCTCATTTTCACATTGTATTCGTGCGAGGATGACCTTTCCGTGGAAGTTATTCCCAAAAAAACGCAAAAAGGGACAGAAACAAGTTATTTATAAAAATGAAGTGATTAAAAGTGCACGAGTGAGAGGTAAAGAATATCTGAATTACAAAGGCATAAAAGTAAATCAGCGGACAATAGGTGAACCATGCCGGTAAGAGAAATACGAGTCATTTTGGTTTTGTCGGTCAAAATATCATTTTCCACTTTTAGGTGTAGGTCATGCTGTTTTGATAAAATTCCCGAAGGTGAGCGGCAAGAGATTTTTGATAGATTTTATGCTCTAGAGACGAAAAATGAGCAAGATGCATATATGCAGGCTCTAATAGAGTGCTCAGAGATTTCCAGGAAACGACCTAGAGTAGACCAAAATAATGCAAAGCCAAAAAGCAAATCATACAAATACTATGTGTCTTCCAGTTCGGGAAAGCGCCGTGTATGCAAAACAACTTTTATTAGTATCAATGAAGTCACGGTAGACCGTGTTCGTCGCTTGAGTAAGTAATTATCAATGGGAAAGCCACCTAATGATAGAAGAGGCAAAAAAACCCAGGGAATGCAAAACCTGGACAGGTGGTCAGGCAAGTAGAGGAGCATATTCGTTTATTTCCAGTTAAAAGGTCACATTATGGTAGCCGTGACTATTACTACCTTAGTGAGAAGCTGGATATAAAAAAATGCATGAATTGTTTCTTATAAACAATCCCGAATCATCTGTAAAGTATAGCTTTTACCGCAAGATATTCAAGGAACGTTTCAGCTTGTCTTTCGGTAGACCACAGGTCGACACCTGCTGCACCTGTGAGGAACTTTCCAACAAAATTAAATCTAAGGCCTTGAATGATGTTGCTAAACGTGTAGCTGTGGCGGAAAAAATACTTCACCAAAGAAGAGCCAACAAATTCTACAGCAAGATGAAGTCGATTGAAGAGTTATGCCAAACAGATCCCAGTGCAGGAGCAATTTGCACTTCGTGTTCTTCCGGTCCAAGACACATTTTACCTTCATCAACTAACTGTCGATGTCTTCAATATCCACGACCTAAAAACTATGTTTTATGTATATCACGAAGGTATGGGCAAACAAGGACCAAACGAGGTGTGCTCCTTCATTATGCACTTTATAAACAATGAAGTTCCAGCAAACATTGAACATTTCCATATTTTTTCTGACGGATGCGGTGTTCAGAATGAAAACCATTCAGTTCTTAGAATGTGCTTAGGTCTTACAGACCTTGGACGATTCAAGACTGTGAACCAATACTACCCAGTAAGAGGCCATTCGTACATGCCATGTGACAGGGATTTTGCCATGGTGAAGAGAAAAATTAAGAAAAATGACCGAATTTATCTGCTAAAAGATTGTTTTCTTGATTCTCAACTCAAGCACTAAAAATAAATTTTCCGTATACGTAATGGATGGAGAGAATACATTGATCAAACACTATAAGAAATGGTGGCCCCTTTACTACTAAAAAAATTCTTTGTCCACAGAATCTTATGGAAGAGGTGTTAGAAAAGAAGATAACATTTCATTTTCGATTTAAAATTTCATGCATTTCAGCTACAGCAATGATGAAAAGGGCATTGTGACTGCTCGTGACTTCATTGATGGCCTAACAAAGCACGAATTTAGGTTGGGAACATCTACTGCTGTTAGAACTTTTCCCGAAGTGGTCGCATATCCTAACTCAAAAGTCCCAATTAGTGCAAAAAAGATGGTAAGCATCAGAAAGTTCGAAAAATTCATCGTAGAAAAAGGTGAAGAAATCGAAAACTTCTATAGGGAGATATTTGGATGGCCAACTGTTGGTGGCACCGATGACGATGTGGATGAAAATTGACCGAGTCTTCTATTTTTTTAACGTACCTCGTGGTAATGTGTCCAATAAACTTTTTCTCAAAAAAGTTGCGTGTTTATTTTAGAAATGGAAATGGAAATGGACCACATGTCCACCAGATTTTCATTTTTTTCCTCAAGATACATAAAAGCTTCTTTGTCATTTTTTCAAAAAAATCTCGTACAAACAATCAAACTTCATATTTTTTTACTTGTTATCATGATGATTTAAGGTATTTTTGCATATAACAGTTTTTTCAACTTTTCTCGCGATTACTAATTTTGGACATGTGGGGTTTCACAAATAACTGATTCAATTGTTAGATATGTCACTTCGTTCAGACAAGATTCCAGTACGACAAGATGAAGAACGGGAATCCCTCGATCCAGTGGATCATCTTGGCCTTTGAACTTTCCGATGCTTTTGTGAGAAGAATCATTCATGAAGGCCATTGTGTTGGAATATTCTGGATGTCACCTAAAGTCACCGTGTGGTGTGCAATTCGTCTCAACTAGAATTATTGGTCGCTAGTTCTCTGATGAAAATGAAATCGCAGTGACAGTGAATTCTGATGGGTCGTAAAGATGTTGGTTCGACGGCTAGACGAGTTGGACTTGGAGGACATTTGGTTCTAACAGGACGATTCAATGGCACACACTTCAAGAGCATCGATAGCTGTTTCCCAGAGCGCCTCATCCCTCCCGATTTGGCCCCTTTTGATTTTTTCTATGGGGTCGTTTAAAATTCTGTGTTTATGCGAACCTACACGATGTGAAAACCAACATTCAAGCAGAAATTGCCAGCATTGCGCCTGCTATACTGGCAAGAGTCATGACAAATGCCAGAAATCGGTTTACTCAGTATGGAAAATGAAGGATGACACCTATCTAATTTGATTTTCAACACTGGCTAAAACAAAACTTTAAGCATTCGCCTACATTATAAAATACAATTAAAAATGTGTTTATTCATACAATCGATTTTATTATAGTTTTGAAAAGGAAGTTATACCACCGCACCCTGCATGAGACATGAGACTGAGTGACTCATCCCGTTGGAGCAGATATGAACAAGAAGGTGAGATAATTAAGAAGCACTGGTCTCATGGCTAACTTAAGGGAAATGACGTTGGGTCGTGTAACCATTTCCT